GGCCAAGCCATCTTAGTCGGTTGCTTCGGATTATCTGCATAATTTGAGGATGTTTATAGGGCCCATAAAGTTCAAAATCGTACCGTGTTCGCCAACATCCCCCCTCTGGTATAGCACCAAAGATAGTTCTAAGAATCTTTCTTTCAAACGTTTCTATCGGGCGTTGNCAGTTACAATTTTAACCCTCTATATTGTCGCACAGTGGACAAAATTCCTATTCACAGAATTCCAGTTGAAAATTAATCACTTAAGCCAGTGTTTCCCAAACTTATGACTTTTGTGTACCCTTTCTAAATTTTTCGTAACGCTGCGTACCACTAATAAAAAAATGAATGTATTTTTTACTATAAAAAAATTGCACAAAAGTTAAAAATCACAACTGGCTCTTGACACCACTAATTATTAACTGTTAACTCTGCAAAAATAGCCAATATAAAAATACGTAATCGTAAATTTTCATGGCTAGCTTTGTTTTTAAATTAAATTTTTTGAAATTTTCGTTTGTTGCAAGATATTTCGCTTTAGAAAGCGTACCCCCACTAAACTGTTCCCGTACCCCTGGGGGTACGCGTACCACATTTTGGGAAACACTGACTTAAGCTAACTCGAATACAGACAATTATTTTTTTCCGGCAATAACATAATGATAAATTCTGATTGGGAAGGTCAGAAAAAGATTGTGATATCACCCGATGCAGATCAGCTAAAATTTTGAGTTTTAAGTAGTCTTAAGAAAAAGAAGAAGACCGTAATCAAGAATCAACGTCGAGGAACGAACTTACTGGTCGAATTTGAAAGTAGATTCTTTCTTGGCAAAAAATATCACGATGAATCTTGCTTATAGCGGGAAGGATTTTGTATTGACATCTAACACAAACCTCCAAATACAACTTCAGTACTTAAACTAGTGTTAAAGTAGTCACTATTTTGATTAGCAATAAATTCCCATTGCCAGCGGCAATACAAATTTTGTTTTTATGGTTCAGGAAACGATAGAAACTTGCATTGTCAACAGACAAGAAGCTCCAGTAGAAATTTTGGGACTCTTTCCGTCACAGACACGTAAGCAAGTTACTAAAAATATAGAAATATGATTCGACTTTATTCCGAATAAATAATAATATACAAACATACTCTTCGAAGCAAAAACGTAGTGCCCTGAAGAGGATTGTTTATGATATCTCCAATCATTCTTTTTGAAATTTTATAGACATAGAGTTAAAAATTAAAACTGGCATTCGTGGGCCGTCTGTGTAAGACAGTTTCATGAAATTTCGTTAGTGATATGATAAAATGATGGGAACTTAAGCTAGCAAAAAGAAAAAACATTTTAAGCATTTGAAACTTTTTTTTTACCTTCAAATGTTTAGGAAAAACATTTGTAAAAAAAACTTCCAACTGTTGTTTCTTGGAGAAAAAAACCTTTGCAACTATTTCTAAATAAAAAACTACTTTTGAAACTTTACTTTATTCAAACAAAACATTTATTTATAAAAATACAAATTTCCTTTTTTTCAAAACATTAAGTACATGATACACAGAAAAAGATTAAAAAAATCTCATTTTTCATATCTAGTATACTTTATATGCTTATCCAACTCAGTGCTCGCCGTTTGAACAAAACAAAAAAAACATTGTTTTTAATTTTTACTAATTAATGAAAAAAAAAAACATTTAAAGCATTAACTCCACAATAAACTACTGGGAATCCATGTCTAATATAATCAATGATTTAAAAAATCAACAATTTTCTAAAAAGAAAAAGAATATATTCTAAAGAAAAACAAAAAAGAAGGAAAAAAAATCAAAATAACCACCATTTGCAGCTATAATGAGGAGCAAATCTGAAAACAAAATTAACAAACGTCTGTATAATTTTTTCAAAAGGAATATCCCAGCAAAAAACGTTTTTTATTATCTTCCAGTCTGCAGCATAAACTGTTGGCTAACTCTGTAACTAGTTACTTTGTAACTAGATAGAAAATTGTTGGCAAAATCTGGTTTCCTAGATACCTAATACATGCTACCAAAAAATAGCATTATAAGAAGTATCTCAAATCAATTTGTGCAAAAATACTATTCTGGAAAATAACTTAATATTTAATACAGTAGAAAATCTATATAACATAATTCTATGAACTGTAATTTGACATAAGCCACATTAACTTCATGGGTGTAAACAAAGAAATTTAAAGTTAAGAAATTTCAATAACTAAGCAATAACTATTAACTTTTTACATTATTTGCTTAATTATTTGTGCTAAGAGGTTGAAATTTTGAATGCTAAGCAAACCGAAATAGATTAATTTGTTTGTTACTAATGCTGCATATGAATTAATTTTTTTTCTGCTAAGTAATAAATATTTAGTTGCATATTTTGTGCTTTTAAGTATTTGTATCTAAATATTATTTTACAGTATTTTAAAATTGATCTGTTCCAGATTAAAATTGTCATATTTCGTAGATAAATTTGAAGATAAGTGTAACACACGTGTACAAATGTAACTATATAACACAAAATTCCATAAAAAACAAAGGCCTTGGTTTCAAAGTTCCCATTATAAAGATCTTCTACTGTATTGATAGATTAATTAATTAGTAATTAATGTATTAATAGAGGTTAATTAATAAATAAGGTGAGTTGGAGAAACATCTGAAAGCTTCAGGTTTTATTTATTTTGACTAAATTAAATTATGTATAAAAGCATATATTAGTCATCTAAAAAATGTAAGAAATCGTATTTTCAGAGACTACACAAAACCGCATTCTTTAATAAGAAGTATTAAATTTAAAAAAAACAAAAAAAAAAACAATAAGATGACACACAGAAATTAGACATGAAAATAACCGCTCACCAAATGGCGAGTCAACAAAAGAAAGTGGCAACTTAAATTAAATAAACAGTCACTTTTTCCTATCTTTTTTTTTAATAAAAAAAAATATTGTTAAGTCATAAAAGTACATCAATGTTCTCCCCAAATATTTTTAAATAAAGTTCTTCAAATTCAGTATGTTTAACTAAATTTTTTCATATATTTATATTATTTTAATTGTTGGATTAACTTTCCATAGCTATAAATTATGTAATGTTTCTAATATGATTTTCTTCAAAAAATACAAGCAAAATAATTTTTTTTTGCAAAAAGTGGCCATTAAATGAAAAGGACCAAAACGATATCAGTCATCAACTCATTAGGTTTGAAGAAAAAGTGGCTACTAAGTTATGAGTCTACCAGCAACTGGCCACTAACAATTTAAATTTTCAGGTTTATAGAATCTTCTATTAAACTCATTCTAAGATTGTGATTTTCTGGAGAGAAAAAAATCAAGAAAGCAATAGTAAAGGTATTTTAAGAATGTAATAATAGAGCTATTTTTCTTATTTTAGCTTTTATTCTAAATTTCAGATAATGCTTAGAAGAAATTTTGTTTCTAACTATGATGCCTCATAATATAATGAAATTCTTGATTCTCACTAATGTGAATACACCATGGTTCCCTAAAAATCAGACCAATTATAAAAGAAGAAAAAACTTTCATTGCTACTTTTCGTTTTTATACAGATACTACATTTCAAAACAAGTAATCTAGTTTGTCCATAAATACAGAAAAATGCATTTAGAAATCAATTTTTTAAATAATTCAATGATTTAGGAGATGAAACTTTATTGTTGAAAATACAGGTAAAGATTAGGAGAAAATTTTTTTTCCATTTTGATATCATGGAAAAGAAAACAAATTGAACAATCAGTTTCAAATTAAAAATAATTGTAGCTTGCAAAGAAGATTCAATTCATTTATTATGAAAAATTAAATTTAAGTATCTTAACTCATTGATAAGTTATGTATTATTAATTAGTATATTGGAAATTGTATTAGTATATTGAAAAGTTATTATCCATTAATGTATTTTAATTTCATTAACATTGAAAAAGAGCGTGAAATTAATTTGAAATAACAGCTATGATTTGGAAAAAGTACTTTTTTCTCCATTTCAAAAGAAAGAAAGGAAAGCAAACTGAACTAATGGGTTCAATTTAAAAATAAAAGCAGCTCATAAATTAAATGAAAATTTCAATTCATTAAAAAATGAATAGACAAATTTAAGAAAAGTGAAAAATTATAAAAACTACTAAAGAGCAATAATGTATATTTGTAGCATTAACACTGAAAAAAAGAATAAAATTACTTTGATGAACGTATAGTGATATAATGCACATTATTAAAAAGAAGTGCTGACAAGTAACACTAGATCGAATTGCAATGCTGAGTATAAATTAGGAGAAGTGTTCAGTTCCATTACACATACATAGGATGTTCTGTAATTATTAAACTACATGTATACTTTTAATACATCCACAAAAATGAAATCAATATTATACATTTAAACAAAGGAAATGCAAAAAACATTATACAAATCTGATAATTTGTATTTAGGAGGAGAGAATTAAAAGCATCAAAACCTGTTTGACTGCCAGAAGGAGCGTACAGTTGCTTCTGATAATCATTTCTAGCAACATTGAAATTTCCACAGCAATTAAGAAAGTTTAGATAAGTTTTTTCAACCTACTTGACGTTTGTGCATGTAAAAAATCATAACTTAACCTGCAGTCTTTTACACAAAGCAAAATTAGTTTTTCCATGCTATGAGATAGGAAATCAGTGTATTGGGGAATTGGTGACATTATGCTAAATTTTGCCTATTTGTTAAATTTGCTAGTTGGTTAATTCAGATTCATAGAAAGTTTTTCCTTTTATCTAAGTCTGATTATAATATTATGATTCCTAGTTGATTACTGATAACATGTTGTTAAAAACTTTGGGACAAACATTTCCACAAAAAAAAGTGTCTAATCACACGAAACATTTTGCTACTTTCATACAAATACTGAAGTTAAGTAGTTATTTGACACTGTAAAACTATTATTAAAATACTATGAATAATTTTTAATAATCTATTGACACAAAACTTCTAAAATATTTCTTCTGCTCAGATTTAATACTTAGAAACAAAAGATAAGATGATTTTTTCCAATGTACATCGCTCAGATCCAAAGACAGAGGATTAAGTTAAAAAAAGAATTAGAAAATATGAAAAAAGGCACATATTGGTATAAATACAACAAGGATGATGATAAAATATACACAAACACAGTATGATGAAATAGTGATAAACAAACAATGTAAAAAATTAAACTAATCATACACAAGTTACAAATAGATGAAATATAAAATGACATTATATACATAGAAAAAATAATATCACAGATAAAACAGTCATATCTTATGATAATTCTGTTTATTATCTAATTTTTTCCTTTTTTTTACTCTTTTTGATATCAAGCATTAGATTTATTTTTATCAAAAATATAAATTATCCCTTAGAAGCTTGTTGTAGTCACATAAAATTATACATATTTAAAAATAAAGCTAATGGGAAAATTTTAAACATTTAAAACTAGTAGTTAATTGGAAATTTAAATAAAAAATATATAGTTCATAACTTTTAGCCCAAAAATGCAAACTTCAACCAAAGAGCCAAAGATAAAAACCTTCATGAGTATGAAAAACTATTTGAGTAAAAAGAAAAAGGCAATAATTTGTTTTAACAAACACTTGAAGGTTACAACATTTTAATAGCAAACAGAGCCAAAAGAAAGATGAATTGCTGATGTTTATTGTAGTGTTACATTAAACAAAGATAATTTTTATACAGGGACAAATGTTAAACAATATGGACAATAACTAAATATTTTTTGTTACCTTTTACACTCAATAAGCTAAGTTGAAGAAGACAAAAAAAAATGAATAAAGAAGAAGACTCTGTATAACTTTCTCTTTTCAAATAAGAAAAAACTAAAATCTTTTCAGATAAGAGAGCCTTTTAAAATTGTGTTACAAGTAATAGTACATGAAATTCAAAAAATTCGGCATTAAAAAAAATCTTGACAACAGAAATTTAAAAAACTAGAAAAAAAGATTACAGGTTATCAGTAAACAGTATATAAAAAAATGCATGCCAAGTACAAATAATAGAACAACAAAATAATTAACTAACTATTTAGCAATTGAGAGAGATTGTCTTCTAACAATTTATTTCTTTGAATATTGTATTTTAAATCAGCTAATTTTTCAGATATACTGGAAGGTGAAGTATACTCAAATGAAGATGCAGGTTGGCCCACTAAAGTTCGCCAATCACAAGACACTTAAATAAATGGGAAAAAATACATATATACTTATTATTTCAGAAGAAAAAAAAAGATTTTAAACAATTACATTTCTGACAAAATTTATATAACGTAAAAGATTTTAAACAAGTTATTATTTATTTACTAAATACAAAGTAAAAATTATTAAAATAAAACGCATAAGGAAGCATATTTTAATTAAACAAGTTAAGAACTAAACAAAGAATTTAAGATTAATGCATAAAATATATTTTTCCCTACATTTGTTTTGGTCAACAAAAAAAAATATTAAATCATTTAAATCTTTTGACACATTGAAATACTGCATTAAAATTACATTTTGGAAATTAAATAAATTCAATTTAGTTTTAAAAACACTTATAGGATTTCTTTTACAATTTATGATTTTTTTTCTAATCTTTAGTCAGAAGTAAATTAATTATTTATGGATTAAAAAAATTAACTATTGAATTAATACCGAAAATTAACTATTTATGAGCATCTGGGCAGCCCTACATATGGCATATAGTAAAAAGGTTTTCCCTCAATTCTATAATGTCAATTACTAATTTGAATTTTGTAATTTATTTGATTAAAATGAAAACTTGCCTACCATTATAAATTGTATTTTCCTTTGAATTTGTCTCAGAGTGAAAAGTGACATTAAATTCCTCACATGGAATACTGGACACACTAGTAGCAGGATAAGAACTTGAATGACTAGAGAATAAAGGTGTGCTGCTGTTGTTTTCAATTATCGTATGATCGCTTTGATTGCCTTCAAAAAAGAAAACGGCTTAAAAAGAAAATTTTGAAAAATTTAATAAGGAGATCATTTCAAAAATAATAACAGATTACCTCTGCTTGGAGTATCACAACCTGTAGATTCATTGAGCATTTGTGAAAACTTTTCTGACTCTAAACTTTGCTCTTTCATAGCTTTTTGTAACGACTGCAACATGTTACTCACTTTACATGTAGCAGAATCAGCAATAGCTATTGAAAGTATTACATAATAATTAAAAATCCCAATATAATGCATTCTAAATAAACAGTGCACAAAAATAAATACAATTATTTACATCATTTTAAAGAATGTAATTTTACGTGACAAAATACAAAATGTCAGCAAAATTGGTCAAATGGTTGCTGAGAAATACAATTTTAAAAATACAGCTTTCTGCTCAAAACTTCACTTATTGAAATTTAATTCAACCACATAATTTCAGGAAATTATTATGCTATACGGTTTTGTTTCACTAAAGCTGAAAAAAAAACTTAAATAATACCTAATGTGCTTTTACTATTACTTATTAAATAATTACAAGACAGTAATGTTTGATATATATTCTTATCATTTCTATTCTTTGAAAAATGAAGAGTTTTTAAATGGCAAAAAAATTTACAAAATTTAATTCCTGCTTACGTAAAATATAGGGGTAATTAAAGGGTATGCCTTATTTCAACTTGCTTAGATATAATTAATGCAATTAAAGCAAAGTTAATGATTTTTACTGGAATATATTAATTTCTACACTTTTTTAACTTAAAACAATATTCAATAACAATAAAATATTTTCTGCAACTTTCTTTAGAATGTTGATGGTAATTATCGGCTTTATAGTGTTGAATATGATTTGACATTATCAATAAAATCAGTATTTTATTTTTGTAACGAATATCTTCTTTTTTTTTTTTTTTAAATTAATCAAAGTTTTCTGAAATCCCAACTTTTTTAAAAAGTCTACTCTTTTGCTGAAATTAATTCCATAAAGTAAATTCAAGTTGAAAAAAATAAAAAACTTTTGTTTCTCTACATTTTTAAAATCAAAAACTATTCTAAATAAAAATGTATTCAACATTTCTTTCACTTAAACCGAAATTGAATAACATAAAATAAAACCTCATTGTATTTATAAAGCATCATAAGAATAAGTAATATCAGGTATCCATAACTAAGTCTTACATTTTTTTCTACTGAACTTAAAAATCTTCATTCAATGATAGAAGGTTTCGTCGGCTATTAACTATGTTTCAGTGGATACCATTGAAATTTAATGATATTATATAAATATGTTCCATTAAACCCACATTTTCATTAAGTTACATTGGGGCATAACTTCTTATCTTGGTACTGACATATTTAATTACAGACTCAAACTGTTGAATTTAATTACGGAGTTCACAAAATGCATTACTGGCAATGCACAGTGATTGTAAGCAAACGGCAGATGAGCACAAGTCATATCAATTCGCGAACAATGCTTCAGATGATTTTATTTGAACAAATAATATTAAGTATCCATAACTTCATTCTTACACCTTATTTACTGAACTGAACTAAAGATCTGAAATATTCAGAGCTAGATTATTCCGTCAACTATGAACTAGATTTCAGTGGGTATTATTGAAATTCAATGATACTAGAAAAATAGTATGTTATATTAAGCCCACATTTTAATTAAGGTACATTAGGGCATAACTTATTGTACATCTGAAAAACATCTTCTATCTTTTTTTAACATATTTAATTACAGTTGAATTTAATTACAAAAAAAATTTACTGTAACTGTCCATTTCTACTTGTAATATAAATTAAGCCCTTGCAAAAAATTCTACATATGAAAAAAAAAAATTTTTTATGAAATAATGATCTTGATGGCATAATTTTATTTATTTTTAAGCAAATATGTGAAAAAGCATCTTTACCCTTAGTTATGCCATGAAAGTCATATATCATTAAATATAATTATATGACAAAAGATTGTTATGATTTTAAAGTACTTATCTTAAACTATTGCTGAAATTCTACACAACATAGTTGAGATTACTTTTAAAGCTATCAGTTTTTTTCTTTTTTTTCAGCATTTAAATGTTAGAGGACTGTTTTGAATTATTCCTTTAGAATTTAACAATCTTCTAACTAGAAAACAAATACTATATCAAGAAATATTCAAAAGTAATATGTCTTTTATGTTTTTTAAAGATGACTAGAAATTTATAACAAGGCATGCATAGGCTTACAAAGAAAAAAAACTGCTAATAGATAATTGAAAGAAATAACATATAAATTAAATTAGTCACTGAAAGAAAAAGAAAAAATTCATACCAGTAGAATTAGAAAAAATATCAGTCTTGGATCTTTTCATGGATTCAGGGGTTTGGAAATCAAAAGAAGTTGAACTACTTTTTAAAAATTTTGAAACTCTTCTGTAAGACTTTTGAAAACGTTTTCGCTTCATAACTAAAAAAACATATTTTTGATGAATAAAGAAATACATTTGAATAAAATAATTCAATATTTTTTAAAGTTTTTACTTACTAATTTGTCTTTTCTTCTCCAGAGAGATGGATAAAAGTTGCCAATACCTGTCAAAATTTACAGCTTCGAGGTCATTTTGCATAAAATACACTTCTTTATCTAAGAATTCCTGAAAATTTAAAATCAATCTTTTCAAAATTCAAAGTGCAAAAATAAGGATACAAACTGCAAAAATGTTCAACATAATGGCACTGTTACAGTCACCAAAACAAATATAATGGTATCATTACTTACAATCAGTAAAATAAATACAACGTCGCTATTACTTACAGACAGCAAAAAAAAAATTATTTAATATATATAATGACATGATTAATTATAATCTGGAAAAAAATCTAGGAATAAATCAAATCTTTTTTCTAGCATTCCTCATAACTTACTATAGGGTTTAAAGAGCAATTTTAAATTGTGATTCCTAAGACATTGAAATTTGCATGTGACTATTTAAATTTCTTCAAGGTGGGACATCTTAACATACTCTTAATGCAAGATTAACTTTTCACTCACCCTTATAGTTCATGCAAAATAAATTTTTATAAACATTTCAAATTTCGATTTCAGCACCATTTTGTTGCAATTATTTTATTTATCATAACTAAAATTCATAACAGTTACACACTCCTCTATGTTATTTGATTTTATTAATATGCATTTAAAATAAATTTTATCAAACCTAAATATGCAAGATGTTAATTATTCAATTTGTTTCAATTATAATGACTTTAGTTGGAGCAATTTTTAGACTCTTTTTTTTTTCCTTCCAAATTTCTTGTTTAAAAGATCTTTAAAGAACTTCCTCCTAGTGTCATACAAAACGTACAAAGAGACATAATAAATAACTTTACATAAATGCCACATTCTAAAAATGCCACATTCCACACGTAAATGCCACAAATCAATATTTATTGAAAAGTACTTGATATACAAAAATATACAGAAACTGAAAAGTTTAAATAAGCGTAATTTTTTCAACATCACATATAATAAAAAATTGACACTGCACCGTGATTTTAACTTCCCATTAATTTAAGTCATTTGCATTTGTCCTTCAGCATTTAATATGGAAGGAAAATTTGATTTCCTTTTTAACTGAAACGCTGGGGGAAATGCTCTCCAGAAAGATGCTTTTCAATTTCTTACTTTGCTTGATGCTTTTCAAGTGTTAAGAAAACTCTACTTTTTACACTAGAGGTTTCATTTATTTTCAAGACAAAAATGTATTTACACGGGAAAATAAAAGGCTTAATGAAAAGAATTAAGCATTTTAGTTTTCTTAAAATGTTATTATCAAGCTTTTGAATTTCTTTAAAAAGTTATTATAATAAAGATTTTGAAACAATTATTATATAATATTTTTTTATTTAAAACAAGACTTATAAATAATTTGATAGCTTATTATATGAATAACCAATTTCAAAGGGTTAAAATTGTTGGATATTTGACTATTTGAAACTCTTATAAAAAAAACCACAGTAAGTATTCTGACACAGCATTAGTATGATAAAAGCAATAGTTAAGTTTTGGATATTTTAGTTTAAGAACGTTAGGAGGTTTTTATGCATATAATTATATATGTTATAAAATATTTCAAGTATAAAATCAAGTAAACAATTTAACTGATTCGTAAGAATGTTTATTACACAGAAATAATTAAAAACATCAAAGCTTAAATTCATTAATTATATTAAATTAAGCTATAAGATAACTACACAATATTAAACAAATCATGTAAGTGGGATGCATTTTTCACTCAGTGCATTTCAAAATCAAGATCATTTTAAAGTAGCCATTATCAAGTACAAAATTATCAAAATGCAATGAAAATATAACACTTCAGAAAATGATTACAATATTTTCTGGCCTATAAGTCAGCTTTTCAAATCCCTAAATAGCAATAAAATTTTGGTGTTTGACTTATACTCAAAAGTAATACAATTGGGCAATGAAATTCTTTCGCCAAAATTTGACTATTGGCAATAAAAAATTAACCTTAGTTAGATTTTACAAACAGATAATATGCCAAGAATTCATCAGAATGGGAACATGAGAAGATGGAAAATCATTAATTTGGAGTGAAAGAGCAAAAACTGACTCCCATTCAAAATATTTCATATGATGTATAAATTATACCATATAATAAAAGGTGGATAAGTGTCAATTAAGGTTTTGTCCAAGCAAATTCCACCATTGTGAATGTAAAAATAGTGGGTTGACTTAAACAGCAGATCAATCAGAAAATACTTATCAAAAACAGAAAACATGTAATAAAAAAAACAGAAAACATGTAATAAAAAAAAACAGAAATAACTTATCAAACACATTTATACACAACATTTAATCATTTACTTACATCAAAAGTAGAAAACTTATTGCATATTAAATAATATGCACACTTGCTAATAATATGTGGCCAACTGTTGCTGCTGTCTTTTTCAAGTAAGTTTCTTATGCTGTAATTAAAAAAAAAGTAACATTTTAAAATATTTTTTTTTCAAAAAACTAGTTAAAATTCATTAACCTTTAACTTAAAATTCAATAAATTTACCTTAAAAGCAATAATTCCTTATTTTTGTCCAAAGGATCTGTTATATCATTTAAATACATCCAAATATCTGCAGTATTCATAGGATCCCCAGTATACAAAGGTAAACACAAATCATTTATGAATGCTTCACACTTTTTTTGGAAGTCAATGTCAATGAACTTAAAATCTGAAACATAAATGACATGTAAAAGACATTTTCACAAATTAAAACAATTAAGGCAACACGAAATATAATTAAAGCTATTATTTTATAATGCTAAGAGAATAGGAAAACACCGTCCTTTTATTACATAAGAATTATGTAAATACAACAAAATCTCAATTATCTCATATAATCAGAACTGGGGGACCTACTTCATATCAGCAACACTTTAACAAAGTCGAGAGAGACTCACCATTATAATAATTTATATTCTTTAAATCAACTTTGAAAATAGAACTTACATGCAATCATAATTATTAAATCCTAAATATAGTGACCATTAAATAATATCTTTGTTTAAATTTATAACTAATTAATATCATAGTGATATTAAATGAATGGACTGATTTACAGAGGATTATTAGAAAATTTAATTTAAATTTTCTTCTTAGGATAAAAGGGTATATAATTATAATTCCAAAACAAATTTAATTCATTTTAAATCAAAATTGCACAAAAGGGCATATTTCAGCATGAAAATGAAAATTACCTATTATTTTTATATGGTACTTTATAGGTACTTTATTTATATCACTTTAGAGCTGCACAATGGGCTATTATAATATGCATAACATAGTTAATTTTTGTTGCAAGCTAAAAAGCTTTAACTATATAATAAATTTGAAATAAAAATTTAATACAACATTAGATTCTTTAAGAAAACTCTTAATAACAAGCCGAATAAAAATAGCAAACTCACACTTTAACCTTAGCTTTCAGTTTGAAAGATAATCAATGTCAAAAAGAAATTATATTAAATACAAGATAGGTTGAACTCCGACCCACCCCAGGAAGGTATACGGAGATAAAAGTAAAATTTTTACAATAAACAATTCTCTAAAAACTAAAATTACAGTAAAATTTTGCCAAATGACAGTGGTGGTGATCAGTCAAAAGTGGATGAACTATAACACTTGACAATTAAAAACATGTTTTAAAGGCAATGAAATCCAATAGCATCGGTGTAAATGTCAAGAATTAAATTATTATAATAATAAGGAAACAAGAGATAAAAAATATCAAAACTAAAATCAATGAAAGCTAATAGTCCTAAGTGTATATGTCTAAAAGTAAAAGTCTGACTAGAAGCCGATGAAGTCTAAAATCAAAAGTAGATAAAATTTCAAAATGTAAGGCTAAAAGTTGATTAGTAAAAATTAACGATGACATGCTCTATTGTTGGTTCATGACTGGGGCCAGTTGATCTGGGGCTAGAATGTCCTCGAGGGTTTGTTTAATAATTTGAGTCACAATTTTCCTGCAGGTCAATATAGCAAAGAATTGATGTTCCTCTTCGTAGTTATTCATGTGGGTTCCACGAAGTGCCCGGAATCTTGGACAGTGCTTAATTAGATGTTCAATGTTCTGTCTCACTCCACAGTAATTGCATGAAGCTGATTTTCAATTATATTAAATATATATAACAAACACACTGTCAAAAATGAAAAGGCTTTTATCCTAAACAATGTTTTAAAATAAAAGCATTTTGTAACATATGTTATTAACAATAGATTCTAAAAAAACTTATTTCAGAAAATAAAGATAATGCATTTAAAACTATCATAAAGCAATATTAATGAACTAGGACTGATATGGAATGATATCGTGAAGGGGAAAAAATGTGTTTTAGAGGAGACTGATTCATCTGAAGGAAATTAGAGAAACACATCACTACAATATTTTGTTTATTGGAATCTTTGCTGTTTTGAAGCTTTCAAATGTCAGAAATAGAATGAACGAAATTTATAGAGGTTCAGATTTTCATTTTACTACACAGTATATTAAGAATGTTACAATGGTAAAATAAAAATTAAAAAAAACCACTTACCAGGTTGAAGCATAAATAGTTCTTTGGGAGGCCAAAATTCTAAGACTTGAGCCAAAAAATTAGATGTCAATAATGTTCCTCTAGTTTTCATTACATCATTATAAAATGTTATCATCTCTTGGGGAACCTAGAAGAATATGTTTAGGTTCTTGCAGCTACTTAGACAAAAATTAATTAAGTTTAAAAATGTTTAATTAAAATAACTAGACCAGAATACATACTTGCATTAAAAGCTTGAAATCAGCAAGGGTCAACTTCCAAAATAAAGTATCAAAGGCTGAGGCAAAAGAATCTTCCAAATAATCTCTAAAACTGCAACTATTTATTTTAGGAGGCTGTTCCACATTTTCAATTACCCATTTAATGGCATTTTCTAGCTGAAATAATGCAACAAAAACATATATATTCTTCAACTCTGGTCGTTAAAAATTTCACTTACATACAAAACAAAAGGAAACATAATACATAACTTTTTAATTCCTAAGCTTAAACACTCTTAAATTTTAAGAAAAACAAGCACTATTTTCTCCAGACATAGAAACACACACACTAAGTGAGATAAAGTATCAAAATTTTATTCAGTTATCAATTTTCAATTATAAAAATTTTGACAAAATAAAAATATAATAAAAATTCTTCTTTTCAACAAAAAATTGTCCTCCAACTGAAAATTCAAGCAACAAATTATTAATATCCATAATTTCAATAAACTTAACATGTTAAACAGAATTCTGTATATTGGTTATTTTCAGATGATAACATATTAAACTAATGTTTTTTACAAGCAATTTTTAAAATAATGAAACAGTGATAGAGTTTTTCCATCTTATAAATTTTCAAAAATTATCAAAGAATTCTATACCCTTCTCATCTTTTACAAAAAAACATTGTTCTGCTTTGCTTTTTTTGGGAGGGGGGAAATAACTTATATTCAGAAACAATACTACAGTAGAGTCTCGTAAGTTCGAGTCTCAGAAGTCCGAGGTTCCGCTTAATTCGAGGTGCCAAATTTTCCCCCTAGCAACCAAAAGCGTAGCAAAGGTACTCCTATAAGTAGCCCTATTCTTCAGGAAAAAGCTGTGTTTTTCAGAAATCAGTTCAAAGAAGGAGAAGAAGATTTCGCAGCAAGCGTTGGTTGGTTAGACCGTTGGAAAAAACAATATGGTGTACGTCAACTAAATATTTGCAGTGAAATACTCTCGGCAGATACGTCAGCTGTGCAGGCATTTCAAAAACGGATTGAAGACATTATATTGACGGAAAAGCTCACACCTGACCAGTTATATAACTGTGACGAAACAGGTTTGAACTTTAAGATGTTGCCCTCAAAATCCCTTGCTTCAAAAGAGGAAAATTCAGCTCCAGGTCACAAAAAACGGAAGGAACGATTAACCATTTTAGCATGCGCCAATGCATCTGGAAATCATGAAATGAAACTGACTGTGATTGGGAAATCTGCCAAACCTAGAGCCTTAAAAAACATCACTAAAGAAGCCTTACCAGTACATTACCCAAATCAGAAAAGTGCATGGATGAATCGAGAAATGTTCAAACAATGGTTTTCAGAACATTTTGTTCCAGAAACACGGAAGGCATTGAGAAAAAAAAATTTGCCTTGCAAAGCAATTTTGTTTTTAGATAACGCTCCATCTCATCCCTTAAAACATGTAGAACAGCAAACTGTAGCCACCCCTGCAGATGTTTTGCTTTTGAAGCGTTGGCTGACTATCGCATCAACAAAGAGAAGTAATATACTAAAGCAACAAAAAATTGACAATTTTTTTAAATTGTAAAGAATCTTTTACGTCATTATACTACAGTATAAAGGATTTTAAGGTAATATGATCATTTTATTTAATTTCATTCGTAGTTATTAAAAATTTTCTACTTTTTCGGAAAATCCGAGTTTTCAGCAATCCGAGGTAGTTAGTGTCAGCCCCAATTACCTCGGATTTTCGAGACTCTACTGTATTTGAAAAATATTTCATAACTTCTAGAGCATTGCACCAACTTCTTTTTCTGTTTTATATTTACAAAAACAGAAAAAATTCTTTTCTACAAACTCTAATCAGTGTTCTCCCTAAGCATTTTTTTTTAAGGGCGGCCTGGCCTGGATCCCTTTAATCCTCATAAATGAGTCCTTTTTGCCCCCTTTCTAAAAATAGGCTATCAACCCTTAAAAATGCTACCTTATTATTATTTCCTTCAGGAAAAGGTTTTCTTTATCACCTGCTTCAATGAAGGTGGTTTGTGATTTTTTAGTTAACAATAATTATTTAACTTAAATTTTTAATTTCATTCCTTTTTATTGAAAATTTTCTTATACTGTCTAGTTATTTAGTTAAAGTTCGCATGATACTCAGCCCCAGAGATATTCACATCTTTTATTAAGAAGGGAAGTATATTACTGATTCCTTTAATAATTTTAAATTACACCAATATTTTTTTTTTAAATGAATACCTATTATTTAAAAAATGTACCTTCAGATGTTTATTTTCTCATAAGTTTCAATTCAAAATATAGAAAAAAACTTTAAAGTTGCATATCAATCAATCCTTTTTTTTAGTTTATTTATTTATTTAAAGAAAATTTATACACAGAGATTGTCTCTTAGCTTGCCTTTAATTATTTTTCAAAAGCATCAAGTTTTTCTGCTATTTTGATAATGAGTGAGAATTACTTTGTGAAATATACACATAAAATAGTATAAGAGGATAATTTAAAAATTGAGGATCGAATTCAGTTTTTTCATGGTATTACATATTTTAATAAATTTTAACAGTAATAAGTGAGTGCCCATTTTCACGAGGAAGCACATTGCTTTTTTTTATTCCTAAAGAGAACTCTGCATTAATTAGTAGTTACTCTTACTAATACAAAAAAGAATAATCACCAAAAAAAAAAGATGGGCCAAAAAAGGTAGAAAAAGAATACCATGCATTTTTATTTACCACAAAACTTTAAATAATGTACAGACAAAGCAGATATATAATCTGTGATAAGAGCTATGTAGCTCATATAAAATGTAATTAGCAAAAAGAGCACCAAAATGCTTATGAAATATATCAAGCAATTAAGCTTTCAATAGATAAAATTGAAAATAGGTAATAATTAGATATTAATGAAAAATGCCACTCACTCACTTACTTCTAGGCACTACAGCCCATGAAGAATCTTGCCCTACCTCACCACACATCTTCAAACTTTTAAATCATCAGCTTTCTTCTTACTATTTTTAATTTTAATGATTTTTACGTCTCACTCAATTTCCTGAAACCACTGTATTCTGGGTCTCCCAATACTACTCTTTCCTTTTATTTTTCCTCAAGTGCCAAAAAGACCTATTTTAAACCTCAATTCGTATTCATTTTTACTAAGTGATACAACCACTGCAGCCTTTCACACTTAATGACATTATTTATAATGAAAACACCAATATTTAAAATTTCATTTGTTTGAATCATAATAATTTTCATCAAACAAATGATTTTTTGATAATGTAGCTGTTTTAAAATTTATTCTGCATTTCAACAACTACCTTCCATCTCAAAATGTATAAAACAACAAAGCATAATTTTACATAAATTAATACTTACTTGAATGGTGTATTGAGTATAATTTTGTCCCACAGGCATTTCTCCTATTTTCACAGTTGAGAAATTTTGACCGAGGTGCAATCGACCGTCTAAGAAGGATACTAGCTGATTAACAATATGGCATTTTTCAGAAGAATCCAAAATATATGTGAATAATGGAAAAGGATGTGGCAGGTTTTTATCATCAAACACAGTGTGCAGCCAGCGCAACGCTGCATTAAAATGCTGAAACAAAATTATTAAGACAGTGTAAGTTTAGGGCAAACAAACAATAAAAGAGTAAAATATTTTTAACATAGGTATACAAAGTTTGGAATTAATAAAATATAAAATAAATATGGTATATTTGTGAATATAAACTGAGAATTTGAAGAAAATTTTCTAAGCTAAAGTTGGGGGTCGGCTTATAATGGCATAAACCAACTTTGAAAAGTTCCATTAGGACATCACCAAAAGACTTATCGCCTTTGTCATGCATTAGAAAATATCAGTAAATATTCTAAAATGTACATACAAAACATAAAAATAAATACATAAAATAATAGTTCTAAATGGCATGCTTAAATACAAAAATTGAAAAAACACATCAAAAAGACAAATAGACAATATGAAAGCCATACTAGTATTTTTAAATTTTCTAACTACGAATTCGGAAGGTCCATGCTTCTTTTACCCACTCTGCAACTGTCACTAAATCTACTGTTACTACATGAGAGGGGGTAAATTTGTATTTCCAAGCGTATCACACCCTATTTTTTTTACTTTGGCTTACCAACAATTCTGTATTTTGGGTAAATTTTCAAAGAAAAAACATACTCTTCAGCTCACAAGCAAATAAGCTTATATTCAAAAATATAAGTACTAATACAAAAACAAGTCATCAAAAAAATTTGTGTATTAAAAAATGATAAAAAGTTTCTAGCAATATTTCCAATTTTCAAACAAGCTTTAAAAAAAATCTAAGCAGCTTCAAACATTTAATCAGAAATAAATTTTTGATTCATTAGAAAAATATTAATTTGCGTTGATATTCTTAAAGTGTTGGGTTTTTAAAATTTAGAAAAATTTCTAGACTTGTAGTATACACTTTTAAAAATTAACCTTATAAAAACTTAAATATCTATACAAATGTAGCAATTGTAAGAGTCAGTATACTCGAAGTAGCGTACAAACATAATTTATTACACTTTTATCAATATTTAAAAAACTGCTAATTTCTTAGCAATGCAGAAATATATATTAAATAATAATTCATAACAACATTTTTTAACAAAAATTACTTGTTAAGATTTCCAACAATTTTTAACTTTATAGATGAATTATAACCCTTGTATCATCACCACTAGCTACACAACTGATTTTATTTTATTGCTAGTTTGAAACAGCTAATCAACATTGGATTTTGGGCTATCCTGAACCCAACATTGAAGACAAGGATACTTTTAACTCAAGCATTCAGACAAAATCACGTCAATGAAAGACTTATATACCATTGATTAAACTTGTTACTTAATTCAACCATACTTTTTCAATATCATTTAATGAAAAGATGAAGAATACTCTACCACTTGATGAGGAAACTTAGCAGGACAAAACAGAATAATTCCAGACACACCAAGAAGAAAGTCTTCAAGTCCAGATGTTGACGAAGAATCAAACACTGCACACTCAATACTTACAAGTGTTGTTCCCACATTCAGAACATAGAAACTTAAGAGATTCTGCAACAACAACAAAAAAGTGTATAGTATTGAGAAAACATAAGGTTTACATCTGGGGTTAATTCAATAAAATAGATGTATAGATATGGGAGTTTCCAGAAATTGGACGATTTTTGCGTCACCACATTTCATAAAAAAAGATTTATTTTAAAACAAAAATAGACTTATTTGTAACATATAAAATTGTTTTAGGACCTCTATGATATGTCTCAATAAAAATTAATGCAAATAAGATTTAAATAATTCAAATATTATTTGAAAACCAAATAAAATCACAAGAAAGGTATAAGTTTCATGTGCTTATATAAAACTTATTTTCTTAAGCTTTGATCACAAAAATTTTAGCCTATAATGTAGAAATGTGACTTATTACTAAAGTCTGAACTTTGATGACATTTACATTTAATTTAAAATTTTAGTTTAATTTTTGGAACAGTTCTTTTCCTTTTAGGACATTTTTGAATACTTGTTTTTTTTAATTTTAGGATATTTGTTGCTATGTAATTCCTCATTCTTTTAATGAAAAGAAAAAAAAATTTCTAACTCTCCTGGAAATTTGCACCAATTATGGGACACTTTGCATATGAAAAGAAATTGAGTGTCAAAGTACATTCAGTTTACTTCTAGCGAACATTAGAACTTATTTTCAAAATATACAATTCTTAAGGAAAGTAAAAGATATTTCTAACTAACTTTTAATTACAATATTAAACTGACCAAAAAAGAAGATTTTATCAATTTAATTACAGGCTACTGAATAATCTTTTGAATCTTAAAGTAAACATGAAATTTCTAATCCAAACTCGCACAGTAAATAACATTTCTTAACGTCCTTAATTTGCATATATTTATCGCTATCAAACAGATATAACATTTTAATATACATTACCCAAGCATTTAAAATAAAAACTTACATTTCTCCCAGATGAGTTTGGTATAGGAGTAAGCTTTAATTTTGCCGACAACCATTCAAGCAAAGTAGATAATTTATCTTCACCATAATTTATGAATAAAATGCCAAGTTTAAAGTATTGAGTGATTCCAGTATTTTTAAGATATGCAGGAGGGAAGTCAGCAAGCTTTGATACACTTGAAAAACTCTTGTCATCTAGTGGCTCCCAGCCAACTTTTTGCTTTCGCTGTTCAATTTTTGAATCTACAATAAAATATTATATTACTAAAAGATCAATGTGTTAATGCTATAGACATAGAAACAGTAAATCTAAAATACCACTTAATTTATTTTTTTTTTTAAAATTAGAACTCCTTAAACTGAGAATAAATTCCTTTATTTCATTATTATGGTAAAAAAAAAGTTTATTCCTTTGAAATAATAAAATTCAGCTGTAAATACTGTGGAAAATATCAATCTCTTAAACACCTAATCGCCGAATGTGACAAATTCCGGACACTCCGAGGAAATCTCTTTCGTAATATGAACGACTTGACTCTTTGGTTCCGATCTAAAGCACAAAAATATGCTATCACTGAGATTATTAAACGTACCCTGGTAGATATAATGACACCAGACGATCTCATGGACCCTCTTCATATGAATCAAATTTAGATCTTTGCACCTAATTAACATCTCTCGGGGTTGCATAGCGACCACCTGCCCTGCCACAAACAGCTAATTGCTCTTAATGCTTTCTTTTAATTCTACTCACTTCACTTCATTGCTATTTATTTGTTTTTAACTTTGGAACCCTTTTGGTTCAATGATATTTTATATTTTATATTCTGGAAGCCTGTTGGTTCAATTTCTTACGTTTAAATTGCTTTTGCTTGTCTAATTTACCTTTTGATTCAATGTTTTTAATGTTTACAATCTTTCACTTACCTGTTTACCCTCTTGGATCCAATGTTATATACTGTATTCTTTTTCANTCCACCTCCACCAAAATCTTTCCTAAATTGCACAGTCCCACAGCGGTCAAAGGTTTCTACATTCATTTAGCAATCGTGAGAGAATTTTATGTAGCATTCTAGCTTAACAGAGCTGTAATGGAGCAAATTTTGATGCGAGCAAAGTATTGCTGAGTTGATGATATTTCAACTGTTTGGCGATACATTTCCATTAAAAAAAAGTGGGTATAATGGATGAAATAATTTAAATTAAGAAAATTAGTATATAATTTAAAATAGTTAAATTAAAAAAATTATCGAAGAAAAAATTTCCAGCTTTTCTTTAAAATTCCCTGATTTTTCCAGGTTTTTATCCAAATTTCCCTGATATTTCCAGGTTTTTTCCAGTATAAAAAAAGTTCCCTGATAATTCCAGGTTTTCAAGGTTTTCCAGGTGGGTGGCCACCCTGTTATTAAATTTTAATAACTTCCTTGAAACTTTTAAGCTCCTTAATCACTTCATTTACATGTAATTATGTTATTTTTAATTAGCATTTAATGATTTGATGCATGTGATTGTTTTCCGTTTGAATTATACAATAATGTATATCATAAAATTTTACATATTTTTGAAAAGCTTGATTTTGAAAGCAATTGAAATCCATTATTTTGGATTTAAAGTAGAATTACATAGATTCATTTATAGAATTTATAATTATTATTTCAATGATTTACTGCTGAATTACTTATTTCATTTGCAACATAATAATATATCATTATTTCATAGTTGAGTTTATGATTGTTCTTCTAGTGCAGAATTTCCGATGAAATAATTTTTGGTTTCAGCCAAATTTTGCAGATTTGATGAATATCCCATCTCTGAAAAATTAAGGCAATGAAGAAGTCAAACGAAAAAAACACCTTTGCATAAAAATTATTAAAAAAAATAATTTTGAATAGGAAATGCTCAGAATTGTATTTTAAATTCCTTCCGCAAGCACTAAGGCCTTTTCATTGTAATTATTTTTAGCTATGGCATTTTTATTATTCATTTTTAATTTCAGAATTATCCACTAGAGTTCTGCTGCTGAACTTGATATTTAATTATTGAACAATTTGTGTGGAATAAACATTTCCCTTATTTGCAAGATTTCCCCAGTTTGGCAGTTATTTGCTATAGAAATCAATCAATGAAACAAAATAAATTAGAAATGTTATAATTATAAAATAATTAAAATGTAGAAATACATTGATTTTTTTATATATAAATTATATAAAGAAAAACAAAAATATTTAGTGAACATTAAAATGTTTCTGTTTAAATTTTAAAAAGTAAATTCCTTAAACCGCTTTCCAGTTATACTTAAATATTAATTCTTTTTAATTCTTTATTTAGAGCAAAATAATTTTAGACAAATGCATCATTCATATAAATACCTGCCAAGCGAGAAACAGAACAGTGAGTCTTATAAGCAGTAAAAGGACTGGTAGCACCTGATGAAACATATTCTGAGTTCATTAGCATAGGCACCCAAGATGATGAGGGTTCAAAATCTTCAATAATTTTTCTCTGCTTTTTCCGTTGGCAGTATAGTTTCCATCTAAACATTAAAATTACTCTTAATTGAACTATTTTCAGAATTTTAATGATAATTACTTTAAGGCAAAATGTCATTTCGATAAAAGTAAGCTGTTATTATAATATTTATCAACAGGCCCTTTTTCACATCTATGCATATTTAAAAAAAAAAATCTCATTTGTTAATTTTTTTGAATTTGCAGTAATATTTTTCAATCACATTAGTAAAAATTCCCTATAAACTCTGTAATAAATTTATTCAACATAATTTGCTTAAATTTTAGAACAGGATGCATACTAGAAGAGCTTGTTCAATAGTAACAATAATTGAATTTAATAATCTGAATAAATAAAAAATGATTTGGAAATGAGACAAACATGATTAAAATTTTGTAACTGAAATACATTTCTTTTGAGATATTTCTAGTTCACATGATTAAAAGTAACAGTAAAAACTATGGTAATCTAATAAAAAAAATTGCAAACCAGTGTGAACAAAACATTGATAATAACATCAGAAGAATGGAAAAACAAATCAAGTACATGAATATGATAATTAATTTTCATAACTTTCCACAATAAGTTATGCAATTTGTTTTCTGCCAAATTAAAAGTCTAACCTATCAAGAACCAACTCATTTTTTTTATTCGTCTTGTACTATTACAATAAGCAAATTAAATATTATGAATAATGTGAATAAATTATCTTGGAAAGCAAGCCTACCAAATACTGGATGCAGTGGTGACAGGATTTTATTGAAAGCCACATATTATTAAGGAAATTGGTGTGGATTAAAAGATATATTTATCAAAGAATTGGTTGTTTACAAGAAATAGCATTTGAAGACTTTTGAGTTTTTGTAATCATTGATAATTAATTATTGATGAGTTTTTGTAATCATTTAAGAAGAAAGAAATCAAAATTGTCCACATTTTGTTTTCAAAATAATGAAATTAAACAAATACAAATGTATTCAAATCATTCAGTTGAAATGAAATGATTATTCATTTTAATGAACATATTTATAATTATTTTTTTTTAAAAAAATGAACTTAAAATAGTAAACACTGAAATAAGGCCCAGAAAGTGCAGCTGCAAGACCTATTCCCTACAGAACATTTCCTGCCAGCACAAAATTACAAAACAAAGCTAAGTAAAGCATTAATTTATATTTTGCTAAGAAAAGTTAAAAGAATCTTTAGATTTTATGATAGAAAATCCTAGATATGGGTGAATATTTAAAAGTGGAGTTCAGACGAAATCTTCTCACAAGCGAACAAAAGATTTGTAGAATTTTTTATTAAATAATTTTCATCTAATTAAAGCGAGTGGGATTCAAGAAACAAGGCCTTATCTCAATGAATGATAACAGTTTCTTTAGCAGCTATGTCTAATTATTAGTTCATTATCAAAAGAAAATCAAGCATGCAACTTCAATGTATCTCTCTTTTTTTTTCAATAATTCCTTAACATTCTGACTCAGGGACAAGATAAGCCAAACACCCCAAGCCTTGCATTCACCTTATAGTAATTAAAAGTACAATTAATTAAAAATATTAACAAACACCTTAAAACATAAGGATAGATCCAATATTGATTGATATAACATGAAAAGTGAATTTAGCCATAATTAATTGTTGTTCATATTTTAAAAAACTCAGCAAAAGAAACTCAAAGAAAAAATATATGTTCGAGAATTCAATATATACTATGCTAACATTAAAGTGGTAGAAGAAAGAACAATTAAAAATAGATTTTTGAAATTTGCTCGCATAATATGTATTGAATAATAACTGGTTGCACACTTGTTTTGAAATAAAAGGTAAGCTGCTATGAAAAGGAAGACTCATCCACTCATTGAGTGAATTGTATTAATTAAAAATTAATTTAATGCTTTATTTATTAGGAAAAAAAGATTTCAGAAGAAAATTAAATTAAAAAGCTAAGAAATATGGTATATAACAGAGAAGTAAAATAACAGGAAAAATAGTATCATAGAACACATAATTAAAAAATATCACCACAAAATATATTTTTATTTGTAATCAATAAATTTTCAAAAACTAAATTTTTATTCTTTAATGTGAAACGGAGTAAGAATGGATAAAAGAAGAATAAATAATAGAAAGAACAGATTATAGAATCAGGATTAAAATGATTTTTGTCAAAATGTATGAGTAAAAATTGATCCAGAAAAACATTACTTATAAACAGTTCCCATGACAATCTGTTTTTGCTTCCTAGCCAATTCTTCATCACGCTTTCTTTTGTAACTCCACTCTTCAGCAATAATTTCTTCACAAATTTTAGAAGAAATTTCTTCAATGCACTGAGTATAGACTTCATCACTCACATCAGCAATTAATGCAGCTTCAGTTTCAGCTCTATGTATGGGGAAAAAATTGCAATAANCTTGGGCAAAAAAAAATTTCAGCGGAAATTAGCGGGAAAAATGGAAAAATCTGAAAAAAAGCGGAAATCCGCGAATCCGCGGAAGAATCTCATCCCTGAATATCAAACTTATAAATTTTTAAGATTCTAAAAAAAAAAAATCAGCACATACAACTGTATCAACAATTATTAAAATAACTTTTTTATGAACCAGAATGAAATTTCAGTTTTCAAATTTTGATGATAAGGCCTCAAAGTCTATTTAAAAAAGGGATAGATGGAAACTGCAAATTCTCCTTGATTAAATTAGTTAAATAAAAAAGGGTTACACCATGCAATGAAGCATTCATCAGGAGCTCTGGTGACCCAATGGTTAGTTGGAGAACCGGACTCCGATCTGGAGGGTTCAATTCTCGATTCCGCTAAGACGCACCAAGTACATGTGACATATGTGCTCATAAAATCTAAGAAATCAGAAGTCCTGTGGTTGGTCGCTGAGCAGTATAATAGGTGCAGGGATCTGGAAAAAATTCCTGCCCCATTGAGGAAGTGACCTTACAAATGAGTGGCACTGAAATATATATGGTGGAGTTCTGAGTTAAGACTTACTTTCACCCTTGTGGTGCTCTTGTAATACAAAAGGCACAGCTTTTCGACTCAAATCAAAAAAGGTCAATGGCTGGTGAGCTTGGCCTGCATTCATCAGAGCAAGAGTTTGCATAGATTAATTTATAATGAGTGACAATTTTGAACAATCATTTTAGCCAGCAGATAAAAACAAATTATATATGAAATTCCAATTTAATTGGATAAGGTCTAAAATTTGAGTTTACCCATATGACAAAAACAAAGACCAGATTTTTAATCAAACAATTGTAGCAAATAATGAATAATTTCACTTACTTTAATTTCAATAATACCTCTTCATCTTCACCTGATGAAATGCCATAACTATCAGAGCTATGAAAACAAAGTAAACATTTACAATTAATTATGAAGCATTGTTCAGTGTAACTGATATAAAAGAGAATACATGAGCACTAACAGAGAAAAAAAAATTTTTTTACTTAATTTTAATGAAAGTTAAAAAAGTGTCTTACTTTTCAGTAAAATCAAGCTCAGCAATTTTCTGATCATNTGAAATGCCATAACTATCAGAACTATGAAAACAAAGTAAACATTTACAATTAATTACGAAGCATTGTTCAGTGTAACTGATATAAAAGAGAATACATGAGCACTAACAGAGAAAAAAAAATTTTTTTACTTAATTTTAATGAAAGTTAAAAAAGTTTCTTACTTTTCAGTAAAATCAAGCTCAGCCATTTTCTGATCATCTGTTTCATTTTTACCTAAACTAAAAGCAATTGAAACACCATCCGCAACTTCTTTATCATTAATTATTCCCTCTGTTTTATCCTGAATTTTAAGAAAGAAAAAATACATTTAACTAATTACTAAAAATTAAGAATAGTTATTTATGTAGGCACAAAATTTTTTTTTTAATTATTATAAATCCTATACTAAGTACAGGAAATGGCATAAAAAAAAATTGTTTTAAACATTGTCTGATCAAGCTTAGTTGAGTCAATTCATATTAAAGAGTTAAAAGTTTTAATTTTAATTCAGAACAAAATAAATTTATTTATTTTAGTAATACCATAGCTAAAAAAAAGAAAATAATTTGTTAAATCTTCCAATTTTGCCTAATTAATTAATTTTATAAATGAAATAGGGAGGAGTCTTCATAAACTTTATATTACTGTATATATTAAATTTTATATTATTGTATTAATAATATGTAAAAAGCCAGAAAACCAATAGCTTTTAAGTTTACATAAATATTGATTGGTTACAAAATTTGTCAAAATTTCATCCTAAAAAAAGAACGTATATTGCACATTAATTTTATTTATGGTTACTGGGCATTTTGCTAATTTATACTTTCAAGGAATATTGATAAGGTAATGATCAAAATGCTTATAAAAAACAGACAATGTCAAGTTTTAAAAATTTCAGCTAGTTTTGAGTTTTAATTTTTAGGCTGTTTGCTAATAGCAATATAAACAGAAATGAGATAACAAGCTTTAACTGCTGTTGTTTCTAATAACTCTTGGACAAGCAAAGCTTGTGATCAATTGGTTTTTTGCAAATTAAGTAAGGAAAGTGAGTCTCTCATTTTGACAAGAGCACTGCAAGGCTGAAAGTATGTCTTAGCTGAGAACCTCGTGAATAGATGGCAGCACCACTCATCTGTAAGACCATCTCCTCAATTTAGATATAGGTCTGAAGGGGAAGAAAAACTTCTCCTGATATCTGCAGCCGTGTTACTGATCAGTCAACGACCATAAGACTTTCGATTAAACAGATTTTATGAGCACATAGATTACAAGCATTTGGCGAGTTTTAGTGGAATTGAGGATAAAATTCCAGCCTATCCAAACAGAAGTCCGAGTCCCTAACCACTGGACTATAATGTCCCCTTCTTTAACTAATAAGCTACGTAGACAGAAATTTTCCAGTGTAGTGCAGTATCTCCAATGAATAATATAAGTGTAAGATAGTTACCTCAGAGGGAAAGCAAACGGATTGAAGACTACAAATTTAGTATTGTTAAGGATCGTCAATTAAAAGGCTAATCTAATATATATAATTCTCTTATGTGGCTCCCAAATTTTGGCTGTATTTCTTTTCCGCCGGTGGCAACGTTTGCTCTGTTTTGTTTACGTTATTATTTCTCTTACACGGCGAATCGACTAATGATTGCCTCTAAAAATTTCACATGCCAAATCTAGCTGAGGTGGCTCAACATATAGCGCTTTTAAAAACCGAAACTGAAATAACAAGAGAGCATCAGCTTCGGCATTCTCATACTATTAAGCTAGGCAGAAGTGAGTAGTCTTTGTCAATAGATCTCTATTTTAGTATTTTGTCGAAAGTGCTTTTTTTTCACGAATTTGCATATTACAAATTTATTTGATGATTTTTTATTTAGATCACAAATTATACTATAGCACATTTCTAATAGGTTTAACGAATTACATGTCATTTATTTGAATTCAAATTTATTTTAATTAGAGTGATTCTTGNTTTTTTTTTAAAAAAAAGGTTTTATATGGATTTGAATGATTGTTTTGAATTCTTAAAATTTTGTGCATTTGCAATGCACCTAAGTTAGTAGCGAGCAAAGCGAGCTTGGTTTGTGAAGCAAACCATATAAGATTGCGTAGCAATTTTCGGGGGTTGGCGAGCGTTAGCGAGTAGGGGGCGCAGCCCACTAGTTAAAAGGAATTTAGTGTTATTTTTTAATAAAACTGATTAAAGACACAGAGTTCAAAGAAAAACATTTCATATTTCTATCAAATCACAATAATTAATAATTTTCATAATTGATTGATAAAGATGTATACTTTTAAAGTTCTGATAAAATATAATGAAAATTCAGACACTTAATTAAAGACGTGGCATTCCGTTTAAAGTCAAAATGTCAAAAAGTACAAATTTATATCTTTCTGTCTTTTCTAATAATGAAATTATTAAAACTATAACANAGCAGCGTCGTTTGAACTACAAAAATCGGATCTATCTGGAGGGCGGGTAAAAAATTCGGAAAATCTTATCTGCTGCGAGTAAAAGGGGTGAAAATAGCTATAATAAGTAAAAATGAGAAAGGATTGCTAGCTATGTAGTTTGAATTTTCTGTTTCTCTTTGAAAATCGGTGAATTTTCTGAAAAAGCGGAATATTGATAAAAAAAAGTGAAATTTTTAGAAAAATCTGAATTTTTGATAAAAAAAAACTGAAATTCAAGAGATAAAAGTGAAAAAAGCGGAAATCCATTAAAAAGCGGAAAAATCTCATCCCTGATAATTGATTGATAAAGATGTATACTTTTAAACTTCTGATAAAATATAATGAAAATTCAGACACTTAATTAAAGACGTGGCATTCCGTTTAAAGTCAAAATGTCAAAAAGTACAAATTTATATCTTTCTGTCTTTTCTAATAATGAAATTATTAAAACTATAACATTATCATTTTTATGATAATAATTTAGACCAAATAATTTTGTTTATTTAAATTTTTTACTACTAGATTGTGTAGCTGTAAATAAGACTTCAATTCAATATTCAATGCATTATCAGAAGTAATATTCATTTAAAAAACATAATTACCTTAATGACCTTTGAAAATGGAAGAACAGAACTAATTTTCGTCTCTAAACTTTTGGAATTAGTTTTCTGCATTTTACTAATGGAATTAAGGGTTTGTAGAGGTGGTACAACAGAACTGATTTGCTGCAATGTTTTAGCTGAACTTCCTTGCACCAATGGTTGAACAGAACTAGTTTGCTGTAATTGCTTAAAAGAATTAGTTTGCTGCAATGACTTTACAGTACTAATTTGCTGCAATGGCTTTATAGTACTAATTTGCTGTAATGGCTTTATAGTACTAATTTGCTGCAATGGCTTTATAGTACTAATTTGCTGCAATGGCTGAATAGGCCTAGTTATAAGCTGTGAGACTGGAGATCTTGGCAGTGTCTTATTCATGTTTGGCTTTGATTGGTCTAATGTGAGTGTGACAGATTTTTCATGAGGAACCTCGCCAACAGCTCTGCGTCTATCTCTGTTTGGATCTGTCCGGTTAAAGGAACTTGATAAAAATTGGGATATTGGCAATGATGGTCTCAATTCGTTTGCAGGAGCAAAAAAAGATTTTTCTGTTACTGATTTCTTTTGGGTAAACATCTTTTGTGAAGTTGATTCGACAGATTTTTTAGGTGCAGAAAAATCTTTAAATGAAAAAGTACTAGAAACCACATGACTTGAAGAACTCCTTAATGGCTGTGGTGCTGTAAAATCTTCAACAGAAGCAACTGATACCACAGGAGCTTTTGAGATGGTAGATTTGTGTATTCCTGAATTTGTCGTATGTGGTTGCTTTTGTAAGCTCATAAAACTCTTTGATGACCAAGTGCTGTCTTGAGTATTAGTTTTGAATGAGAAAGTTTGGCTTTGTTCAACATCTTTTTCCTTATGAGAATTCAACAAAGAAGTTTTTTCCTCATTAACAGAAATTTTTGAAGGAACGAATGTTTTTTTAACATCTTTCAAGTTATTTTTATCCACAGAAGTTTTGACTGGAAAAAATGCTTCTCTATTATCTTTTACAGTATTTTCATTCACAGTAGCTTTAACAGGCCAGATTGATTCACTGGTATCTTTCACTTCTTCTATGTCCTGATCCATTTCTTCTACAAAATCTTCATCTATACCTAAATACAAAAAACGAAGGGGAAAAAAAGCATGAGGGAAGCAACAAAGTTAAATATCAACAAAAAAAATACTGTTATGTTAGAACAGATTAAAACTTTCAAAGAAAAAAAACTAATCATGTAGTACAAAATTAAATATTTAAATGTAGCATTTTTTTTCTTTACTATTTCATGATCGTTTTATTTTTAACTACCATGATTGCTCCACAAATATGTTTGTTCTGTGTCATAAAACACAAGTTTCATAGCAGCCAACATAAAAAGAAAAAGACTCAGACTTAACAAAGCAATACAAATGTAATGATGACTATTCGGTAACACCGATAATATTTTCAGACATGATGAGTTTAAAAGATTTTTACTGTCAAAAAAACTCAAACATTATATTGTATTAACTATAAATTTTAGCTGACTGCAATGTTCTATATCTAATTAACATTATGATAGATTAACAGTATTAAAAGGATTACACATTGATTAGCATTGAATTTATTTTATGTTTACGATAAATTTTAAGGATTTTTATTGTCAAAAAAAACTATATTTTATTAACTACAAAAAATTTTTTGACTACAATATTTTCCTTTTAAGATTAATATTATGATGGATTAATAATATTAAATATTAACGTAAGATATTTTTATTATGCAAATTATATCTTGAAATTCATAATTTTTGATAGTAATATATTGAATATATTGATAGTAATATATTGAATACATTTAAAACAGTAGCAAATAAAAAAATCCTATTATAGAAACTGAATCAATCATTCATTCCAATAAATCATCTGTAGTTAATTATTGCTTTTTCTTTCCCCACAAAAATTTTTTTTAAAACAATTGTCTGTGAAATTACAAGCTAGCGCAGTTAGAGAAAATCGAATAACCATCTCTCTGATCAAGCAAAGAATGTTAAAACGTCAGTTTTTCCAAACACTAAATAATTTAATTAAAATTCCATACAATAAATAATAGCAGAAAATATACTCTAAAAGCACTGCTAAACTACATGTCAAAAGTGTAGTGCTATTAAAATCAATTCAAATCAATCAATTCAATTGATTTGGTTCAATATCAATTTCACAAATTTTAACTGAAGAAGCATATTTTGGTGTGGTATATCATATTTTAACTACTTTCATTATAATTCTTGTTAAAGTGTGTGTGCTTTTGTTTCTGAGTTGCACTGCAACTGAGATGCAAAATTGTCACTGCTTTGAGCAGGTCAGTGAAATTGAACTCTTTTTTTTTTTTTTTTTAACTTTGTATGTTTGTAATCATGCATTTTATTTTTTTCTACTTCAATGCTCATTTAATATACTAATTTAAAAACAAACGATCAATCAATATAATTTGAAACAAATATGCAGTTTTCAAAGAGTTAAAAATAAAAAAACGCTGAAAATGAATTTTAACAAGCAAACAAAACAAATCATAATTAAAAATAAAGAATATATAAATTTAAAGATAAACTATAGATGAATATATAACAACAGCATGAATAAATTGCTATACACTTAGTTGGTCTATTTAGTAACTTAGTTTAATTTCAGTAACAATTTAACTAATTAATAACAAAAATAAGCAAATAATAAATGTCATTTTAAAGCTTTAAATTGTTAACAAGGTGCTTACTTTGATTTGATTCAAATGAAAAAGAATCATCTTGCAATAACCCTTCATCTTGCAATAATCCTTCATGATTGAAACTGTTAAGGGGCTTATACCATATCAATGGGTTTTGATTCAAAGGTCCTTTGTTTATGGCCTGAAATTTCAAAAGCATAACTAAACATGGTTTATATATCTTTAAATATAATACATTTCAACCTATTTATGAAATACAGGCTGAACTTATCTAGAGTATAAGGGGAAACAATGTAACATTCTTACAGTATGCGATGATTAACACAAAAATACGTTTAGGGCCATTTTGGTATTTCTCATTTTTTTATTGCTCTGGAATTATAAAAATAACTTACTGAAAGTATTAAGTCCTTTTGATTTTTCATAATTTGATCCAATTTAAGTGCCAATATAACCATTCACGTGTTAGCCTAATAGGAACATATATATGTACATAGAATATTATACCTAGAATGACGGATGAGCCTCTAAGGTATTTTGGTAAGTACTCCATAATCCCATCTAGGTTTTAATTTTAACCTGCCAAGTGTTGAGCTGGGTAAAATTGTGTGGAAATTTCTCTACTACTCTTCCATTTAATAACATGGAAGAAACTGGTATTTTAATGCATGAAACCTTGCAGTTAAAAATTTTGAAAAAGTTATGTTAACGTGCAAAGGTTAACAGATACTTTAGTAGATATACAGTATCGCAGTTTCATGGGGGGGGGGCAATAAGAGTATTTCAACATATCTTCCATTATTATTTATAGAGAAAAAGAAACTCAATTATCTAAACTAATGGATTAGTATAAATGAAAAGTCAATGTTCTACTTAATCAAATAATTTCCTTAATCAAATCGAACAAAATACCCCAGAATTTTGATGACTTTTTCTCTAATATGTTCTTATTAAATGAATTCTGATTATACACTCTATAACCAGGGATTAGAGTAGTCAGAAAGTAAAAAAGAGGAAATCCAAGAATATATATATAAACAAAAATTTGACAAAAAAAAGTGGNAGTAAATGATTAAAATTTCAGAATAATTGAATAATTTATTGCAGAGTTATAGTAACAAGTTCAATAAGGTGTTGACCCGCCTCTAGCCTGGATACAAGCTGCCACACGGCATGGCATAGACCGATAAAGCTCCCGGATGGTCTCTTGCGGTATTTCCCGCCAAATTCGATCCAATTGTCAAACGAGGTCATCAACATTTCATGCCAGATGCAATCCTCTTCCCATCATATCCCAGAATGCTCGATGGGAGAGAGATCTGGTGATCTGGCAGGCCAAGGAAGAGTTTGACAAGCTTGCAGACAGTTCATAGCAACATGTGCCGTATGCGGTCTGGCATTGTCCTGCTGAAAAACCAGCCCAGGGCGCTGCAAAAGGAACGGTAGCAAAACAGGTCTTAGGATATCGTTGACGTACCGCTATGCTGTAAGTGTACCTCTAATAACGACCAAAGGGGTCCGGCTGTCAAAGGAAATGGCACACCAGACTATAATGCCTTGTTGAGGGCCGGTGTGGCGTGCAATAGTGAAGGCAGGATCCCCCCTTTGCCCTGTGCGTCTCCAAACACGTCTTCGATGATCGTCAGGACACAGTTGGAAGCGGAATTTGTCACTAAAGACTATACGTCCCCAGTCGGCATCATTCCAGCCATATCTGTTCAAAACATTTGTGCATACGAAATTTCAAAGCAATCGGATGATTGCTTCTTGGTGCGTCGATTTTTTTGTTATAGAATGTATATTAAGATTGCAGAATTCTAACAGATCTAAACACAAGCAATCTGGGAAGGGACAGACTCGCCCCTTTAGACTTTTTAGGTATGTAGTAATTTTCCAGTTTCCCAAGTGTTAAATTTTATCCAACTTACCTTCCAGCAACTTACAAATTCTTCGATAAATCAAGATTTAACATTTTCTTAACTTAACTATCTCACAGTCTTTTTTTTTTTCTAGTTCAATGAAACCTCAATAAAGTGTACAACCTAATGACTGAGAAAATTGTTTGCTCATAAGAAGAGTCCATTTAAAAGGAGATATATCTCAATTGAGAAATCTAACTCCATGAACTATTTTTACTAAATTAATGTGATAGTTGAATAAATGGATAATTTGAAAAAAGAAATGACATTAGTATTTATTTAAATTTAATAAAACCATAATGATTATAAATCATAGAAATATGCATTATAAAATCTATGCATTACTCGCATATTATGTTCTACAGTGATCCAAAGGAAAAATATTGAATTGAAATTTGTTTTCAATGATTTCACCTCAACAGGGGTTGTTGTATTTTTCTTACATATATATTCAATTCATTATACATTTCAATTTTATTGTTTCCTTAAAGATAAAAAAGCCTAAAGATAAATCTCATAATTACAAATTTCAACATCACACAATGATTTTAAATTATTCATTTGACTTCTCATTTAACTTCTTCATTATCATTATGTTGGATGTAGAGAAAATTCATTTTCTCAGACAACAAGACCTCAAAAATATTTTCACGCTTTAACTATGGAGTTAACATAACTTTTAAATATTATGATAAAAGCTCCAAAAACTAATGTATTCTTATAAAACTTGCACATATCTTTAGCTAAGATATTTTTAATTACAGCAGTTTTATGAGCATTAATTTTTAGTAATTGTTTAGCCAGAAGATAAGAATTTAGAATTTTTAGATTTTAGAATTGTTATAAATATTATTTTTATGCCAGAAGATAAACATATTTTTACTGCTCTGAGAGCTTAACTTGATTTTTTTTTTAAAGAAAGTTCCAATTAAATATTTTTGAAGGCAATAAAATGCAAATATGTATGAAAATGTTAAATACGCAAAAAAAATTAACTGTTATTTAAAAATGAATTTAATTTCTGTTTTTCAAACAAAATAATTAATAACTATTCTGGTTTATATAAACTAATTATGAAAAAAAATACACAATTATCTTCACTTCCAAGTTTAATTATCTCGAATTAAATTGCATAGTAAATTTAATTATCTTTTAAATTATCTCGAAACTAAAACTCAATAAAACATTTGTACAAAAGTAATTTAGCAGATAATCCTACAATTTACCACTTAAAAATTCATTGAAAAAAATCACAGTAATATTGATTGAAATCCATCATTTTTAAAATCCAATGAAAGAGACCAATTAATAATAGTTAAACTACAAAATTCCATTACACATAATTTGTTACTGCATTTGATGAAAATAATAAATATTAATAAAAACTAATTCTCAGAAAAAATAATGTCCTGAACACATAAAATATAATCAGGAAATTCAGAATAAATAAGAACCAAATATTTCTTTACCGAAAAAAAATCAGAACTGCAAATTCTGTTAACAAACAAACCCAATACAAAAATTTTTAAATAAATTTGAATTCATAAATATAAATAAAATAAATATCAAATCAAATTACCTCTCCAAGACCTGATTTAAGTTTATTATTGACAAGAGTAGGAGATCTTGTAACTGGAAAAGCAGAAGAAGGTCTAGAAAAGGTTTGTCTTTCAATTGTAACAAATAAATCATCAGTTGTAAGTCCATGCCAGTGGCAAAAGTTGGCAGCTTCCAAATCATTCTCAAATTTTAAGTCTCTCACTAAATTGGCTAATGGGTACTGGAGAAAAAATAATTTAAGTTAAACAACTAACTAAAACAATTAACTTCTGTTAATTAAAATAAGAAAATAGTGCACCAAAAAAAAGGGACCACCCTGAATAACTTTTGGTTTAATGATCGGATTGTCACATTCTAGGACTCAATCTTAATGGTTTTAATGTGTGACCTCAAATATGCTAATTAATTAGTGCACAAATTTTAAGCTATGAAATCATACACAAAAACTTACTTTCTCTGAATAAATATACCTATTTGTTGACAGATACAGATTTCTGAACACCAATAGATTGAGGGGTAGCCAGTAGCCGCAAATGGTCTCCATAGTTTGGTCAGAAGAGCACCCAAAGTTTGGACCTCATAATGTTAATTTTACTTTTAGCGTATTTCGAAATATCTAGAGATTTCTTTAAGCGAATCAAAAAATTTTTGCATACAATTACACAACTTGTTCATTCAAAGATACTGCCAAGCAAAAAATAAATGTTAGCAAATATTTATTTTTAATTATTTTATTTAATAACAGTAGGAAGAAATGAATAGTAAGGTATGTATTTCTTTACAACATATAAAAGTACGCAATTTTACATGGCAAAACACAAAATTTGAGCGAAATCGGTGGAATAGTTCCTGAGATATCAAATTTCAAATAAACAACTTCTTTAAAATTTGATTTCTCAGGAACTATAGACTAATTTTGCACAAATTTTGCTTTTTGCCATGTAAATTTATATACTTCAAAATGATGCAAAAAAATTATGTGCCTTACAATTCAACGAAGAAAGTCTGAATCAGTCGGAAAAAAGCTAGGTTTATTCAGAGAAAATACATTTTTGTGTTGGATTTTGTAACTTAAAATATCGTCTGCACTAATTAATTAGCATATTTGAGGTCACCCCTCGAACCATTAGGATTAAATCCCAGAATGTGAAGATCCGGTCATTAGATCAAGTTATTCAGAGTGGTCCTTTTTTTTGGTACACTGTACACTAAACTATGTTAAATTATAAATATTAATTTTAAAAAATTAAGGTTTTTATAATATTTATAAGTAAATAAACTTAAAACCTACATTTTTAAATATAAAAGATAATATTATCAATCATTTATCATTAGTTGAAATCGGTCAGACTACGAATAAAAAGCACTATATATAATAACATCATGAATTATAATTAGCACTCTACACAAGGTTGATTTCATAATGAAGCTATATGGGGCTGAGTATTATATCAAACGTATGAAATCATTAAATTTTCACGATGTAAAACATTAGTATATAGGTTAGCTATAGGTCAATAGGCTAGATACAATGAGGTATGAATGGAATAATTGCAAAGGAACATGCGACTCAAAAGTGCCAGGAAATCATTGATTAAACAAAGTGTATCACCATTTCTAACTGGAGATTTTTGAAAATGAAAATTTTTCATGGAAATTAAAACATTATTTCCAAAATTTTTACAAATTTCCTTTATAAGAAAACCAAAGCTGTCAACTGAAAATTAAAAAATCTAATAGATCTTTTTGGCAGAATGTAAACCAGTTATTTGTTTTTCTTCAATTATCATGTAACCTGAGTAAATCAGCCTACTTCAGTAGCAAATTCAACATAATTGAAATAAAAATGGAAAATAGATTATTTATTTATATGAACAGTTCTCTTCAAATATTTCAATTCTGTACAACTTAGATTTTGGTTTGTTTCAGCTTTCCATTGCCAATGTGGGAAGAAAAATTTCCTCAGTTTCGTGAATATATACAAATTTATTAGTATTTAAATTAATATAGAATATAATTTTTATATACAAAATACATACCAAAATAGAATAGTTTGCAGTTGAATATGCTCGTATGATACTTTGTATAGCACGGATTCGAGCTTCATTGATATATCGATGCAAGATGCAGCTATTTAAAAATGATGCTTTCTCAAAGAGCTTAAAAAACTTGACATAGTTATTACTCTCAAATGCTAATGCAGCGTTAAATGCAAATTTTAAGTCAGGTGACTTCACAATGTCTTTATGAATGTCTTTCACAAGTCTGAAAACAAAGAATAAATCAAATAGCAAATTCTGATGATTGAACAAATTATTAATTTTACCAATTTCAAATGAATATTTATCCATTGAGATCACTATAGGTAGTAATTCAATTTTTTTTAAAAAAAGACATTAAAATAGTTCAACTATTAAAAAAAATACTTCTCTAATAAAGAAACAAAACCAAAATAGAGAGAAGTAGAGAATGCAACCAACTGCCTTGCAATTATATGCATCCAGGGCTCAAAATTAACAATAGTTCAGTAGTCCGAAACCCTAAATTTGACTCAGATCACCATATAATAATTATTAGTCGTCCCCCGAACCAGCATTCAATGTAATGGAATGATATTGCTGTTTTGGTTTTTTTATTTTTGGTTTCATACTTTAGTCTATGTTTCAGTCAAAAAATAACACATCACATCATAATAGTGACATTACACATTCTCTATATTATATTTTGCTTTTATTTAAATTAACTTTACTAACTTTTTAAAAAAATCTAATAGAGATATATAAACAGACAATGTGTGCAGACTAGTAATATCTTTTAGTTACAGGTCCTTCAGACCCGTGATGTTTTCTTAATTTCTAGTCCTGCACATCCATGCACATAGGCATCCTGGGATAGGGTGAGTGTATATGTCAACCTCAATAATTAGAAATCTCTTAAAGTTTCCTTCAATATTTCAGACAAATAAAGAAAATTTCTGTGAATAAACATTGATTTGAACAAGAAAAATATGAAAAAAATGACATGCAAAAACATGAAAAAAAAATTTTATTATTAAATTTTCTTGCACTTATTTAACCCATTGGCGGTTTAGCAAATAGGCAAAAGTGGGAAAATGTTTCTCCCCAATACATCACTTTTCTATCTAATAACGTGGGAAAACCGGTTGTGCTGTGCAGAGAAAACTGCAGATTAAAATACGATTTTTTACGTGCAGAACTGTCAGTGGGTTAACAGGTATAAGAATATTTTTTTATTGCATAAAATTCTCAGAATTATTGTGGCTTTGTATTTTAATTTTGTCTCCCTCAAAATTGTCATGATCCATGCATGTTTATATGATTTTTAAAACTATATAATTTCTATCAAATTACGTAGCCATATGTATACCGCAACAAAAATGTATAACAAGCTAATTTTTTAGTTAAATAAATTTTTTTTTGTACTAATTTTAAAATATACAGTCAAAAAATAAAAGCTATTTAACTAATATTGATATAAATACCCACATCAGCTTTCTAATTTCAATTTTATAAATTTTATATACTTTTAGCATTTTTAAAAAACAAAAGTGAATAGTCAGTTACCATTTAGTGAAATAAAGATAAAGAAATTAACTTAAGCTATTTTCAATCATGTCGACCTTTCTTCCATATGATTTTGTAAATTCTTAATCTTAAAATAAAAAACTGCATAATCATTATAAAAAAACAATTATTGAAGAATTATATTATTTTGAAATGCTATGATGAATTATACCAATAAAAAAATACAATGTGTATTAAGGAAGATTTCAAGAATTTGTGTAAAATAAATATTTTATATCTTTAAAATATTTCCAGGATCTTTTACACCTTTGTTGTAAAAAATTATTTTTCAATGAGAAGAGAGACAAATATATGGTGAGTCAAAAAATTATTTCAAAACTAGATAATTATTGAAAAAAGGTAAATCAAGCCATTATCTACACTACTTATAGTTCATGACATACATCTATTTTATGACATTTAACTCATATTATTGAAAACTTGTCACTTGGACGTTAGGAAGTAAATGATAAGTTTTTAAATTGAATAATGAAAGAAAAATTTTGTAAAAGCACCTCAAAGTTTCTCCTTCAGTAAGACTCAATAAAATATCATAAGCACGGAATTCAGCTTCATTGGGGCACTTTATTCCTCTGGTTTGCAGGTCATAGTACATATGCTTCAGAGTTTGGAGAGATTTTGTGAGGTTTTCATTATTAATTTTAGGATCAAATGTAGCTGTATCTTCTTCTGACAATGCTTCAGCACAATAGATGTGAAACCTAACACACTTCTCAATAATTTCAACACTATCAGGGTCGCACAGCTGCTGCTGAGTGATGTCCTATTAAATATTTTATACTTATAATACATTTAAAGAAGAATCATAGAAACAATATTCTATAAAACTTTGATATCATGAAAAATAATACATACAAAAAAAAATCAAGAAATTCATGACATTATTTAACGCTTTTAAGAAAAGTATTACGTGTGTGTTTGCATTTATGTTTCTCATTAATTTTGATATTATCAGGGTCACACAGCTAATGCCGAGTAATATCATATGGGAAATTTTATACAAAAAAATATTTACATTACAAATGTATTTATATTAGAAAAAAAAATTTTTAAAAATCTACAACCAAGTATTTTAAAATTGCTAAATTTAACAAAATAGCAAGCCTGAACATTGAGCCTTAACTTAAAAAATAATCTTGCACCAAGCAATACAAATATGTTTAATAGCTATATGTATACCTATTTTTTTAAAAAAATGGAACTTAAAGACAAATTTTATATGTATATATATATATAATTTCTGGAGATTCTTTTGTTATAATTTTTCTTGGAAAAGTAAAAAAAGAAAATATCTCTGCGCAAAAATAAAATCAACTTTTAAGATTCATTAACAAAATAAATACATAATTAATTTTAAATTGAAATGTAAAATGGGTTAATAAATTGATTTAACAAGCTAATAGGTAGTGGCAACCAGCGAGACCAATGTGCCCACAACATTTTATCTAAATTTTGGTATTTGGAAAAAAATTATGTGATATGGTTGAGAAACTAAAAGCATGCGTTTGCTATATAAACTCTTTAAAAAAAACACCATTTTGTAAAACAAAATTTTACCTTTAATTAAATTAAAATCTAACATTTACATAAAAACTTAGAAATAAATATTTATATAAGGAGGTTTCAGGGGAATGTGTATATTGGTATTTTTATTAGAGTATCTTTATGGATCCAATAAAAGAAATATGCCATCTTGCAATCATCAATGCCTTGCAAAAATACAAAACAATAACAGGAGTAACGAATATTAGATTTACACTAGGGTTTCCGTATAATGAATGGAATTGAATTGATTCCACTATGCATAATGAAATTAAGTGTAGTGGAATGAATCTAAACAATATATAAAACTGCATTGCATGAATGCTATGTGTTGCTTAAAGAATTGAAACTCACAGTAGTGAGCAAGAGTAAAAAATCAGAAACATTTCTTATTTCTGATTCTGATTGATGAAAAACCTAGATTTATAAGAGCTCAAGTATTTAGACATTTTGTCTATATGTTATTTACCCTCCAGATAGCCAAGTTTTTACCACAGTTGCAATTGTCAATTTTAGATTAGTCTATGGAAAACTCAACTTTGTAAAACAGAAGATCTAAAGCATATATTTTAGTTATATGTCATTAATTTTCCAACAAACCAATTTAAACATTACCTTCCTGATTGAACGAGTTCGATTCCAGATAAAATCAAACCAATCAGCTTTAGAAAGGTGTGCTGCTGGTTTATCTATAATATTACATATTAAATAGTCCATGGTAAATTTGAGAACTGAAACTGGTCTCAATTCATTGGGCAATGGTTCCTGTTGATCAGCAGATGATCGACTATATTCTTTCACCATATACTGATGATTAACTTCCTTTGAAGTAGACTGCAACAAAAAATAGTATATACTGAATAAGAATAGTCCATTAAATTCATGGTATATTGTGAATAAAATAATATGCATAGGTTACAAAAGAATTACAGTCTGTCCTAACTAAATAAAACCATCTCGATCTTTTTGCCAATATTGGGAGCAAAGAAAAATAATAAGAACCAAACATATGTATTAAAAAAACTCTATATTAAAACACAGATTAACAAGGATTAACTTATTTTCTTATTTGATGTTTTTTTCCTGTCCAGGTGAAGCAAGAAGTAAGTTACCCCTTGCAAATAAGTGTTTAGCTATAGATTTTCTTAATAGATTTTCTTAGGTTTTCATTGCATCCAGTTATGGAAAAAAATTAAAGTGGCTTTATTTAGTTCAGACACACTACAGTCAAACTCGTTCATAAGGAGCACAAAGAGACCGTAACATGAACTCGCTAAATCCGAGTAATAAACGGGTCCTTAAGGCAGGCGTGCAACCAGAAGAGGGGGGTTTGGGAGGTCAAATGATTAAGTTTGCTTAAAATTTAATTAATTAATTTAATTATACTTTTCTTAACTTAATGACACGAACAGACTAGACCCCCAACGAACTCAGAATATCCAAATTGTTCAGCAAATTTTTCTGCTTGCACTTTTAGAATAGGTCCAGTCACAGGTAAATCAGCACTACGTTGCACCTTCATCCATTTCAATAACGCTTCGTCCAAATCCTCTTTTGAACACTTCTTTAGTTGTTTACAGTCTGTTTTATTTTGGTCGTATGCATCCATTAACTTGCCTTCTTTTTTTAGCAGTGTGGAAACAGTAGATGAAGACAATCCATACCTTTTGCAGATTTCGACATTTTCAACACCGTCATCCAACTCCCGTAAAATTTTTACTTTTTCATCAACCGATAAAGCTTTAGATTAGATGGAGCAATAAGGGCAATTAAGTTTCAGTTCAAAAGTTTTTTTATTTTGTGCACATTTCTTATCATTTTGAAAAAAAGATAAGACAGAAAGACTAGAAAGATGAGAAAAAAGATTGCAAGGCAGAAAAATATTGCTCGCTAAAACCGGGTCTTGCTCGTTGAAAGCGACTTCTATTCCACAGACTAAACATTGATCCAACCAAATATTCTGGTTTCCGTCGGTAAATCCGGGTTCTCGTTATAAACGAGTTAGACTGTATCATTTTTTACTTGCAGGAACCAAAATATGAAGGAAAAAAAACAATTTAACAATATTCAAAAAACAACATTAAGTTTTAAACAACATATTATGCACCAAAATAAAATATTCTGAATCATTAATATTATAATGTAATAAATATGAAGCATCAAAAGATAATAGAGTAAAGACATATATCTGGCCACCAAACTCTAAAAAGTAGCAAAATTTATCTAACTATTTAGATACAAGAGGACTATCTTTAAGTTAATAATTACTATAGTTTATAGCAAAGTTATTTAAAATTGGTAAATCAAAGTACAGAACTCACTGATGAATTTAATGCTTTTTCTGTCTCTAATATGGACAAACAGTTCTTTGCAATACGACTATATCTTTCTTTTTCAGGGCACATATCAGGACATGTACCAGAAATCTTTTTTACTTCTGAGTCCCCTTTGTTAGTATCATCTACAACAGAAACATATAGACTTATTATTTAGGATTATTAATCAATAACTCATGTACTATATGATTTTAAATAGACAGTCAATTTTATTAATATTAGGAATTTTAAAACAGCATTGAAATCAAAATATCACAAATATTGTAATAAAACTAATTATAATATTGATAAAGAATAACAAAAAAAATTTAATTAATTTTAATAGTAGGAATTATTCAAATANAATATAACAGAAATATATATATATATATATATATTATAAAGCTTAAATACAACAAACACTAAAATAAAAATATTTATTTGTCAAACTGCACACAATTCCAACTAAAAGCAACTGATAATAAAATAATGTGTGGCATAAAAAATAAAGCAGACAAAAAAAATTTTTTTTTTCATCCTGTAACTGATATAATATTTTGGCAAACTAATTTAAAACAAAATTTAAATGAAAATTCAGTCTTACTTAAGCGTATCAATTTGTCTCTGGCATTCAAAATATCATAACGCTCTTGAGCAGTAAATGCTGGTTTTAAAAGTGAGTTTTCATACTGTTCTTCTGTAATGAAAAAAAAAAAAATTTGCTTATGAACAATGCAGTAAAATAATAAACCAAAAAACTATTAAAACTTCTGGATAACAAAACAATCTTAGAAAATTTTGAAAAAAGCTCATTCTAAATAACTAAAATGCTTCTGACAGGGCTGGTAGTAGTCTTTGTGCTCTGGTCTGCTGGGCTTTGTGCTGCTGTTGATTTTGATTGGTTGACGCCAATCACATGTTAAACAGTCGCCATTTTGTTGACTGGTTTGTGAAGTATTATTGCACTTGATCTGTTATTTATATTTTCGTTTTACTTTATTTGTTTTATACTTTTAAATAAATAATGACCAGATACTGCATACTTTTGTATAAACACAATTACCATGACCTGCCACCCACAGATAAAGTCCTGTTTGCCATTCTAAAGAGGCAATGTCATTTTAAAGTCCATTAGAACACAGTGTTCTTTCAATGTCATTTGATTTAGCAAGGCTTCAAAGAAACTATTTCAAATAAGTATTAGCAATTAAAGAAAACTTCTTTTTCTTAAAAAAAAGCTTTGAATTAATGCATTCTAGAAAAGTTTATTTTACTAATGATTAAGGAAGTTAAACATTCTAAATAATCTTCAACTGAAAAAGTTTAGATACATAAAAGTTAAAAAGCAAAACTAAAAGTTAAAAGTGTTTTTCATAGCTTTCACATTTTTTTTAACAGCATATGCATGTTTGCTGGATCAATAAGCTAAAATATATTCCTAAGCTTAATAAAGTGTGCAACTTTAAAAGTTTTTAAAAATGCCACCATTGATATCTCCTTAATAAAAATTATTCTTAAATAAAAAAATTATATGTATGAAAATTGTATTTTCATGGTGACTTCATCATTAAAAATTATTTCCAGACATAAAAACTCTCATCAAATTGAAAAATACTCACTGTTACTTGATTCCAAATTGTCTTTAGCTCCTCCGTCAGATTTAGGAGAATATGAATACCCAGATGTTTTTACAGATTTTTGTGCCTTCTTTAAATATGAATCAAAGTTCTCATTCAACATTTTAGACCTTTCAGCTTTTAATTCCTTCATTGATACCACATCATCTGCAGTATTTGATTTTAGAGAATTTAATGCTGGAAAAAAAATCAAATAAATAACAGCACTCAAAAAACTTTCAAAATAAAGAGAAAAAAGTTGTAACAATAATGAAGGAAAAGAGAAAATTTCAATAAGATATAGAGTGAAGCAAATTAAAAATAATATTAAAGATAATTCTTTTAATTTAAGTGAAAGTATACAAATATGTTAAAAATGTTTAAAATAATGCAAAAATTTGCACTTTAGAAGAAATATAAACATTAGAAAAGCAGTTCAACTACACAAAAAATTTAATTTCTGATTTAAAGAACCGATTAAAAATTGAATTACAGATAAAAGGAATGCCATCAAAAATTTCAATACACTATAAGTTGAAAATACAAAATTACTATTTCAGTGTGTTCAAATGTTTTCATTAAATCTGAGGATTGTTAAACATACTGCCATTGGGTCATTAAAATATAAATATTTCAAACATTTTTAGAGGAAAGCTATTTTTTTCTATATGACAGTAGAAAATAAAAGGAGGATTAAAGTTTGAAAAAATAAATAAATAAATAATTCTTACTATTCATCAGCTTAACATACAGTAAAATAATTATTTCTAGCAAACTTTGGACATTAAAACATTTAAAGGCAAATATTTTCTACTAGTACATCCCAGCGTAAACATTTGTACAAATGAGCAACAATTATTATAGGAATGTTTGAAAACTTTTTTACATAAAGAACTTTCATTTAGAAAGATATTAGGCAAAAAAATTTTATTATTATTTTTAAATAGTAACAATGATCAGAATTTTAGACCTGTCACAAACATTATTTTCAGTTTATCCAAAATTATATAGTTAATTTTAGGAGCTGACATAGTTATAAATCAATAAGACACTTACAAACAAATTGAATGTTCATATATTTAAATAAATATATCAGGTAAAAAAATTTATAAAAATGAGACATTAAATTATTATGAATTACATTTTGCACACCATAATTTGATACATTTAGCAATATATATATATATATATGCTAAATTTTATAAAAACAAAGTTCTATAGTTGATAATATACTTGAAACATTAAATAGTATAATTCTTGGTACATTTTTAATAAAAATGTTGCATATTTGATGTAACACAGAATAATAGTTATCAATATTATTTTTTCTTATTATTAATTAGAATTATTAATATTATTTTTTGTTAAACAAAATTTTTATTTAATAATTTGTAGTTAGTATTTGTAATAGTTAGCGGAAACAAATTTTTTAAGTTCAAATTTCTATTCCTAGTGTGTCTGATACCTAGAATCACTAAACTTTTTTAAATTGGTAACAAGATTTCATACTAAGATATTTTTTGCTTCTTTTTTTTTCCTTTTTTTTTGAGATATATGGCAAGCTTTTTGCATTAAAAAAAAGTTTTATTAACATAATAACACCCTTCTCTCCTACAGAAAGAAAACAATAAAGTTCTTATTAAAATAAAACTAAACTCACCTTTTTTGACAAGTTTATTTCTAAGAAACTTTTCCTTTGATAGCTTTTCAGTAGATTTTCTAACTGGTTTCTTTTTGCCATCACTAGAAGCTACAAATCCAAAATTATATTTATATAAATCAATCATATAACATCAACCTAAGATGAAAAACAGCACAGATTTTGTCTTTTAAATATTGTTCCTGAACGTTTCATTAAAATCTCAATTCCATTTTAATTTCAAAAAGTCTTGTACTATTTTTTATTTTTTTTTTTTTAATGTTCAGAAATAATTCTCAAAACTATTTTTAAAACAAATCTAGCGTCGTCTAAAAATATTTTCAAAATTGGTTAAAGCCGGAAAATTTAATTAGCTTGATGTTTTAGATTAGAAGAAAAATATATTTCTCGATAAACCCAATGAGCATTTGTTCCAAACTTTAAACTGGTAGCTTTCCTGCATCCAAAAAGTGGTTTCTCGAATAAGAAAATAGTGTGCTGCAAGGAAATTTTCTCAATAATTGAAGAGATAAGACAATAGCTCAACAATTGAAGAGATAAAACACTGTTGATGACCTTTTTTCTTTTTTTTTTTTGAATAATAAAATATTAATACTCTTTTATAACTGTAACTATAACATACTACAATAATATATACAGGGTATCTGCTACATTTTAGATTTTCAAATTCATGACTTTTCATGATTTTCCATGACTAATTCCAAGATTTTTTCATGACTTAACGAAGTTACTATTTTCTCGGTCAAAAACGCAACAATAAATTTAAAAAAGCATTATAATAACATTAATTGAAATTATACGTATAACTAAAACTGCTAAACTCTGCATCTTCATATTTATAGATTTTAAATTTAAAAAACAGAGTAAAGAAAGAGTTGAAACAATAAAATAGCTGAAAAAAATACAAAAAGCAAATAATTTTTTTTCTGTAGAATTATATTATAAAGAAACTTTTCTTGCTCATCTGAAAGGAAAGAAATACTCCTAATTTTTCTGTTCTCATTTCGGAATAAAAAAAATTCGCCAATGACTGGTTTGCTTCAAATAGAATTTTAAATTGATAAAATTTTTAAAAAAATAAATACAGTAGGGAACCGATTATCCGGAACGATCGGGACCATCGCTATTCCGGATAACTGATTTTTCCGGTTTTCTGAATCGCTACAAAAAGCCGTTTCTTTATTGATAAACACAACTAAAAAAAATTTTTTTTTGGAAATAATCTTAAAAAGAAAAAACGATGGAGCAATACACTAATGATTATTTCCAAAATGATGGTAAGGTAAACATCTTTCAAAAAAGAACGAAAAATCCTAAAATTTTATAAGGAAAAAAAATTTTTTTTTCATAATGGTGGGAAAATTTATCGAATTTCGCTCCGGTTTTTTGGTTTTCCGATTTCCGGATAACGGGTTCTGTACAGTAATAAAAAAAATTAAAAATTCTTATTTCACAGAAGAGTTTAAAAGATAATTCCCTCTAGAAATGATGTTTTTCCTTTCATTTTTTTGAAAGAACAACATATTTTTTAAAGAACATGATAAAATAATTTTATATTGTAATAAAATATGCCTGAGTGGTGATTTTGTTAGGAATTCAATTACTTGGAACAGGATGAAATTAGGGGGGGGATTCCATTTTAAAAATTAGATTTTTTGGAAATGGTGCAAGTGGCAAAACATGGTTTTGGAGCAGAGAAAAAGCAATTTTGGAGCAGCAAAACAAAGATTTGGAGCATATTTAATAAAAAAAAATAAAACAAGAATTTAATAACAAGAGTTTTTTGTTCATTAATAACATATCTTATTTTTTACACTTTTTTGAAGGTCNCGGAAGGACAGGAACACTTTGCATAAACATGGTTTTGGAGCAGAGAAAAAGCAATTTTGGAGCAGCAAAACAAAGATTTGGAGCATATTTAATAAAAAAAAATAAAACAAGAATTTAATAACAAGAGTTTTTTGTTCATTAATAACATATCTTATTTTTTACACTTTTTTCAAGGTCCTAGCATAAACAAATTAAGTTTCTTTTTGGTATCTTCCAATGCTGTTAAATATTCTCGACTTAGCCTCAGATAAAAGGAATAGAATTATTAGGACATAGAATTTTTTTCTGAAGAAGATAAGGATGTCATCGCATTTGTGGTATCTAGTCCAACATCTATTAAATTTGAATTTTGCTAAATTTCTGCATTTTCTACATCGAAAGATTTTAAGTCCCTTCCTATCAAACTAAGAAAAGCAGAACTCTTCAAAAAATGCCCTAACAATGCTTAAACTAGAGACACCATTTCATCATACAGCAAGTAAATCAATGGTATCTCAGTTTGGAAAAGACCTAAAAATTTATCCAATATAGCAGAAATATTTCTTAAAAATGAGCTTTCGGAAAAAGCAATTTAAATAAATTCAATATTGAGTGGCTCGTGCGGAGTGATCTGTGTAAACTTTACTGGGATGCCAGAGATCACATGAACTCTCTGTAAAGTCTACTCCTCATTCTTCATTGTATATATATATATTCTTTTTCTTACTTTAATTTTTTCTATGTGTTCTTTTTGTATTAATATGTGTTTGCCATTTGTTTTCTTTGTTTGTTATTGTAATTTTGTTCCTTTTTACTCCTTGTTTATGTCCACTTAAAGTTGAACATTGTATATGGATTAATATTTCCAATAAAGCCATATGTAACAACATATTGAGTGGCTCATACTATTTTTTAATTTAATAATTACTTTATTTAATTCTGTAAAAGGTAATTTAAAACTCGAATTAATTTAACTATTAAAGGTTATTAAGTATATTTTTCTTAAAATTTAAATAAATGTTATTTATAGTAGAATATTCAACATAATATTAACAAGATTAATATTGATATATATACCGAATTTATAAAAATATGTAAAGAATTAAGCAAACTTTAATAAATTTATATTACAAATGTTAATTAGTGAATGGCCCCTAAATTTTTAAATGCAAATACAATGAATATTGAAGCTAAAAATTTTTTGTCAGAAGTAAATTACTATATTGTCCCTACACTCATAATATTTAACAAATCTGTAATAATTAAAAAATTTTATATCAATTATTTTAAATCAAATCATTAAAAGATGAATTAAAGTATTTTTGAATGACAAATCTGAAAAACATAAGATTTTTTTGCAGCTTTAAAAATTCTGAAAGCCCCTCTCTTCATATTTATTTAAAATCTTGCCTCTAAATATTATTAAGTTTTTTCCTAAAACAAAATAAGAGCACTGAAAATTTTGAAAGTAATAACACAATAATAAAATGCAACAAGTAAAAAAAAGTATTAGTAAAAAAAAAGTAATAAAGTAAAATAAATCTTTAAAAATAATATGCAATTAGTGGATGGTCCCTCAGATTAAAATTTACGTGTAAGAAACTCAAATAATTATAATTTTATTAAATTAAATGAATAACAGGGAGATGGAAATTTGAGGTTTTGAAGCTTTGTGATTCTTGACTGCTCTGAGGATCAACATGAAAACATGTACTTAGTGAATGGTCCCCAAGTTAATTCCAAGATCATGGGTACTATTCTATAAATAGAATAGAACAAGAAGGCCATTAGCTTGCCATTGACGAAGACGATGGCACTTCAATAACGATGAAATTAACAAGAGAAATAAAATTTTCTTTTGCTATTAAAATTTGGCAATGTTTAGTTGGTCCCCCAAAAATTCCCGGGCAGTTTCGGTTCCATTTCAGAGAGTGAAAAATGAAATCTGAAATTGAGAATATCTTGCAAAATGAAGCAGAGTTGCACATGAGAGTGCTAGAATCCTTCCCACTGAATCCAGAGCAACCCCCCACATGGCAGTAGCTGGGTTGCCGCAAAATTGTGACTTGGCGATACCCAGGGGAAAATATCCCTCTTGGCGCAGATCGGAGCAATTTAAGCCTACTACTTCAATTTGGATCCTGTAGGCGCAGGTTTCCACAATTGGCACGGATCGGCGCAATTGGCACAGCACTTGCAACACTGGGAGACCTTAATTCATTACTTTCCATGATTTTTTTTAAAAAATAGCAAAAATCATGACATTTCATGACAAATTTTGTTCAATACTGAAATTCATGACTTTCCATGATTTTTCATGACTCTCCAGGTGCGCGGATACCCTGTATATAATTATTTGTAATCACGCAACTCGATTCCTGAACTACACTGTTTCTAAACCTTGCAAAACAAACATTAAGCATACTAAAGACAAATCATTTAAAAAAAGCATTTCTAACAAAAGTTTCATAAAGCTAAAAAATCTTTCGACTGAAAGAAAAAGATATTTCCTCATATAGAGAGATTATTCTATCTTATAAATATTATATCTTATAAATATATATATGTATTGTATTTTTGGACCATTTTAAAATATAATAATTTACATGTTTATCGCTTCTATTATTCCTTGGTAAGAAATCTTTATTATGAAATAAGACTTCAAAAAAAATTACTTTTTATATAACGTACAATTATATTAAATTTTAAAAAAAATTATACTCAAACAAATAATTTTAAAAAAAAAACAGTTACATTTTAATTAGTTGAATTTTAAAAAGAAAAGTTTATTTAAATCAAAGCTTTTTTTAATTAAATAATGAAAGGAAAGCGCAGAGTAACATCATTTACATGTATATTCCACTCATTACATGTATGTTCCATTCTTGGTAAAAAAAAACTTAGAAAAAGTAAGTATTATTAAAAATAGTAAAAATAAGCACCATTCTTAGTAAAATTTCACCAACATCAGACTTAATAAAAATTACACTCTAAAAAATGTATTTATTAACTATATTATACAACAACAACAAAAATTCGTACTTAAAAATTTTTTTTAAAAAATTCAACTTGTTTAAATTGATGTCTTTTAAAAAACTTTTTATTTTCAGTGATCAATGATTCTTTTAATAAAAAAAATTGGTGTTCAAATTATGATTTAAATCAAGTGATTTAAGTCAACAACGTCAGACCCTGGCCAGCTGCAGCTTTAAAAAAAATTCTATTAATGCAAAACTTTCCTTTAAAATAATCTTGTTAGATGATACCTGGTGATATTTGTTTAGATTAAGGTTGTTGAGCAATCAGGCTTTATAATGGTTTGTACAGTGTTAAACTGCTTCTAAAACTGCTTAGGGAGAACACCAATGGTCTTCATTTACATATTATCACTTTTCTTTATATAAAGGTAATAGTCTTATTTTAAAGTATTAAAAAGAAGAATAGTCACAATTTTGAAGCCGTTCAGCAATTTTTAAAGAAACTTACGATTTCATGTGTATAATCTCAGTTGATTTTTTTTACATTATTTTTCTATCTACTTTATCTTATTTGTGAGAACTAAACGTAATTAAAATAAAAGTCCTCCAATGTCAATTAGTTTACTAACTGATAAATTGAAGCTTAGCAAATTTTGCCAAGCTTCATCTGATATCCAACCAATAGATAGAAGTAAAAAAAATAATAAATAAATAAAACATTTTACTCACTAGTTTTTTCATGGCCACTTTTACTTTTAGTTCTCGAAGATCTAAAATGGGGTGCAGCAATTATTTGAGATCTCTGTATTGGATAGTATTCTGCTGATAAGTTTCCCTCAGCACCTAAAAAATTTATAACAAATAAATAAATAAATAAATAAATATATATGTATATATATATTCTAAATTTTTGCTTTATTTAAGAAAGACTTTATCACGCAAATAAATCTTTATTTTAAGTAAACTAANATTTATATATATATATATATATATAAGGAAATTAATAAAATTATTAGACCCTTTAATTCGTGTTTTACAGTTTTTTAAGGTACATAATAAAGATAAATTTATTGACAATGCTGTTAAATTTTATTTTAAAAAGAAAATAAAAGCAAAATATCTGAAATTCAGACTCTAAATATGGCAGGTAATTCTGCAAAATTTGATATTCTTACAAATTACATAAAAGTATGTATTTTGCCTAACTATTTCATTCTAAACTCTTATTAAAAGAGAAACCAGGTACAACAAGGAAATTTTAAAAAAAAATTTGAAGCTTAATTTTGAAAAAAAAAATTAAACACTATAAAAATCTGTTGTTAAAAGCACAACTTTGATTTCATAATAATTTTTTCATGAATTTCTTGAAAATTATTTCATTGAAAATAACAGTAAAAAGAAATATTGTGATTGTTCTGCAAATTTCAGTCCTTATGAAAGGGACAAAACCCTATTTTATTCAAACTATTCAAAAAAATTCATTTTGCTCAGAAACAAAGAGCAACAATATATGGTCTCTTTCGTCTTCTCAATTTCTTGTCTTTTCATGACTCACACAAACAGTTAAGATATACGGCAATACGGAACAAAAAATTATGAGTGATCAGATCGAAGATGTAAAGAAGCTGTTGTTATGCAAACCATTGAATAGATTCTACCTCAGATTGCTTATTTGTCCCTGTGTGCTTGTTCTTGATCAAATGATTCTAAATCAGACTTAAAATTCGCTACTTTATTTTTAGTTGCACACATCTTTCGAAATGGAAAAATGCAAAGTTATATCAGTAGAAGGTAGGAAAAGAATGGGAAAAAAAAAACAGAAATTTTATGAAAGTTTTATAAAAACATAAAAAATGTTGACATTTTCCAAAAAAGATAATTTAGCACCCTCACAAAGCATTCCTTAATAATTTTTATGAATCAACTTTTATTTTTGATAATACTGATCAGCATTATTTAATAAGCTGTCTTGGTGGCTATGTTGCATTTAAACAAGTCCAAAGAAATGTGTTCAAAGAAAATGTGTGTATGTAAATAACATACTTAAAAGCAAAAATAAAAACATAAAATTGAAAAACTTAGCTTTTGATGAATGCTATCTCTGAAACACTTTTTGAACAAAAAAACAACTATCGTAAGATAATTTTCAGAATGCATTTATATCCCTAAAAAGCAGTAACATAATTGGAGATCTACTTAAAAATGAAAGAAAACTTATAAAAAAACAAAATATCCCACTAAATAAAAATTACTTTGACTTGTCAAACAGTCAATTTTCCCTCTTTATATTTTTAATATCGCTTTTTTAATACACAAATACATAGATATAATATATAGAAGAGAAAAAAAGAAAAGAATAAACTATTTATAGTTGTACCTTTCGACCAAATTTAAGTTACATAAGCAAACAATATTTTAGCAATTTGAATAAAAATAATATGCGAACAAATAATGTTGCATATTAATTTATAGAGTAAATTGTCAACACACACAGATAAAGAAAAGAGAGCTTAATACATCTTAATTACATGACAAATTAGACGCCCGGTGGCTGAGTGGTAGCGCTTCGCGCTGCCGTGCCACAGGTCCTTGGTTCGATCCTTGGGCCGGGCAAGGCCGACTCAGCCTTTCATCCCTTCAGTGGGTCGATAAAATGAGTACCAAGCATGCTTGGGAACTAACACTGGGGGCTCCGCGTTCGGCTGACCACCTGACCGGAACATATGCTCCTGCACCCCAGAGCCCAAGGTCAAGAAAACTGAGATGGGCACAGTCGGCCTTGGCCCTCTTAATGGGCTGTCGCGCCACTGAGTTAGTTAGTTTACATGACAAATTAACACCTAGAGAAAAAAACAAAGAAACATAATACATTTAATCAACGGCCGGATAAAATTTGTTTCAAAAAAAAATTTCTTCAGAAATTCAACCATACAATTCAGTGTTTTCATTACAGAAAAAAAATGAGAGAGAATTTCTCGCTCATTCTCAAAAACAGGGTGAGATTTCAAAAAGTTAAGTGAGATTTCTAAAAATTAAAAAAACACGAATAGACTTGGGAAAAAAATATTTCTTTAATTATAATACATTTTTAACATCTTCTAATTTCTAAACCATTGAATATTTTTATTGCATCATCATATGGAAAATGTTCTATATCTACTTTTTCATCAGCTATTCTCATTAGGTTGCTCAAATGCTCATCAGTCAAATCTGTTACAATATTTTGTTTTAATTCGGTTTTGGGTGCTAAATGACAGATGCTGAACTATTCGGAATCACTAACTAAATTTGTAGCATTGTGCACACACTTTCCTATCCTCTACATCTGCCAGTATAGGCTTTTCAATTATTTCTGTTATAGTATAGTTCGTTGAAGCTATTTCCATGTTCATACTTCTTGTTAGGTCTTCCAGCATTGTTTTCACAGACTTCAATTTTTACAAATTGCTGTAAATTGTGGGTGAGGGAGTTCGGTAATTCATTTACAGCTAAAAATGGAGCTAACTTTAAACAAATTATTATAAAGGACTCTTTTTTTTTCTCAACACTTGTCGTAGCTGTTTTCATGTCTTTTTCAAAATGGCGGATTTTATTCAAATTTGCGGAAGACGAAATTTTTTCCAAAATTCGAGTGATTCGCGCATATTAAAATTGATTAATAGAGTGCGCGAACTTCTCACGTTAATCATTTTTTAATGCGAGAAAAGAAAAAAATATGAAAGCACTGCACTTGCAAGTATCAAGCAGTCTGGAGTTACCACATTGTTAATCAATGAAACACCATGTATGTTTATCTCATACACTTACATGCTCTTCAACAAATAATCTAAAAAAATATTATTGGGATCCCTTTAATAATCTAGACTAAAAATATAACTTACAAAATACTTCACCAAATTTCTTTTTACTACTGGATGACTTTTGTGACTCAACTAACTCTGGAGGCCTAGACAGAACATTATAATCAGCAGATTCTATTAATGTATCTTTTACCTCAGCATCTAGATAAAGAGAAAGTATTAATTGTACGAAATTAATATACTCCAGTTATACAGCAGCAAACTCTGCTATAAAATTTTGAGCCACAGTTTGTCACAGTTCTTATGAGCCACAGTTTGTCGAACACTGAACAAATACCATAGGTATAAACACATAAAAAAAAACTCTGGTAACAAAAATAAAAATTACAACCTAAGATTCCAAAATTAATTCAATTTAAGTTTTGAACTGAAGCAAATTGTTAGAAATTAAAAACACGACTTGAAACTAAATACTATTACACCAGAAACAATAGAAAAAATACAAAATTTATTTCGTTGTGACATTAAGAATTACTAGTTCTTCAAAGTTGGTTTTATTTTACCTGCACTTGAAGTCTCCATAATAACAAAACTTATTTGAAATTTGATGTTAAAATTTTTATATTTTATTAAACCTGAAATTATTTTTACTTCACTAACAAACCTATAATTATACCACACTTAATAGTATGAGAAAATCAAGAACACTTTAATAGACGAAGAATTGCGACGAAAAACGTTCTCATTTATTTATTTTGAATATATGAAATCTTACGCATCCGCCTGTCTATTTCTGCTTGAATAAAAGTTTACTCTTTGCTCAAAAATTCAGTTTATTCATTCCTAGATGTCGCTAACAGAGATAGTAGCGTTTTACTTAAAAAAAACATTGTCCATAGGATGGTGTTTTCTACACTAGGGAACGCTGCAAGATCAGGACTGCCTAAATTTCCGGGTTACTGTTTCCATTGTATTTTAAAGCCATTTGGCCAGGGCCGTTTTATCCATTAGGCACTGTAGGCAACTGCCTAGGGGCCCCGCCACGTTCAGGGGCCCTGTGTTACAGAGAAAAAAATTCAACAACTTTCCCGAATGTAATGACAGCTTTGCAAATATATAGAAGTCTAATGATTACAAACGCCACTGGTGAACGAAACTTTTCCAAATTGAAATTAATCAAAAACTGGTTTCGTTCAAGTATGTCTCAAAACCGTTAAAAACAACAACAATTGAAAATGATGTATGGAAAAGGTTAACTTTCAGGATGTCTTGAACGATTTTGTAACAAAAAAAGTTAGAAGAGTTAATATTTAAGCTTATTGTATGATTTTTTTTAAATGCATATATTAATTACTCATATTCTTTTCGTTTGATTCAATATTTTTATTGAATAATGTGATAATATACCTATGTAGTAAAAAACAGCGTAATTATGAATAAAGTGTTGTGTTAGCGAAAAAATATATGACGAAGTTAGAAGACTGTAGGGGGGGGGGTGAGACGAGCATTGCCTAGGGGCCGCGACATGCATAAGCCGGGCCTGCATTTGGCATCATTGTGTTTTGAGATTCTTGCAAACAATGTATTTGATTACTTATTACTTATGTTTACAATGCTAACAACACTAACGTAAGATGGTGCACAGCTTGCAACACAAACAAACAGTAATAAACAAATGGAAAGAGGCCAAAGCAAGATTGCCAAAAAAGCGAGTTATTCAAAATCTAGCAACCATGTCACCTTTTTTAATAACAAATAACTAAAACAAATTTTCACTCCAAACTCCCCAGAATTACATAATAACATTAAAATCTTATGAAATACGGCAGATTTGAGCTCTGAAATTATTTAATTTATTTCTTTTATTGAAAACAAAATTATTAGTTTGAAAGCATCGCCTATCAGAATAACATGTAGTAAGCAGCTACAAACTTTTTAACCGGAATTAGAGTAGGTCCCGAGCTCGAGATTGTTATTGTTTACATTTCTATTGAAAACACCATCCATTCACAAAATATAGAACATATTAATTTGCATCAAACATTGACAGGAATACTTGGTCACATGAGGGGTCACACCCCTCTTCCTAAGAATTTAAAGATTTTCAATTTTCACAAATTGAAGAAGTTTAAAACTATTTAAAAAAATTAGAAAACTTTTAGATTTCTCTTGTAATGGAAATAAGAAGCTTTTTTTTTTAAAACTATTTATTTTTATTTAAATGTTCTTCTTGTCTTTTACATCACTTAGAAAAATATTAAAAAACCTGGTAGAAAAAAATATAGAGTAGTTCATTTTTTATAACGTAAATTATGCAAAGCATTTGTTAGAAAAATAAACTGTTTCAATAATTATTTAGACAACGATTTGACAAAGCTCCTTTATGACGATGAGATCAAATTTTCCAGATCATCACTGTCACAGAGACGGAAGTAAAGGAAAGATTCAGGGGTTAAAACACTGCATTATTTTATGTTGTATCCACTCACTAATGATGATTGTCCACTTTAATTTTCAACAGTTTTTTTTAAATTTAGTGCCAAATCAAACTTCTTTTACATTTCATTTCGAGCCAAAACAATATGTCCTTAACAAAAATAAAATTATTGCATTATTTCAGATATGTAATCATCTTAGCTGTTCTCTAAAAGATTATATTTTAATTATATTAAAACAGATTTTTTTAAAAACTATAGATTATCAGAAAACTATAACTGTAATAATATTGCGTTTATGCGAATTCAAAACCTCCATCAATTAGAAATATGAATTGCAAAATATACTTTTATCAGATACTAATATGTTTATTTCAGACAAAACAAAAGTAAAGTGAACTAATTTAACAAAGAACAATCAAATTTTAAAATTTCACAAACATTATATAGTTGGGAAAATATTGCTTTGAGTTTGTGCACAATTTAGAAATTGATGTGTCGCATTAAAAATTGAAACAAAAGGAATCTATATTAGAAAAACAATAATTTTTTTAACAAAGAAAACAGTAAAAATTTGCAAGCTTCGGAATATAAGTATTTTGAATCAATGAAATAAAATTCCCGCAAAAAAGTATATATAAAGAGCCCAATACAAATGACTACGATAAGTATGACAATTTCTAATAAAATTATAACAATGAAGATGCATATTTTACTTAATTTGTTATTCATTAAAAAAGCTTGAGTGGCAGAGAAAAATCATTGATAGAAATACATAATATAGCACCGTTTTTGCATTCAATATAAGAGCGAAAATGAAGACTTCAGCTTTCTCTCATATATTTTTAAAATATTAAAATACTGTATGTTATTTTTTTAAAATTGTCTTGCAGGCGTAGAACAACTCGAAATGAGAAAATTAGATCGGTTATTAAAAATTTGCAAAATGCTATTAAAAACGCTTCTCTTTTTTTTTCTTCATTTTGTGTATAAAAGTAAGAAGCTCATCATAGTATAAATAGTAAAATAATTATTTAAAAAAGGAATTATTCTGAATATTTTTCATCTGGTGATCGACTTATCAAATAACGGGTAATTTCCAAATTGTGTAATAAAAAAATATATTCTTTTCTTCTATTACACTCTCGTAATTTAATGTAATATGTATTAAACGTATAGGGGACATGAAACTCTTAACATTTTTTTTCGGTCAGGTCATTTTGTTTCGAAATTTCCTCTTAGTTAGACATTATAAAAGCGCTTTCTTCTTCTTTAATGACTAATGACAAACGACAAACTTATTACTACTTTTTTTTAAAGTTCTTCAACAAAACATCTAATCCTTTTCTTTTAGTGCCAAATTTTAATTTAGTATAAATTTCTTATTTTATTCTTTTTTTAAAATAAAATAATTTAAAAATATTTTATAATATTTGAAAAGAATATATTTTTATTTAATTAAAGAAGTGTTTGAACTAAAAATATTACTTTTTTTCTCTCATTCGTTTTGCAATTTAGTTGCAATAGTATTTATTTAAATTTTATAATTTTATTAATTTATCTTTCTTTAGATAGAACGTTATATCGTATCGGACATTAAGAATACTTCAAACAAATATATTTTTTAGAGGTAAGCATACATTTGCTTAAAATCAAACTATTAATTAGTTTGTGTATGTTTGTAATATTTAAAACAAGAAATTGACTTATGAGGTAAATTGAATTTGATTTTTAATTCCCAATTTTTGTTCTTCGCTAATATTAACTAACTTATTAAAATTATTGAAATTGTTAATTAAAATTTTAAACAACTCTGTTATAACTCAAAAATGAAATTTGTAAGAAATTTTATCAAATAATAAAGCATAAACATAACTTCCTTAATAAATAATTGAGAATGTATTATTTAACCTATTATAGTATACATAAATAACATAAAATTAAACAATCTTGTGGTCAATTAAAAAAATTTATTTTTAATACAAATATTTTTTTTGATGTAATTGTATTAGTAATTCTGAGAGACTTTGTGATATCTGTTTTTTTTTTTAAATCTCTATTATATTACCTTGTTGCAGTGGAATTTACTAATGATATTTATAAATTTTAAAGATAATACTTCTGTTGCATTGTATTGCTGCAGTTTCCTACAGTTGAAACTTTAAATTATCCTCATCATATAAATTATCAAAACAATAAGTGAAATTGCTAAGTCAGAAAATAATTAAACGTACTTTGAAAAATGAATGATAGTTATCTTCAAATAAATAAAGTCAAATAAAAATAAATTGTCTTTATGAAACAGTAACCCATGTTAGCTGATACCCATATCAATGTTAGCAACAACAAAAAAACATTTTGAAATTGGTGATTTAATTTTATAAGCTTTAAAGTGCCAAATAATAAAACCGTTAAAAGGAATTAACTGGATCAGTAGCAATCTTGTTGCCATACCGTAGCAGAAACTTGGTGTCAGAACAAGTGAGCTTTGCACATTCGAGACCCGTCCCGCAAACACTGACGTTAGAAACCTGAACTTACGAGCATGGTGAGTTAAGTGAGTAATAAGTTCGTTATTTTATTTAAGTTTAAAGTAACGAATTTATTATTTATGAAGAAAAATTAGATGAATCATAGTTATATATATACTCAACCATTGACCAAAATTTTATTGATGAATTCCCAGATTGGCAGATATGCATAAAGCTGATTCGTGTAAATGTTGCACTCAACCATCTAAGTAATGCATCTTCATTTTTGAACAGAGACTTTAAACTCTTTGTACTTATTAGTTTTAGGGGCCATAAAATATCTATGGTTGCAGTACCTATAACGATACATTAGGTATCTATTACCACAACTATTTAAGCATTACCAGCGTCATTTTGACGATTTTTCTATGGCTCCCCGAAACGGATTAGTACCCTTTTAATTTTGCAAAATGTATCGAATATTTAGATTAATACATTGTACAGTAACTTATACTTATAAAAAAAACAGTGCGTGAAGAATTTTAGTGACTTAATGAGAAGTTTGGAGCTTAGTACGAAAAAGTACTCTCCGAATTTAGGGCAGTATACAAAAGTCACGCTTTCAACTTGTTAAAGAAATATTTTTTTATGAAAACATCTGGAAACCAATCGAAGGTAAAGATCGACGTAAAAATGTCATTTTTTTGAAAGAAGAAAAAAGAACGGCTTTTCAATAAATGAAAAGATTCTCCTGCGATGCAAGCGTATTAAAAAGTAATGATGATTAAAAGGGAAATCTTACCAATTATTTCTCCCGAAATAAGAAGTTTTTTCCCAATTATTAAAAATAACAAAATTAATGCTAAAACATTTAGCTCTTAACGTAAGAAATATTCTTGATACCACAAAGTTTACATATATGTATAACTAGAGACACAAGTCACGTTAACATTCATTTAAGAGCTGACGCAAATTCTTCTTGCCATAATTATATTACAGTCTTGGAAGCGACTTTAAAAAAACAGTTATTTTACAAAGATACCAACTTAATCTTCTTCGAGCATAAATTTTCTTCCGATTAGTTTCATTAAGTTTTTTATATTTGATTATTGGCCTCGTCAATGTAAAGAAAACTTGTTTTGTCCATTGCTTAACAAATATTTATTTAAATATACTATTTCTCAATTTAACTATACATTCCTAACACATTAACTATACATTCCAGCCACAATATTTTACAATATGAATGACGTATCCTCAAAATGAAATTCTTTTTAGTATTTATTTTTCTTATTAAGATAGAGAAATTTAAAGAGATATATTGAGATTATTTAGAGAGTTATTAAAGAGAGTAATTGAAAGAGATATATTTAAAGAGTTGCTGATTTCAATCTCTTTTTAAAGATATACGCTTTAAATTAATCACTATTTTTAAACCCACGTACCATCACCTACCAAAGATTTTGTGTCCTACAATAGAAGCATGCTTGCAGTATGTATTGTTTTATTGTGAATAATGGCCTAGACATTCATTTTGGGGAAAACATATCTGTAATTAAATGGTAAGGATTACTTACCAAAAAATTCTATTATGTAGCTTTTTGACGTACAAAATCAATGTTTGAAATTTTAAAAAAATTAAATAATAATTAATGGTTATCGTAGTATTATAGTTTTATGTTTACTTATTTTAATATTTTTAACTTCCTAGATGCTGTAAACAATATCAAGAATGCAATAACAACTTATTGGAGGCAGATCATGCTTTTTGCCTTAATGTTCCCGCTCCTAAACTTTGCATTCCTTTAAATCGAGATGTTAAATGTGGGTATGCAGACATTTGTTGCTCTAATGCTTCAGCTCCGAAACTTAGAGCTCATCTTTCTGAAAGTGAAAGCTGTGAAGATATTTGTTGCTCAAATGGTGAGCATCACTTTCGTTATAATTTAATAGATTAGATGTAAAATATTTTTAAATTCATTTTACTTATATCAGTTTTTAATAAAAGAAAGAAAGAAAACAAAAGAAAATTCTATTAAGTACATAGTTCCTTTGTTGAATTACATGGAGGGGACACTTTTTCTGAGTGAAAAAAAAACTTGAATATACTTTAAACTCACAAGGGAAAATCCTGAAATGTTTGAGGAAAATATTGTAAAATAATCTTAATATCGAATAAAACTTAATATCGAATTCTTTCAAATGCTAGGAAGTGAAATAAGCTTCTTAAAATTCTTATTTCTTCAGTCAATACCATATTTTCTCTCATTGCAGAGTGTCTACCGATCAGGGAAATTTGTGACCTCCGGCGACTTTCTAGAAAATTTGACAAAACTGCTTTTTATTATAACAATTCATCATTAAAAACCAAAATTATGGAATAGTAATAATAATTTAATTGGTAATTAACAAAACTGCTAAGCGAGATTTTTGTTTGAGATTTTCGTCGACGATAGAAACTCTGCATTGATGCTCAGCAACAGATTTGTCTGGAAAGAAATTTCCTTAACCACCATAAAATTTACTATTGCGAGATTGGAGTCGGCAGTTTTTATTCGCGTAAAAAAAACAAATACTGTATAAAATATTTTAGAAACGTATTTGGAAAATATAAGCGGAAATCCATAAGTAAAACGTTTGAACTATTAATAAGTAGTAGTGGTCATAGAAGACTTTGCAAGAATTATATATTTTAATTGCAGTTTTAAAAGATCATAGAGAAAGCAAAACAGACAACAGTGGCAAATGTGAAAAATGTGATCACATCCCACCTCCATTGCTACGTTTTAATTACTCTACAAGAGATGGTGAACATGATGAATCTTCTAATTTGGCTAGGTACGAAACGGTGAGTGAATACAGGTGTTTATTGTGTTTTTTTTTTCAATGATTTTTCGTTCCATAATTCAAGTTACGTATCATCACTCAATGAGTTTACGAATCAAACCTCATTGTTTTCAGATAAAGTAATGTCCCAAAATTTAAATAAATATAATCCCGATTTAGCATTATCTTGATGTGATTAGGCAATAATTAAAAACAGTAACTTTCCTTTACATTTATTGACAGATTTATAACTAGTTTTTTTATTAAAATTTTTCAATGTTGGGTCATATCACTGTCTCACATTTATACAAAAAGGAAACCCATCCTCCCAAAACGTCATATTGCGTTTTTGTTTTTTTATCTCTTAAGTTGTCTTTAACGGATCTATTAGATAATTAAAATGTTAAATACGTTCTAAAAAATTATTAGTAAGCTTTATTGGTAAGCATTTAGAATTAGTTCAAAGTATATGTAGAAATCAACTCCTAAAGTTCGTTAAATTTTTATAAAATTCTATGTTTTTTGATTTTAAACTCGCAAGGTCTGCCATCAGCCTTGTTTTCAGAGTTCATGTTGTCTTTAGACCTAATTTTGCGATTTGTTGCATTTTGGAAAAGTGTAACGACTTTAAATTTTTTATCAAATCCCATAAGTTTTACTTAAGAATCTTGATTTATTAAAAAGAAATAATTTGTTTTTACATTCAATTTTGAAAATGACATATTTCGAAAGCTAATTGAAATAATGTATATCCTTGCAAAATATCGCTGTCTTCTTGCATGGCACCAGGCTAACCTGAAAACACTCCACCATTTTTTTAATTTGCCTGCCTCTTTCTAAAACTGGTTGATATGACCTAATATACTTTTATATTAATTAGAATATTTAAAAACCTCATTTCATCCAGATTTAGGACAATATGTTTCATAATATAATAAATACTTAGACTTCAAAAATACAGCACATTCTCTAATTTGTAATTTGCCTCAATTCATGCAGGCTTACATATGATAAGCCTAATATATATTTCATATATATTAGATATATATCATATACATTAGGTCTACCGGAAAGTCTTACCCGCGAAAGTACACGTCTCCTTTTACAGTAATGCAAAAGTTTCTTTTATAAAAGAAAATTGTAGGCTATTCACCCAATTGTAATGCTTAAAAGAGACATAGCATATATGGCGCAAAAGAGCATGTGCATACATGTTCAGAACTTGTTACGAAAGCATCCGACAGAACTAAGCGGTACATCTGATATATACATTTAAAGGTACCATTTTTTTATATGTAAAGGCACCTTTTTGCCTTCTTATACAATGAGGCGTTTTCTTTCACGGGGAAATTTTTCCAGTAGACCTAATTCTAGATATGCAAGAATATGCAGCAAGCCCACAAATCTTAGGATAATTGGAAAGTACAAGAAAATGTTTTATTAGTGCACTGCAATGTAGCAGTGGTATTTAATAGGAGTCGGATTCTTTAATAAGCTTATGAGAAATGCATAAAACAAGTAAAATTAAAACAAATTAAAATTTAGCTTTATTTTGCAGACTTACAATGCAGATTATGGAAGAAAGTCCCTTATGAAAATGATCCACGAAAGTAATTACGCTAGAGAAGATTCCCCTCGATTTCTTGAAATTTATCCTTAAGTCTGCTGATAAATGCACAAATATTTCAACAATTACTCGTGTGCTGAAAATTTAAATATTGTTTTAAAAGAATTTGAAAATAAAAACACTAATCGTTTTCGTTAAGTTGCTTTTTATTTTCATTGTGTCAACTTTTGATCGTTATTGCATCTAGCTGAAGCTAGTCATATATTATTTCAAAACAATGCGAATTATTATTCGAATGTCAATTATCAATTTAAGCTATAAGTCAGCAAACATCGCTGATGTTATCTTTAAAATATTTGATAAAAACCAAATCAGCTGCACTTTAATTTATATTTATCTTGAGTCCGAAGACAATGAGAAAATTCATTTTTTCAAGTTCCCTTCTCGGGCGATCTAATTGAAATTTTTGAACAATTTTTAAGATCGGGGGCTAAAATTGTCACTTTCCCCCACTGTCCAAATTTCAAGACGTGAGTAGAAACGGTTCTTGAGTTATGAGACGCACACACTTCATTTTATCATTATAGATAATAAATTTTGGCTCTTTACTCGTTTTTAGCAAGAATCACAAGGAGAACAAAAGACATAAATTTCTTTTTCTGCTGGGATGAAATGAGAAAAATAAAATTTCTTGGATTGAATTAAACAAATATATCAATTTTTCTTTGAATTGAACAAATATTTCTTTCTCTCTCTTCGGATAGAAAAAGTATTTATTTATTTACTTTACATTTTGCTTTACTTTTATACTTTATTTTAAACTTTACATTAATTTTTTTTCTTTATAGTCTACACTTTATTTTATACTTTACAATTTACTTTATACTCTGCACATAGCTGCCAACAGTTACGGATTGTGCCTAGTATTTCATTTTTATATTTTTTATTAGAATCTTATAAATTTCTTTTTAAATCTTGAATTTATACATTTAATTTAATACGATTTTGTCCACCACTAAATTCAAATAAATTAATCTTATTTGTAAGGGCCAGTTATAGAAACGGAAATGAGTCATAGCAATTGGGAAAAGTCAACTTTTTTTGAAATTGCATTTCAATCAGTCTTCATTACTACTTGGAAAATACTTCCTCGGAAATAAAAGCTGACAGAGCTGCTTTAAATTGTACGCTTTGCTTTATATTCTACTTTTTTTACACTTAACTTTTATTTCATACTTTAAGGTTTACTTTGCTTTATACTTCAGCCTTTACATTTTTCATAATTTACGCCATACTTTAAGTTATATTTTTCTCTTTTTTACTTTATACTTTGCGTTTTATTTCACTTTTTTACCAAACCAATTTTCAAATCCCTAGTTCCTTTTTTCTGATCTGCAGGAAAATCCTTATGGTATTTTTTAATACTAGTTTAACAGTTAACACGCTGAATGCCACAGGGGTCACCGGTTAGGTGACAGACGAAGCCAAGATTATTAGAAACACATAATTCGAGTAAATTTTTAATTTTTTTTTACATTATTATTGTTAAAATGGTTTGAAGAAATCAATGCAATATATAACACACAAAAATAGTTTTATTTATATACGCAGAGATGATAACTTGCTCCGGACAGCGAATAAATATTTTCAAGTGGTAGTTTATTAATTGTGATTCTTGGTTTAATAAATTCAACTTAGTAGATTTTTATCCACCATTATTTCTAAGCAATTAGCAGGGTTATATAATTCACCACTTTTTTCAGGAATGTCATGATGAACCTTTCAATAAACTAGCAAAATCTGTCTAATATTTGCAAATTTAGTTTGTAGTTATTTATCGTTGTGGCCAGACGCGCAAGCCATGTAAAATTAGCGTGGCATTCTACGTGTTAATAACTCTCCAATAGTTACAATTCTCGAATGTTAATTCTTTTATTCCATAGTTATCTCCCCACAATTTTTCTGCTCACCATCGTAATTTGAAATTTCTGATTCCAAAAACTTGTACGCAGCAAAATAAAACGTGACGTTAAGTTTAACACTTTAAATAGCCACGGACTTACGATTTTTAAATATAATAAAGAGACATTAAGAGATTGTAGCGCTTTATTTTTCTATGAAACACTTTATAATGAAACATCCATTTTTCTAAACAAAAAATAATTGCAAAACTCACTCTTTTCCAAAAACATTTTATTGTTTGTTTCAATAACTGAAGCGATGAAAACCAATGATTCATAAATAAAGGTAAATAAATATATAAATAGTAAATATCCTGCATTAAGTATTTCGTGTTCTTTTTCCTTTTATAACAATGAATGGAGGTGAAGAAATTCAATGAGAAAAAATGTTTCTTATGGGAAAGAAATTCTCATTTTTGTAAGTGTAAGGATAATGGACAATCTTCCCGCTTTTCTAAATTTACGAAAACTTCTTTAGGATGAAGAAAGCCAACACCGTTGTTATATTCCAATGGTTCCTAAAAAGTAGAAACATTATTTAGTTAATTGAAATTCGGTAATTTCTTTAACAAATATTTTAACATTTTCACCAGCGTCATCATCATTAGTATTGTGATTAATTACTTGGAAAAATTATCAAATTTTAAACAGAGACAATTGAATCGCAACATGCTTTTTATACCACTTGATATGTTTTTTTGGTACAAGCCAATTGGGGAAAATATTTGCAGTTACTCAACTGTATTACTTCGTTTAAAATGGGAACCATTTTAAAATTCATTCGATTTAAAAGTTCGAGAGTTAATAAATTAACTATTTAAAAAAAAATTCTCTGCAGTTCTTACAACTTTTTTTTAAAGTTTTTAGCATAACCAAATATCTTTCAATCAGTAAAAATATTTAAAATAATGAAACACGAATAAATATCAGTAACAGTAAGTTAAAAGCAAAATAATATTTTTTTAAAATAACTTTTGTTATAAATAACTATTTCCTACGAAAAATTGATTTAGATAAAATTCAAAATATAACGCAAACTTTTCTTTCGAATAATCTCACCAGAATCCACAAATGATAATAAAACGAGTTCGTATCATAAACAAGCTTGAATCAAAATATTTCCTTATTCGAACAACAAAATAATATTAATGATGTAACTTATCTTTATCTCAAACTGATCATAAACTCAAGTAAAAAAAACAAAAACAAATCTTTTATGAAATTTCTAAAATAGATGGAGAGCAGGTACGAAGCAGACGTGGCGCGCATACACAAATGCGCAGATGATCCTCCGATATGGGTAGTACTGGTTGTACTTTATTTATGCCACCCAGAGCTGCACATTGGTCAATTGGCGATGGTCTGGGAAACATCCCTGAAGAGATCCAAATACATGCCATCACAATTTCGATTCTCTGCAAAGAGGATGACTTCCCCCTCTTGGTAGCCCAGCGACCCGTGCGCGAAGTCGAACACTTTGCAGCAGAATGGTTTAACAAGGACCAATACCGCCCACCCTTGAATCTCTACGCAGGCTGATCAAAGTGGTCACCCACCCGTTCATTGATCACAGCCAGTGATTCTTGACTTCGATGTTCTACTGGAAATCGTGCCTTTACGACCAGGTTCACTGTGGGACTATTGGATATGAAAATGTAAAATACTTATGACAAGCTTACCTTCGTTTGTGAACATCTTTTAACTCTAAAATGACTTAATACGTATGCTAAGCAAATTTTTGCTTCTAAAAGTGCCAATTTAATGCCAATGCACTGTCTGGGTCCTGCTCCGAAAGGCAAATAGGTAAAAGGATCTATCTTTGACTTTTCTTCAGGGCTGAATCTGATAAAACATAAAAATAATATTAATGATAAAAATGTAAAACAAAATGCTGATTTACCATCCCGTGATCAACTTTCACAAGGATCCTTACCTGGAAATGAGAAGATTTAAAAAACTATTTCCCTTCTAGTTTGTTTTCGAGAGCCTTCACTATTGTACTTTCATAAACGATATAAAAATATGCAGGGCTAATTGTAGGCTTGAAGAAATCTTTCACTCCTTTTGAAAACAAGCTAGAAAAAGAAGGGATTTGATGCTAATTTCTTTTCTCATTTCCGGGTTCGGATTATTGTGGGAATTTTCTTGAGATGGTAGTCAATAACTATTGTATAGCTGCCAACTTTTACTAGTTATGTTAGAGATTTTTCATAGTTTGTCATTGAAGAGAAGAGTAAAAGCTATTCTTCCTGTCCCAAATTGGCTGCTACATTGAGTACTTTTGTACTGATTATTGATACTCATGGTCTTATGATTTTGTTTGAACATTATCTGAAAACTCACAGTGCTATGCTATCACTCAACAACATCAATAACCAAGCATTCCCTTTTTCTCTAATTAAATCAGTATCAAATTAGGTTTTAAAAAATCCAGGGTTCGTACACCACGTCTCATTTTGAAAGAACTCTTTAACCAGTAATCGCATAAAACTAAAATCTATAATAGTGCAAGGCCCATGCTAAGAATTCGCCACCTCGACAAATTCGATAAAATCATAAATTTGGCGAATAAATTAGTATTTTTGCGAAAGTATTGGGGAATGTTTTTTTTCCACTGGAAAGAAAAAGATATATATTTATCTCAATCCTTAAAATTGCGTCAAAATGAATTTTTCGAAAAAAGAAAAAAAATCCGTATTTTTTATTCGATTACAGTAATTTTCGGTGTATGTGCTGCATAACCAATTAGAATCGGTTCCAAATAATATAAGCCTGAAACAAACTACAGTAAAATAGTTTTCTATGCGAAAAAATTAATCATAAAAGTTTTTAAAGATTTGCATTTGGCGAAGGCTTAAGAAAATTGGCGAATACTTTTGATATTTGGCAAATTTACTGGCTAATGATTTGAAATCTCTGGCCCTGTATTTGCAGTAGTAGTATAATTTTACTGGTGTCAATCTACTAAACTGCATCGGTCATTAATGACTCCACCTCCTAGACATGTAACAACCAATTTGAACGGCAATTTTTGACCTAAATGTAGCAACTAATTTGGGCCGGAGGAAGTATAAAATTATTAGCAATTTCTTAAATTTTGTCAGGTATTCGCACATATATAGCACAATTTTCACGATTCCTAAGTATGTTATTTTCAATTCTTTATGCTGCGGTGATTAAGATAATTTTAAATCAAATTTTTCAAATTCAGAGTAATATAAAGCATAAAATTAGCAACCACAAAAAGATATCGATCGTAAAAATCGTAAAAAAATGGCAGGAATGCTATCATTGCAACCCAAATGACATTTTTCAGAAAAAAAGAAAAAATGGGGCTCAGCTTCTGGCTCTTATAATCTTGCCTTCCCCTCCAAAATAATGTTGCAATTTAGTAATAATATTTGGACCTTTGTGATTTTAACTAACACACAAGTTTCATGCAATAAAGTAACAAACAATAAAGTAACAGGCAATTAACTACTCAATTTATTTCGCGGTTAGACACTAAAAAGTTAGCATTCAACATATTATTGTCAATGATATTTTTTATATTAGACAATCACATCACTTCAAAATTCGTGTTTAAGAGGAAGCTATACCGTAAGAGAAACGCTTGTTAGCAAATTCTGTTTTACATACATTAGTATTTTAAAATTTAAAGTATAGAAAAAAACTGAGTACAAGTAAACCTACTGCAGACCACGAAGTTTCAAATGCTGACTTTGTTTTTTAAAATATCAAAATGTAAACTGATTATGGCAAGATTATTCATAAATAAGCAGTGGAAAAGTAATCTTGCCGTAGTTTGCTTGCATTTTGATATTGTGAAAAAAGAAATTCATCGATTGAAATTTCATGGTTTACTTTGGGTCAACCTGAACGCACTTCTTTTATGTGTTAAACCTTAATTTAAAAATAGAGGTGAAACGGAATGTGTCAGGAAAAGTGTCTCTCGCGTTATAGCTTCCTTGTAAGAAGAAAATGAACTTGACTTAAAATGTGGGCTCGAAAATAATGCTGTAAATACGTGTTTCAAAATGGACATTGCTCGATACACGCGTTTTAAATTTAAGTATAACATGAAATGGGTGTTTAAGAAAATAGACAGGTATTGAAAGGCAAGTTTGAGAAGAAAAAATGGACATACCATACAATGCGTATTGAAGAAAATGGACTTAGCCTTTATTCCGGTATTTAAGCTACTATTTAATTGTGTATTAAACGAAATAACTATTGAATCCAAAACAATTCGTAAGGTATAAATCATTTTGTATATATTTTTCTAATGAAAATATTTTAAAGGTCTGAATCTTTTCCCATTTGTAGCATTAAAAAAGTGCATATCAAGTCCAGTTTCTTTAATGCTCATTTTCAGCTATGATAAATTTTTCAAGGACGCATTTCAAAGCTTTGCTCCTTTTCGTAGACCAGCATTTTGAAGTGTGTGTTTTTTTCCATGAGCATATGCGTTTTTGTTCCATATACGCGCCTTTTGAGCTATGCCTAATTTTAAAACGCGCATTTCACACTCTGTGTTGTATTTCATCCTGCATTTCTTTCAATCAAATCGTGACAGTGGAAGTATATTGAGCCGTGATGGCTCAGGGGACTAAGCGTTCGCCTTCCAACGAGATAAACCAGGTGTGAATCCCGCATCCGGCTTGTGCCGACCACCACAGTGCTGACGTAAAATATCCTCAGTGGTAGACTGATCATGGGTAACGCATTAACTTAGAAAACAGAATTGAAACCTGACGATGTTTCGATTGATGACTGAAACCGTAAATTTTCACCGAAAACATTATATTTACAACAACAGAAAAAAAACTTTTTACCGTGGATTTTACAGTGCTATATCACACTTGAAATTAGAAAATTACCTGTCAGGGTCAAATTTTTCTGGATCTGGATAATATTTCTCGTCTCTTTGGATGGCAATAATTGGAATTAAAATGATAGTTCCCTTGGGTATAACAATACCCGTATCTTCAATCTGGTAATCTTTGACAGATACTCTGTCCAACCTAAAAATGAATCAGTTTATTAAGGCGCTGCATACACCTTAAAAATTGTCATTTAAAAAAAATAATCAGAAACTGTTTTACCACGCATTGTTTAAAATGTAAAGTATTATTCAACTCCCTAATTTTTTAAGTAAACACAGCTTTATCTAAAAAATAAGATATTTACATTTTAAAGAGGTTAACTTTTTTTTAAATTTAAATTTTTAATGGTTTTTCTCAAAACTGTAATTTAAGCTTGTGAGCGGCGAAGTTTAAATAAGATACATACCATTAACGAATATCACAAACAAAAAACCCTTTTTGTGTCCCTATTAACTACCACTTCCATTAAAAAACTAATTCTGATTTCACCATTTCGAATTTGTTTGAGAAATCGTAGTACGTAAATAACTCGAACATAGTATCGAATAATGTCATTTTAATCACATGTTTTTAATTCATATGCTAAACCTGTGCCTGTACACATAATTTTTCATGCTTTTAAATTTTATGTTTTGTGATTATCCTACTATATTTGTTTATTCCAAGATACGTTTATATCACCTTCTATTGGTACTATACCAAATGAATCGGCGAATGCCTTCAGGCTGGTGCCGAGCAACAAGGCAAAATCCAATACCCATTTGAGAAATTGCATCCAAAAAATTAGTAAGGTCCAAAATCCTCGAAATTCGACGAATTTAGAATTAAAGTTAAGGAAATAGGGTTTATACATAAATTTCTTAAATAGGGTCACAAAAATGTTCTGATCTATAGACACTAGAATTACGTAAAATTTTACACCCCTTTCGTTTTACAACATTCGAGTCAATACACCACCTATAAGAACATTGTTTAAACAAATTTCAGAGCATTTTAGCTTGGGCCGGATAGCCTGGTTGATAGGGCGTTGCACCCAAGTTCAAGAGGTCGTGAGTTTGATCCCCGCCGCCCGAAGTCTCCCCGTGTAGTAAATGGTGACTGGTGCACGTCAAATTTTTCGGGTATCAAAGTCCTCCATGCTTCCATTACAAATCATACCGATGGGGGTACTGCAATGGAGATTTAACGTTCTCTGGTTCAGGTCAAAACTACGATCTGTGGAAGAAATGAATGGTTCCGCCCTATGAGTGGGCTGTGGAGTATGTGCGGCTGAAGTCGTATTCTTGGCCATATATGGCACAACCGAAAAACAAGAAACGCACCCCCGGCCTTAAATTCGCTTGGTTTCACAAAGTAGGCTTGCTGGTATAGACAAGTGAAATTCAAAACAACAACAACAACATTTTGCTCTGAAGAGTTTAAGGCATTTTTCTTCGCACTCGGAAGTAGTAAAATTGATAGAAAAATAGATCTGTATCAATTTGCTTCATGAAGAAAAGGTATTGCGAAACAAGTACTCATTCATCATAGTTGCTAAATTTTCATTTTTAGTTTGAAAGTTTTTCCTCCATCTAAACCTAAAAGAGTGTTCCTAATGACAGCAGCAAACTTTGTATATTATTACTTATTTCTTTGCTTCCCAATATTTATTTAATTGGATTTTAGACCACTATTACCATGTTACAATACTTTGACATGCCTAAAATGAAATTTAAAATAAATTAAAAAACTATAAAAATTTCTTCATTAATTTCCAAAAAAATATCAACTTTCAGCTTACATATTAGCTGCAAAATATCTTACCAAAGAGTTTCCTAGCAGCTTTCTAAACAGTAAAACGCTTACCTAACTGTTGGAGGACAAAGTCTTATAGTTTCAGAAATAACTTGGTCCATATATTGCATTTCTTGGATTACTTCATATGTAATATTTCCCTGAAAATGAAAGAATTTACTTCTGTGATGTTTCTGTCAGAAATGGTAAGTAAGAAAAATCAATAATCCAACTGGTCTTGAAAATTTTTTAAAGACGTTTAACTGAAATAAACATCATAATTTAATGCCCCTATGGTTCATAATCCAATAGCATTTTTCAACAAAAAATTCTCTATAGCTAAATTACATCCTACCGACTTTTTGAAAGGTAATGAAGAACTACCAACTAAAGCGCTTTTTAGCAAAATATATTAAAGAGTTTTGGACGATTAAAAACTGAAGCTTTCAGATTTTTGGACATTTTGCCATCATTTTTAAAACCTCACGACGTAGGGTAACAAAGGAGGCGTTTCATCGAAATTTCTGAATCATTAACATGTGATGTTGAAAATTACATTAAATCTCATTTGCAAAGAATAATGCATTAAAACATTGTTTCTCAACGGGGGTGTTGGGAGTATGCTGAGGGGCGGTGAACTTGTTTTGGGCGCCAGGGGGGCGTTGGGTATGTTTTGGGTGGTAAGGGGGTGATGAGCATGATTTGTCATTGAAATTTAATTTTAAATTTAATTTTAAATTTTATGATAAAACACAAATAAAACAATACAACACTTACAAATGAAGACTTCCAAATAAAATTATTAAATTAAATTTATTTGATAAAATTAATATTAAAGAAAAAAAAGATTAAATTAATATAATAAATTAAGATTATCTGATACACCTTTTGTACCACCAGTGAAACAAACTTATACGACACCTATTCTCCGATCCGAACTAACACAACGCAGCCAGGGTCCAACTTAGCCTAATTGGGGCCCTCCTTTAAACTATATGGAGTTATTTAAATTTTTCTCCTCATTATACATGAATAACAAGAAAATTGACTAGAAACTAAAATAGCTGTAATGTCCCCCCACCCCACCCTCCAATGGTATCGTTCTGTCCATTTTATTGATTTTCTGACAATTCTATGTCCATCGTGCCGAATGCAGTTTTTTTTGGTTGTCATCTAGCAGCGTAAAATTCACATCCTTGCTGACATTGAGGTGAAATTCAGCTAAATTTTCGAGATTACGATGACTCAATTAAGACCATCAGAAGCTTGCATTTTTGTAAAATGTCGCATTTTGCGATATGCAAAAACATAGGCATTTGATTAGCTAAATTTGTCCATCGTAATTGCAAAAATTCAACTGAATTCCGCACCAGAAAGGCATGGAATTACGAAATATAGATTTCTTGTGTACATACGATAGATTAATGAAGAAGCTAATATAAAACAGAGGGATTTTACACTATACTGATATTCTGTTTAAAAAAAATTCATTAAAGAAGGAAACTTAAAATAAACTTTTAATTCGATTTGGGGGGCCTGGGGCAACTGTCAGTATGTCCCTGCCTTTGTTAGGCTCTGAGCGCAGCGCACGAGTCAGTAGTTTTTGCCTCTGATTTATTCAAGCTATTTCGCGAATGGCTCTGACTCATTCAAGCCATTTGGTGGAAATCAAAGTACATGAGCTTTCGGTATGAATGTTTGATTTGACCCATGCTTCTTATGATGATTTTCGTTAGTTTCCTTACAGTTTCTTCCCCAGTTTTGATTCGATCTCATTGTTTATTTGGCCAGGTATAAGCGCGAATTAGTTCTTTACCATAAATTATTTATTAATTTGGAGAAATAGTTGATTTTATTTCATCGTTTGAATTTTGCTGCCAGCAGCAATGCCGAATAACAAAAAGAAGTGTCATCAATACCGTACCACGTACTTGAGGTTTGGATTTGTTCAATCGCTGTTGAACTCCTAACTGACCATGTGTTTACTTTGTAACAAAGCGAACTAAAGAAACATAAGCGAAATAAAGATTTGTCATTTTTCACGAACAAAGACAAGTTTCTGAAGACACCTTCGGTCTCAGGATTGCTAGCAACCTCATCACAAAAATTCGACGATGGTTCGATAGCTTCTTATGATACATCAAAATTTATTGCTGATTCTGGGAAAGCTCATACAATCGGCGCTGAGCTGACACTGCCGGTTGTCAAGGAAGTTTTAGAAACAGTTTTACACCATCCACCCACATCCAATACAATCAAAAATATCCCTTTAAACAACGATACAGTGAGTGGGATGATGGCGCTCCTGCAATGGTCGATCGACATCGTGGGTTTATCACCCTTTTGTAAAGGGAAATACCAGATATTTTAGCTGTTCATTGCGTCATTCACACACAGCGTTTAGTAGGAAAAAATCTCAACTACCGTTTGCATCAATTATTGCTATATGTCATGTTTGCTGTGAGCAAAATTCGCAGTAATGCTCTCAATGATTGATTTTTCAAACAGCTGTGTATGATGAAGAACTCAATCGCTTGCTACTACACACTGAGATTCTCTGACTTTCCGAAGGCATCTGTCTCAATAGGTTTTGGACTCTTTTCGACTCAGTGATGGAGTTCCTCTAAAACAGAGAGACAGAATGCTAGAATTTAAGAAAGACTTAGGCGGATTTATTTGCGAAGTTTAATGGCATAAATTTACATCTTCATGGCGACGAGTGCAATTTGATCCCTACAAAAGTCAGTCATTTCTGCCTTTCTGAAACAACTCATTTTGTGGAAGCAGAATTTTGGTTGGAATGGGTTCAGCTAAGTCGCTCTGATGATGCACAATAATATTGTCAACACATTGACTCTTTGCACGTGGACTTTTCTGACCGTTTTAAAGATGTTTCGTTCCCTGAAAGTCCCTCAATGGGTTATTGGGTTATGAATCTTTTTGTGAATATTGAAACAGCAGAGGTTTAGACTTATGAGGAATTGGTCGAACTTTCAACAAATGAAACTTTGAAGTGATGATCCTCTCGCAGAATTTTGGCTTCAAGTTCAAAGTAACATCAGTACCCTGAACAGCGGACTATCGATAAAAAATTTTTTAAATGCCTTCCCTTCCTCCTGCCTTGTCGAACTTGAACTTGTTGATCTTGTCACAAAAAAAAAAAGAAATCAGCTCGAAATTGTGCAACGAGAAGACTTCTCACCTCACTAAATGTATTGAACCGAACGTTAAGAAACTAATGTTTCGTTGATATTACTTTTTAGTGTAAAAAATTATTTTGGGTGTTTTTTTAACTATCTAATTAAGAATAAAGGATTCTTTTTAAGCATAGGTTTCTTTGTTGTGTTTTTTTCATTACCGTATCTATTTTAATTTAAACAAATAGACTGCGATTACCCGCAGTGAGAAAGTATGGAGTTAATGTACATATTATTTTTTTAAAAAACCAAACAAATGTAACTCTTAATAAATTGCTTAATGTTGTCTGCTATAATTGAGCACACATCGTTCCATCACCATGCTCTAAATAACAGAATTTACACAAAGGGGGGCGTTGAAATATTTTTGCTGCATAAGGGGGCGGTAACATTAAAAAGGTTGAGAATCTATGCATTAAAACATAGACTTAGTTACTACTAGGAGACAATTTCCCTAAAAGCTTCTTGAGTTGGCAGCCCAGATTACATGGCCTCCTGGTCTTAGCTCATTGAAACTTACATTATGACTTGTCATAATTGCATCTACTTCTTCGATGAGTTTCTCTTGAATGTCCGGATAAAGCGCCAAGAAATATGTAATGAAACATAAAGTGATGGCAGTTGTTTCGAATCCAGCCAAAAATGAGAAGACACATTGTGACACTAACTCCTGTTCTGATAAACCTGAAAAGAAGAAACAAAGAAATAAAACGTTTTCGTGCTTTTACCAANAAAATGTCACATGCCAAATCTACTGAGGTGGCTCAACATATAGCGCTTTTAAGTACGGAAATAACCAGAGAGCATCAGCTGTGGCAATCTCATACTATTAAGCTAGGCAGAAGTGAGTAATCTTTGTCGCTAGATCTCTATTTTACTATTTTGCCGAAAGCGCTTTTTTTCACGAATTTATATATTACGAATTTATTTGACGATTTTTGATTTACATCCCGCATTATACTATAGCACATTTATAATAGGTTTAACGAATTACATGTCATTTTTTTGAATTCAAATTTATTTTAATTACTTAATATTTACTAAAAAGATGTAATTTTTTAAAAAAAATAGTTTTTATATGGATTTGAATGATTGTTTTGAATTCTTAGAGTTTTGTGCATTTCCAATGTACCTAAGTAAGTAGCGAGCGAAGCGAGCTTGGTTTGCGAAACAAACCATATAAGATTGCGTAGCAATTTTCGGGGGTTGGCGAGTGTTAACGAGCAGGGGGAGTAGCCCACTAGTTGTATAGAATTCTCTCTAGGAATAAAAATGGGCAGGGGGCTTCCTCACTTTGAGTTTCGAAAGAGCACTACTCACTTAACAAAGTAAAGAATTCATAAAAATATGCAAATATCGCGTAATAACTGAATGGATTATTTATATTTTAAATAGTAATGCTCACTCATTACCAAAATTTTTAGTTTATGAAAAATAATTAAATGCATGCTAAGTTACAATCTCTGTACATACAAGCATCTCTGCACTTTTTTTTAAAAAAGGAAGTAAGCTAAAAAAAAATAATTTTTTGAAAAACAGCTTAAAAGCATTTTTCTATAATTTAAACTAAAAATCATTAAAAAATGAACATTTAAAAGTGTACTTTTTATTCTTTCAAAAAAGGTATTTATTTTTAAAAAAAATATTAACATCACTAAAAAATTCATCTACATACCCCCTCAAAAGAGAGAAACTTATAAAAATTCAACCAATGGAGAATTATCCTACTAAAGTAATAGTAATCAGAATTAAACCTCTAAGCACAGATAATTTTAGTGTGTACTTATTATTTTAATAGTTAATTAATTTTTCTTAAAAAGTTAATATGGAAATTCTTTTCATTTTTTAAACATGAATAATTTGAATTATAAGTCACAGTGGTAGTTATAATTAAATAATTAAAGAGATAATAAGTAAACAAAAATGAATTGAGTTTCTACCACTTTTTACATTTATAGTCTCCTGTGAAACCCCGTAAATGCCATCTTATTTGTCGCTACCAATAATAATGGATTGCCACAGTCTGGAGAAAAAAAAATTCTAATGGCGAGTACTGAACTTTACGTCCTTCATCTGGGAACATGCCGGAAGTGTTGCTCATTTAACCTTACCCAGTGGGCACCTGTGAACCACAGAGGCGAGCAACATTACCCACGCCGCACTGCCGCACATACCCGTTCATAGGGTGGGCCGCCACATTCACACATCACATACAACAGAGGACAACACATGAAGAGAAACATCCACGCCTGGAGCGGGATTCGAAGAAGAAGGGATTTGAAGAAAAAGTCCGACGAAAAAAATACATTGATTTAACTATTGATAGACTTTTGTTATTTAATGAAGCTTTGACAGACTAAAAGCGAAATGAAAATCGTCCATGGCAAAATAATTTTACTGTCTGCTCCCTTGCTTATGTAAAAATAAATAAATATATTAGATATAAAAGACAACTAAAAAAATCAATAAGTTTAACTGTCGATGACCGACTAGAGTATTCTTTTATAACTATCAGGATAATACTGCCTTTTCTTACCCCCCGCTACTCTCCTGTGTATGTCAATCTGGCAAAAAAGATAATGTAAATTTTCTAATCTCTGCTGCTAATCCATAACATAAATTGATATTCCAATCTAAGTTTAAACTAACAAATCTAATATGTATTTCAGACTGATTTATCATAACCTTAAACTAACTGTTCTTTAAAACCTGTCAAAGTTTTAACATGTTAAAAGCACTTGCATCCCCTGCTTATCATTTCATCCCCGATAAGCTATTATTATTTTGCTTTATCAACTTGTTCCTCACATATTTTTAGCATCGATTCCACTCTCTGTTATGCATACAGGGGTTGATCGAAATAATGGAGACTTTAAAGATCATGCTTGAAGCTTTTAGAAATGATGTAATGATATAATTTTTTCCGGTGCAAAGTTCGGATCGACCAAAATTCGCGTTGGAAGTCAATAACTTTTTTTAGCTATATTACTAGCAATTCATAAATAATTTGCAATATTTATATAAGAATGCTTTTAAATTATAGTGGTATTAGTAATGGTAATCAGTTTATAACTTCTTACTCTCATTTTAGTCGATGCAAATTTGTGATAGTGGTTATTGGAATCATCTATATATATATTTCTCTTACACGGCGACAAAAAAAGCCTCATTACAACACCCCGAATGGCAATGCTAGAAAATCGACCAATGATTTCCGCTAAAAATTTCACATGCCAAATCTAGATGATGTGACTCAACATATAGCGCTTTTAAAAACGGAAACTGAAATAACCAAAAAGAGCATTCTAAACAAATGTGATCTCTTCCGAAATTCACCCTATCAGCTGCGGCAAACTCATACTATTAAGCTAGGCAGAAGTGAGTAGTCTTTGTCGATAGATCTCTATTTTAGTATTTTGTCGAAAGCGCTTTTTTTCACGAATTTATATATTACGAAGACGATTTTTGATTTATATCACGAATTTATTTGTTTTATTATTGTTATTAGTTATTCATTGAAAAATGAGTCTCCGTCGTGCTGTCACGCCTTAAGATTTTATACTATAGCACATTTCTGATAGGTTTAACGAATTACATGTCTATTATTTGAATTCAAATTTATTTTAATGACTTAGTATTTACTAAAAAGATTTAATTTTCTTTTTAAAAATAAGTTGTTATATGGATTTGAATGATTGTTTTGAATTCTTAGAATTTTATGGATTTGCAATGTACCTAACTTAGTAGCGAGCGAAGCGAGCTTGGATTGCGAAGCTAACCCTATAAGATTGCGTAGCAATTTTCGGGGGTTGGCGAGCGTTAGCGAGCAGGGGGCACAGCCCACTAGCATATAATATTGTGGTTATGTCTATACACCTTCAGAATTTTCAAAACCATATTTTGGTTATATATTTAAAACATGGAGCAAAATATTCTTACTTTTTCTACGAGCTTCACGTTTGTTATTTTGCTCATCAGTATTGTCCATCATAAACTGAAGAAAGTCATCCGATTTCTGATTGAAAAAAAATTTAAATTAAGCATTAAATAATGATCACAAAACTACCAGATTCAATGTGATTACAATAAGAATCAAAAATTATATGAAACACTTAATGCGTGAATAATTTGCACGTAGTGCATTACTTACTAAACTGCTCCGTCTTCGTTCTCGTACCACTTCGTTTGTGACATTCACGAAAAACTCCGTTGCTTTTGGTTCATAGACTGAAACTTTAAGCAGTTTAAATAGTTGTGGAAACAAAACTAAAAGTAAAGAAATTCAGTAATAAATGTGGAAATAGCTTCTTTTCATAATTGTTTTTAAAAAAATGAAGATAAATAATAACTAACAGGTCGGCTGTTCAACTTTGGTTATGAAATAAATTGAAATAGGTGTTTGCGTACTTAAAATAATTTTATCTTACAATTGTAAAATCAATTGTTACACAGCTACCACTATATAAACTGTAATAAAAAATCAAAACCAAAATGTGTATAATTAACACCTTGACAAATTAGATTGAATTTTAATCTGTGGAAACAAAATAGATAAGGTTTTTTAACACTGAGACGAGCGCCTTTTAATTCTGCACAGTTTTCTGAGTATAGACATCACCGAAGTACGGCCCGAAAGTCTTCAACAGCAAGTTGAAGAAAATACGAAGAGTTTTCCTTCATGGTAGAAAAAGTCTAATAATCACAACTGTAACCAATTTTTGTCATTATATACTTAAACGAAATTATTCATTCAAAAATTATAGTATATTATCATAAAAAGCAAACAGAGCTCTTAATTAATATTTATATATATATACATAAATATTAATTAAGAGATGGGCAAAATTTTAGGAAGTGATAATACACACCCAAGCAAACAATTTTTATCAAAGAATGCATGGTCGAAAACAAAACGCAAAGGTGCTGGCGCATTTGGAAAGTTGTTTGATGCAAACGTGAAAGCTCCATTCCTGTTGCGAGTTACTGCGCTGCGAGTTATTATTGGCATGTTATGGGAAGAAGGGCTCGTGTGCAAATTTTTCGCCACGATTCATACATAAAAGCTGCTGTTTCAAGTGCTATAATGTCTAAAAATATGAAAAAAATAATTGACTTATTGTGGGGACAGTTGTTGTTGTTAATTTACGTCGCACTAGAGCTGCACAATGGGCTATCCGAAGACATGCCATCACAATTTTGATCCTCTGCGGAAGGGATGGCACCCCCGCTTCGGTAGCCCGACGACCTGCGCGCGAAGTCGAGCACTTTACGGTAGCACAGTTTAACGAGGACCAATACTATTGTGGGGACAGCTGAAGGCTCTTATGTATGAGACTCCCATTGAATCTGCGGAAGAACTTGTTGCCAAGCTTTCGGTCGCTGCAGGGAAAGTTCGTAATATGCCTGGTGTGTTTCAGAATGTTTGCCTATCTTTTCTTCGCCGTTCTACTGCGTGCATAACCGCTGCCGGTCACTGTTTTGAGCACTTATTGTAATCACATGCCATTAAATTTGCTAACTTCATCGTTCTTTGTGTGTTTTTGCCTCATGTAAGAACATAAACTTTGACGCGTTTGTTTTCGACTATGCATTCTTTGATAAAATTTGTTTGCTTGGGTGTGAACTATCACTTCCTAAAACTTTGCCCATCTTTCTAGAATCACCCTATATAAATATCATATATATTTCAATAGTTACCATAGATTACATTAGGTTTGTCTNCATTTTGAGAAAGGGGCATTACAACTAAATAAAAAGAAAGTTTTAAATGATGAAAAATACAGTACTTACGGTATAAAATATATCTCCAGTTTATGCCTTTTTCGAACAAATCGGTTGCATTTTTAACAAAGGCATTGCTTGGGTTTCTTTGAGAATCTGTTTTCAATGAGAACGCAGTATTTGTGATAACATCCATTGTAAATGCATTGTAAAATCTGTAAAAATATGCACTATAAGTCTATAATGTAATAATGCAGTTCCAATACGAAAGAAATTAGTCGAATATAAAAAAATCCAATTTAATAAATTATATAAGTAGTTTAAAAATTATATTAAACTCTTTACAGTAGTAAAAATTTAAAAAAAGAAACCATTAAATTTTATGAAATTCCTAATTGACCACTGCATTTATTGTTCGCAATCTGGAGAATCTGATGCCAAAGTCAGTGCCAAAAATGACCTTTTCCGATAACTTACTACTTAACGCCTACATAGTATCACACACATTGCGCTTTTTAACTTAGTATTCTTATAACCTGACTAAAGCAAAAAAGTACAAGCATTTTGTGGTCATTTATGCTTCGCAATACGAAGAATTTGATGTCATCGTCAGTGCAAAAATAACTTTTTCTGGTAACTTATGAATTAACACTTGGGTAATACCATACTTTTTTAACTTATTTTCTTCAAACTGAAACGAAAAAGTACAAGGCACCCTTCTTTTATTGAATCAAATGTACTAATACGAAAAACTAGCTACTTTTTTTTAAAATAATGAATTTTCCTTGGTACGAGTTATAAATATAATTACTAATATCTTATCTTTATAATATGCATTTAAAAATATATATTACGTTGTATTTAATAAATAATCCTTTTAATACTATTACTTTTTTACGTCTACGGGCTGTCCAATTTTTGCAAAAGCATCGAAGTTTTTGACGCATTCATCTGCACAATATTTAACTTTTTCAGACATCTGGAAAAAAATGCATGAAATTATCACAAAAAAATAAAGAAAATAGAAAGAAACTTATGATAAAGACAAATATAAAATTAAGTTGAAAACAGTATCTATATGCGACTAATTTCAAAAAACAACTTATTTTGAAATCCTGTCTTGTTAACACGTATTTACCTTACAGATAAATTCGTGTAACACATCAATTTATAATTGGTTATGTCGCCAACAGAACGTGTGAGGAGATGACAACTGGGTGAGTGACGTCGACATTCCGGGGAAAGAGAAACGAATTTCATTCTTTCAATGCTGATGGTAAAATTTATTGTGGTCTTCAATTGATTTAGTTGCAAGCTTCTTGTTGATTTTTGTTGTCGGGTATCTAGTTATGAAAATGAGAAGGAAAAAAAACCCCACAATTTGGACCAAAAGCAGAAGTTTTTATGAGATGTTAGTGGTAGAATTTTTTGAAAAAAAAAACAGCAATTTCAGCTTAATCATTTGTTGTTTAAAAGAATATTACAATACAAATGCAATCATCTTGTGTGTTTATATCTCTGTATGTAATTGCTTGGGTGTTTCTTAGGTGATATTACAAACATATTTTTCTGTACAAAAATACTGATGTACTTAAAGTGGCCATTAAATATTTCTCAAAGAATATTTTATTTCTTCATCAAAATTCTGGATCAAACATTGAGACAAACTATCCTCCTGTGGAGAATTTTATAATGGAACTTATCCACATTTGTGGTTTAGGGAGGGGGAAGGTACGAAACCTTCCCAAGGACAGCTGACGATCAAGGGACTCATCATTGGCTACTTTTCTTAATAACTATAATTGAACAGCCGAGAAAATTTTGAGTTTACAACTACAGATGTTAAATTCCGTAGTTCTGTAATTTCGAACCCAATCGAGAAGACAAGGGAACACCTGGATCAAGTATTGAGAGAAAGTTGTCTTCGTGGAAGATTTTTTAATGCAACTAATCTGCATTTGCGTTACATAGTAATGAAAACAACGAAAACCACCCACAGTTACCCTGATGGCTAACCCGATCTAACCCACGATCTCTCTAACCCACGATATGTTCACCACAGAGGATAATTTACGACAGCACTGTGGTCGGTGCGAGCCGGAGGCTGAATTCGTATCGATCTGCCATTGCTGGGATTCGAACCCGGGTCACCTCAGTGTAGTGCTCTATCCCCTGAACCAGTCACCAACTGTTCTCTCAACAGATATTGTTAATTTTTTTTCATATGTTTGCTATAGTAATTTTTTTTCACAATTATCGCAAATTGCATATTGCTGTTTTTCGGTTAATGTCCCAGCAGCAGAAATACTCCAACACAGCTACGGGTGCTGCAGATTAATCAACTAGAATTTTCAAAAATAAGAAATTTAAAAGACCAGAAAAAAAGTTTTAAAAAATATTTTTAATTTCTAAAAACTATTCGTTCGTTTATAAACTGCACATAAGGACTTGTTCAATTTTTTTAAATTTTAATTTATTTTATAAAAACATTCATTTAAAAGTGTATAAAAATTTTAATTAAAATAACAAATTTTTAACTTAATTTTGCATATTATTTTTTTCTATCCAATCTGTGTTTATTCTGCTGATTGAGACTGCAATAATATGTCTCTACCTGACCGAGTTAGAGTCGTAAACAAATTTGAATCTAGGAAAGTTGTACTGCAGATTGACTCTACTACCGGATTAATACGAAACTTCGACTTCGGTTCGACAGTATTTATATTATTATCGTCGACCGTACAGTCATTTTACTACAAAATGAATGTAAACAATGAAACCCTTGTACTACTTCTTGTGACAATTTTGATAAAAAGAAACCATACTTTTCGAAGATTTATTCAGACCTGTTTTACTTTGAGTGTGCTGAAATTTGGAGCAATAATGCTTCTGACTTTTTTCCACTCTTCACCATGAAGCATCTGAATAGTTGATTCGGCAATTTCATCTCCAGTATCAAATGTCTGTAAAATCACTTAAAATTTTAAAAATGAAATAAATGAATCATATATAATAAGGAAGTACGGGTGATATTTTACGCTTTTTATTAATGGAAAGACATTTAATGATTTATTATTTGATTTAAATAAAAAAAACGTAAGATTTGCTACAACTTTATAAATAAAAGTAAAATTAGAAAAAAAATCTGCTTTAAAAAAGAAACTATTATCGAAACCATAAAGAAACCAAAGATTAAGATAATTTGCGAAAGGATTAAACGTTCTTATCATATTTTTAAAAAATTCTCCATAGGCAAATGCTCGAATTTCCGCAAAATATTTAACGAAAGTGGTACAGATCTCATAACAGAAACTTGAAAAAAAAATTATATTTCACCATAAATTTAGACTCGACTGATGGGGCATTTAAACCATTCGCAATTAGTGGTGGTTAAAATCAAACTTACAAAATTGAGACTTTTACATTAACCGATATAGCACCACGATCGGGTTATGGCACATCATCTGCTATATCAGAGATCATCATCCACGCGGTTTTTGCAAATAGTTCTCTCAACAATTCAAAAAGTGAACCAGTTGTGCGCATGAATCCAAATTTTATTTTAAAAGTAATTGAGAGAAATGTAGTGTATATATTTGAGAATTGAATCCATGGTGGTTGACAAGTAAATAAGAGAAACAAATTATATTCATAAATTATAAAATTTTTTAGACATATATTTGTAATCACTTTCTTATTTTTACTAAATTTTTTTATTAAATGGTTCTTTCGAAAACTGGCTAATCTTCATGGTGGTCTGATCGGACTACCTTTAAGAAACCGTGGGCAGGCTGTGTCCGGTCAAATAATCTTGAGCAAAATTGCCACAACTGGTTATTCTCGTTGCTCTTAAGCTCAACCAAAGGCAAGCACCATTAAAATTTGTTTAAAAGCACAAAAAGTTGTATAGCTACCAATTTGTACTGTCTTGGAGAAAATTTTTACTAATTGATAATAAAATCTTTAAACTAAAGTAGATCGAGATTTCATAAAATTGAGATTCTTCGCTTACACTTAAATGCTTAAGCGTTTAACCAAAATATCTTATGCAGACATTTTTGAACTGTTATTTAGTTGTAGAAAATAAATCAATATTATTACAATGATAATTTATCTTCTGAAAAGTTCGCACCTATTTTCGATTGGTGGAGCTCCCAAAGGTGTGCCAAAAATACTCAAGTTGTAGCAAAATTTTTACTCTAAAATAAATTTCTTGTTTTCAAAAATAGATTATTAAATTTTCTTGATCACCACAAAAATTTGGACACTTATTACGCATGTGCAAGTCTGATGTATGCTATAAGATTATTATCTCAACTGAAACAGTTGAAAATCAGGAAAGGAGTGGACTTGAAAAAGAAAGAAAATTGGAAATATTGAGCATTTGGGAGCTTTGTGCCAATCTAAAATCGGCACGAACTTTCCGGGTGACCCAATAATTTTATAAACGAAGATTTTTACGTAGATTCATAAATGCATTTACCACTGAAATTGGTAATTACACAACGATCATTCAAATTATAAGCCCTGAAGTAAGCATCTCTAAAGAAAATCGAAAGAGCAAGTTTTTTAAATTTTCGTTACCAAAAGCCACTATCAAATAAATAAGGGAATCTTCTTTTACTTTATAGAGTTATTTTTTTCATAATATTTGAAGCGATAGTAATTTTCTCAATATTTCATTTTTGATTTAATAAATTTAATTTACAACGATTTTGACCATCATAATGTATAAACAATTTGAACAAATAGATAATAACTGATATTTGTACAAAAAGTTTTTAAGAGGAGGCAAAGTTAAAATTAAGCTTGCCTTGATGTTTTTCTCTGAGACGTTAAACATTGTAAGCTTAGTTGGTGCCATACTTAGTAATGATGTTAAATAACCTTTTTGAAAGAAATGGTAGAGGATAAGAACATAAGAAAAATTCATAATTTTTAAGGCGACAACCTCTTCCTTTTTTAAAAAAAATCTAACCAGTTTCAAAATAGTAATATTATAACTTTTTTAATAGTTTTGTTTTAATTTTGGATCTTATTTTAAAGTTTTTTACTTCAATTATCCTAACAATGTTACCACACATCTCATAAAATAAAGAAAAAAGGTAGCATACTTGTGCAATAAATTTCTTAAGAGGTGGCAAAATCAAAATTAAGCTTACCTTAATTTCTTTTTCGCTACCACGGAAAATGCAGTGAGCTTAAATTTTCAGGCTGGCGCAACACTTTGTATTGATGTAAAATTAACCTTATTGAAAGGTGAATGTTTTGAAATCTTTTTAAGAATGGTTTACTATGTTTTGCTTAAGAATCCAGAAAGTGTACAAAACTAGTTACGAATTTATTCAAAAGATGGCGATGTTTATTGAAAAACTATAAAACAAGGTTTTCTCCTGAATGTCAAACCACTTCAACTGAAAGATTTGTAGAGGTATACATCAGTTTGGTCATCAGACTGAACCGCGTCAAATAATGTTAGTATGAAAAGTATTCTCTTATAGTTTTTTTTTCAGTTGGTAACGCCATATCTAAGCAAACTTTGTAACTAATTTTAAAACAATGCGAATGAGTTTCTGTTTTTCGAGGCAGTACACAGCAAACTGCACATTTCTATCTCTTCTAGTTTTTCTTTCATTGATTTTTCAAATCGTTTTTCATTGTTGGGACATTCGACACATTCTGTAATAAAATTGATTCAACTCAATATTTTCTTACCCAAGTATCAGTGAAGTAGTTAAAATCTTTAACGATAATCTTTCGTATGAGTTGAGGATCACCAACAGACAATACTGGAAGAGATCCCTCAAAATAACTGTAACAAACAAACAGAATAGGAAGGTAAAAATCTAAGAAATGACCATCATGTAGAAAAAAATCTATGCATAATCAAAAAATCCAACAAAAAAAAGTGGACAGAGTATACTTCACAATACGTAGAGTAAAATAACCAACAAAAAAGAGAGAAAAACGTAAATACAGATAAAAGTACGGAAACGGACACACTATAGATTCGATCCTTAATGTCTCCTTAAACATCAAATGTATTTGGAGTTTAGACATTAAGGAAGTAATCAAAAGACATTTCTTTTTTTTTTTTCAATGCCCACCACATGTGTTAACATCCGTCAATTCAGGCATATACCGGGCGATTTTGTTGGCCACTCTTTCATATTAAGTGGGCCAACGTCGCTCCCACAGTGAGGAAAGATAGTACAGGGAAGGAAAGAACATTCATGCCTTGCCCAGGATTCGAACCCAGAAGCTTTCTGATGCAAGGGCATCAAAAGACATTTTAAGGGAAGTAAAAGTCATTTTAAGTCATCAAAATTATGACTTTATTAAATTATGACTTTATTATAATTATGACTTAATTAAAAGTCATCAAAAGACATTTTAAGGGAAGTAAAAGTCATTTGATGTTTAGAAATTAATGAAGTTCTTTTTTTTATGGAACTGAAATTACAATATGTTGATTCTCAAGACCTATCAGACGTGAATGAACGAAAAAGTGATTTGAAACATAAAACATGACAAATGACAACAAAAAGTGGAATATAAAAGTGAATAACATTACAATTAAAGAAACTGCAGCAGCTAGGAGGGAAAAAATAAAAACGATTAAAGAAAAAAAGATGAAAAATCAAAACAAGAGACACTACTGTAACTTAAGTGAAGTGGGGCAAATCAGGATAATAAAAAAATTTGTCATGCTACGGAGAAGTAGAGAGGAACTAATGCCGTTAACAAAGGAATCAGCATTAATATGAATAAAACAAGATTCCAGAGAATCCAAATGAGTTGATGTAGTGGGGATGGAAATAACTTGGCATTGTCGAAAGTGAAATTACGCCCAAGATTTCAACAATGTGCAGAAATTGATGGTTGATTGATGGTTTTCTATCTTGCTCCTTAAGTATTTTTAGGCCTGTTAACAAAATTAAATTTAACTCTCGTAAAATTCCTATCAGTATTGAAAACCATTGGGGCATTTACCACACACTTTGCCAGTACGATATTTATTACATCGGACAAACCTAGCTACGGACAAGCTAAACGGTTTTTATATTTAGCGTAAGACATGCATAAGGAATATTCATGAATACGTCATTTTCGCTTCAATTTAATATTTTTGAATTTTATTAAATTTAGAAATCTTATTTAACATTAGTGGAGATAACGTTAAAAATCTTGAGAAAAAGAACTTGTTTTCGCGAAAATAAATACGCATGTAATAGTTTTACATGAACAAATCCTGAAAATTTAAGCAAAATCTAAAATATCGAGTATCCAATCTTGTCTAATATTTAAAAAAAACGGACTCATAGCATGAAACGTTCCTGGAAATAGTAGTTGATAAACCAGATGAATCTCCATTGCGTTGAAAAGCTAATAACCACTATAACAATTTAAGAGACCCGGGGATGCTCTTCCTTTTAACTTATTTCACTTTTCAGCATTTACTAGCTTCTTCAACTGATTTGGTAGGATTTTAAAGACTCTGTTTAAAGTTTTTTAGGTTGTGGTCGCCCTGAGTGAGGTCCTCTTATAGTTAGAAAAATAGTAAAAATAGTAAATATTTAATGTTAGCTTGGTGAAATTTTGCTTCAATAGTTGTTTTTACACGCTTTATCGAAAGAAGTAATCCATGCATTTTTACAAAAAATATGAAATAAGCATTTAAATAATAATATTCCGTAACGGTCGCAGTTAACTGTTGCGAGTATTTTGCAAAAGATTTCTTTCAAGCATTATTATAAAAATTTACAGAATGAAAATTTCGTCAATTGCTCAAATGTTAGAAAGTGTGAACCTTTTCATTTTTTGCAAATTGTATAAAGTAACTAATTAAAGGTTTATTAGGGTTTCATCAGGGCTCGTTGTGTCCTTAAAAATTTTAGAAGTGGTAGCAAAAATTAGAAAATAGAAGTATTTTTATAAGACATTGTCCACCACCGCCCTTAATATTTCTAAATTAAGCATATTTAGTTACGAAAACACAGATTTTGTATATTTATTATTAAAGTTAATAAAAATTGATTTCTAATTATTTAAATATTAACACCACTTTTTAATTTTTAAGGACTGTTCGAAAGTTGGGTTCATTAGTTAATTCTTTGAAAGTACAATAAGCGTAGTAGTAGTTTAAGAAAAGAATAAAATATTCTATGTCCGTTTGTTTTAAATTAGTATTTCAAGCTATGATCACTTTCTTAACGCACTTTTTTAATGTCCAAAATAAAAAATATCGCCAATTGTTTACTTATTATTAACATGCTATGTAGTTTGGCTATATTAAAAATAGTAAGTGTTTTCTTTAAGACATTTCTATTCTGTCACAAATCCATTGTTTGGATATTCGACAACAACAGAATTTTATAATTCGCTTTTCTCTTTTAATGGTTATTTCTTTTAAAAAATTCAGATATTTTATAAAATAAATAAAGTTTTAATCTTACCCATAAAGGGAACCATATTTTTTGTACCTCTGAATCTCAAGCTCATGTACAGGCTGAAAAATCATAAAATAAATAAATGTAATAAATCTTAATATTTTTTATTTTTTTATTATTTATTCACTTTATTTATTCACTTTATTCACTTACTTTATTTATTTATTGCATAAATAAAACTCTTATGTCATGAAGAAAAGTTCCTGTAACAGGTACGTAGATATTGCAATTATTAAAACCTAATAAAAAAGTAATATTGTATAATAAATAAAAGGAAGAGTTGGCTTGTCATTGCGTCCAAGTGTCTCTCTTATAATTCCAGAACCATTTATGCTAGTGTCCTGGAATTTAAACAGCGGGTGCAAACGGCAATTCTTGCCTTTGATCAGTAATATCATTGCTGTTGTTGTAGGTCATTAATGCAATAGGGATGCGATTCTTCTTGTTTTCCAGTGACGCCATCTATGGCCAGGAATTTGACTTCTTACACACATACGAGGACAAATTCACACACCATCCATCCGCAAATCGTAATTTTGACCTACACCAAAGCACTAACAATCTCCGATCTAGAAGTCCCAGAGAAATTTATTAGTTTTAGAAACTTGGAGGATTCTGTGACCCTGACAGATTTAGCATGCACCGGTCAACATTGTGTACACGGAAGTCTGTATCAGGTGGGAATCGAACTCACAACCGCTTGGACATCGGGCCAACTCTCTACCAATCAGGCTATCCCGGCCAGTAATATCGTTAAAAATTAGAGCACTCGCCTTCCAATGAGGTGAACCGGTTTCAAATCCCAGTATAGATGGTGGATTCGAATTCCACACCCGTTTCGCACAGATCACAGTGCTGGCGAAAACTATCCTCAGTGGTAGACGCATTGTTGATTAGAGTCCCCTTGCAGTGAGGTAAACAGTGGAAGGGTTCCCTATTTTTTCTCTCCACGCAACGCAAAAAAGAGTTAGTTCCAAAAAAAAGCTGCCGTCTGGCTAACCGTGGAAGGTTTTTGTTGTTATCCCCTCCATGTAAAGCAAATGCTGGTTAGTTCCATCAAGAAGTCGTCCATGAAGGCAAATTTCTATCAATACTTGATCCATGAGTTTCCTTGTCTTCTGGGTTGGGTCCAAAATTACAAGGCTACGGAGTTGAACATCGGGGTAGTCGTGAATTTAAAATTGGGTGGGCTGTTCAACGCCGGTTATAAAATAAAATAAAATTAGTTCGTTCGGCAGGAATGTTTGAAAAGTTAATTTTTTGCACAGATTTGATGTTACATAGTTACAAATTAAACTACAGATTCCTTTTTTTTTCCAATTATTTAAATGACTAGGATGATTCTCTCCCTACTCGCTCTGCTTGTCAGCTCTCGTAATTGTGTCTCATTCATTTCTGTTTATTTCTTTATAAACGTCAATAGTATCTTTAAAAAAGCAGAACATTTTGGTTTCAAAATGTACAATTATTTTAGCTTTGTGTAAGAAAATGTTGTTAATATTAACGAAAATGACGATATATGAAAAATAATCTTTTGTACCTACGAAATATAAATTAGAGGATTTTGTAACTAAGGAACACATATTTTATACCAAAAGAATAAGAAATATAGATGCTAATTTCACTCGTTGAAAAGATTTATACCAATTTAAATATGGAAAGGTTCTTATTGCTATTCATTAAATTTTTTAAATTTTTTTTATTTGCAAAAGTTTTACTGCGAATGAAGATCTGGCAACGTGTAGTATCGTCCTATTGCTACTTTTGATTGACATCTACTCAATTACGAGCTGATAAAATGACGATCTCACGAGGGAAAAACAAATTTCCTTCGATAATGTATAAATAGTCAATATTTAAAAAAAAAAAAAAAAAANAAAAAAAAAAAAAAAAAATTAAAAAAATTTCTAAAAAAATTACGGAAATGCACTAAAATTTACAATAACATTCGAACAAATTGGAATTTTGGAAGAAGAAAAATATTATTTTAACTAGTTTATCAGTTAAAAATTCTAGAACTAACAGTTGAGTTGAATTTCGTTATCCAATCGAACTTCTTGCACATTTTTCTACACATCTTCATGATTTCAAGTTTCTAATTGTTAGAGATTTTGAGCAGTAAAACAAAATTCAACGGGGAAAAAAGCATTTAAAATTGCAATAACTTTGTAACAAATTGGAATTTCGAAAATAACTCTAAACAAATGTGGCCTTTTCAGCATGCAAAATTTCAACTTTGAGTTGCATTTCCACAGCCTGTAGAGTGGCACGTATGGTATTTTTTACAAGTTTAACAGTTGATAATTCTTCAACAAATTATCGATTGTTATTTTATATATTCCATCGTTATTCTTGTACACTTTTCTTACACACTAGTAATTTTCAGTTTCGTCTCATGGTTTTTTGCTCGGCTTTTATAATATATATGTATATATATTATAAAAGAAAAAGTAATAATTCTGATCACAAAAACAAAACAAAAATTTATTTCACTTTGGTAGCATGATTTAAACGTTTATATTTTTCCCTTATGTAAAATTTATTTGTTATATGTTAACTATCACAATGTTTAAATTAAAAGCATTTAAAAGGCATAATATTAAATTATATTAAAAGATCTACATATAGAACATTTTTGGAGTAATAAGTTAGGTGCGTTTTACACGAACAAAACCACAACGTATAGGTACCATTATACATTTCACCTTGAAGCAACATTTCATGATGAATAAGCAAAGGCGTACTCATCCCACAAGAAGAAGACAAATGTGGTCATTAAAAGAATTTGAAAAATAGAATTTGATTAGCGACATTTAAAAAAGAATTATAATCTGCTTATTTTTGATACGCATACCACTTTAATAATATTCCGTTGCAAATTGACAACCATGCACCATCAATAACCTCTTTTTGTTCCTAACAAGAAAAAGGGTAAAGAACTTAAAGAAGATACACAAAGGATCGTAAATTGTATAGTATAAGAAGTGTCTATAACAATTCGATACTCGAATGATTTTGCTATTTACCACATTAATAACCTCATAACATAACAGGAACATAAGAGTTAAATAAGAATCGCTCTGGTTATTATTAAAAATTATTTATTGTTTAATTGTTATATAAAAGTTTATTTAGATATACATTTTAACACTATAATAAAAATTAATATACCTTTTTTACAATATCTAAAAATGCTCCAAATATTGATTGAGGTTTCACTTGAACAATTCCTTTAGACTTCCAATAATTTCGAATTCTGTAGTTATACCTAGAATATATTAGCTTTCAGTTTCATTGCAGTATGTTACAAAATTATCATTCTATATATCACTCATTTAGGGTATACTGCATGAAATGAATAATTTTAAAGTTGTGAAGCAACATAAGTTATATTTTATAATAAGTTATATTTTCTCAAATAAATGAAAAAGTTAAAAAAATGAGTTAGTTTCACACAGCAAACGATTTTTTTAAGGATTAAGTATAAGACTACATATTTCTTTTTTCAAAATCTTTTGCTTTTTCGATTTTTTTCTTCTTTGCAAATCGTAAACTGTCACTTTACCTTGCAAACAACGCAAATGATAATATTATAAAGAAAATGAAAATTTAATTTGCTAGTTTTCATAAGAAAATTCACTATGTCTCGCCTAAAAGAATTATTATATCTGAGCTGAAGTTCTGAGGATTTGCTTTCTTAAAGGCTCTGGGAAGTCGGATCGTGAAATATGTAAGTTAATTAAACCTGTAAAAACTGCTGTTCATAACGTTTTAGGCAAAAAATCATTCCAGCAGGAAGCGTAAATTCGGATAATAGATACATTCTCAAACTTCCAATGAAACAGAACTGGTCTATGCAAATCATGCATTTATATGTCTTTCTGGTTTTTTCTTTTTAATTAACCGTCAATTTTTTGGCACCTCATATGCCCATAAATGTAAAATGAATATGCATTTAATGCAATGAATGCATTGAAATGTATAAGTAATCTTGTATGATGAAGTTCCATTAAAATATTTTAAATTTTGAAAAAAAAAGAAGGAATTAAATTTTGAGATGGGCTAGAAGTTACCGCAATACGTACTCATTTACTCTTTGTTTTCTCTATGCTTTAATGACTATACAGCTCATGGCGTTATTGATTTTTTTGAATCATTTTCCTCAAGTCAAATTTCGAAAACATAAATAGAAGCGACAATTGTCAACTGAATATTAATTTTACAGTATAAGTTATGTTGCTTGTTTTGTAAAGGAATGTTTGAAAATCTTTTAGTACTTACCATATAAATAAAGCTAATGTAGATGTAAGCAAAAGTATTTGAATGGGAACTGTATGGCCAGTTTTAATTTGCGTTATGGAACTTTGAATGTCTTCAAACGTTCGAGATGTAATTGAAAACATTTTATTTGGAAGCCAGACTCAAACTTCTCATCTAAAATTCGAAAATACCGTTCGTGTTCTCACTGATCTTCGCTACTGTCCATCTATAAATTTCGCTTTTATTTAAATGGTTTTAAAACAAATAATTACTTCTAACATATGATTAATGGGAGTTTTTATGACAAGTATTTGTATAAAAATATATTTGTTTCACTAATAATAAGTTTATAAACATAAGTTTAACAATAGTTAATAATATTAACGGGAAAAGAAGTAATTTTTGAGAATAATGACTTAAAAGATTGTAAACCAAATGAGTCACAAGAGTTAATAAAATATAAGCTATTAAAAGGAGAAACTCGGTTCTCAAATTACTAAATATTCAATAAATATCTTTGAAAAAGAAGGTAAAAATAATAAATATACTACTGATATAAATACATTTTCCTTTCACTTGCGTCAGAAATCCATTTTTACAAGTTAAAAGTAAAATTTGTCCTTAAAACCAAAATAAAAACATATTTTGAGAAGCGTCAAAGAGGGAAAATACATAAAATTGTATCAAAAATGTAAATAAGATATAAATAAGATAACAAATTTAGCTTTGCTTACTTTTTAATTCTAACATATCTAACCTGCATTAGTTCTAAGTATATCTTTACAAATCATAAAAATGCAATTCATTCTTTTTTCTTTTTTTTTTGCCGTTTCGTACATTCTTATTGGACAGAAAAATCACGCGCTTTAATTATTAATAATCAAAGAAGATTGTGATGCTTATATCAAAGATCAGTTTAAATTTGGTAAAAATTATTAACCTGCAAATTATTTATCTACACCTTATTCAAAGGTATATATCAGCATTATTTATTTACCATACATCATATCTCTTATCTTCTTTATAGAGGGCATCCGCGGGTCAAGAAATAATTAAATGGTGGTAATAAAAAAGAGCTTAGCTTCGATCATTTAATTATTTAATATACTTGTGATAACCACTGTATGCTATTCTCTAAAAAAGAAATATACATTTTATTCACAATGCTTAATATTTAAAAAAAGTTGAGCTACCACTTTTTTCTTTTTGTAAAAAAGGAACTGTTTTATTAATATAAATGATCCTAGCAACCTTTAAAATGAGCTGTTTCTTTTACAAAAAGAAATTGATTATTTTTGAATATGTTGAATATTTTTGAGATTTGTTATGCGGTAGCAAGGCCTGTCTACCATAACATATTAATGGTATAAATATTTAAATTTGCAGAGACTCGAAGCAGTGCTTTTTTTAAAAAATTTAACTGGTAAATATCAATATGAGAGAATAAAATACGTACTACCACATTTTTTACGTAGGTGTTTCTTATATATATACCACTTTTTTTTTGTAACAGTGCATTATGAGTTTAAAAGACGCTTGGCACAGAAGGGGAAATGTTCCCAGTGGATTAACAGTAATTATTGATTTTAGCTTCTTCGCCTTATAACTTTAATCCAGCTTGAGAATTTTTTTTTAATAATTCTGTGCATGCGTTACCACTTATAACTTGAACCAGATTTTACAAAGCCTCTTCAAACAATTTTGAAATTTTTAAATCAAGTTTTTGATTAAAGTTTAATAAATTCTAAGCATAAAATTTGAAACTTTACAATACAGCACACTGAACGTGATTTCGCTATACAAACTTGGCAATAAATCATAAGCATTGAATTTAAGAAAAAAATATTACATTTTGAATCTTGATATATTAGTATGAAACTTAATAAAACATCATAAGCATGGAATTTTAAAAAGAATTTTAGCTTATTGAATGTTAGTATGATGTATGCAACTTAATAATATACATTCATTAAAGGCATGGAATTTCATAAAAAAAAATTATGGCACAATAAATCTTGATATGTTAGTATGAGACTTGATAACACATTATAAGCATGGAATTTAACAAAAATTATGGTGTAATGAATATTGATACGTTAGTATAAAACTTAAAAATACATTATAAGCAAGAAATTTGATTAAAAAAAATTTGGCATATCGAATCTTGATATACTGGTTTGAAACTTGATGATATATCATGCGGTGATATATTCCAGATATCCTTTAAGAAAATCCTCAACAATGTGAACTCTATGTAGCTGCGCACTATTATCCATAAAAACGAAGTCTGAACCAATAGCGAACTGGAACTGCCTCATATGGGCTAACACACATATATTAATATATTCCACTCATCAGCTCGCAATTGGCCACTGAATATTTAGGGCTGGCGAGTAAGTTTTGTCTTATAAAATGCTAAGTCTCAAAATCAAGCTAGCATGTTTTTCCTATAGTTGTGTGCTTTCAGTTGACAAATGATGAAAATAAGAAGCAAAATAGTTTAACACTTTAAGAGGGATATTAACTAAATATGCAAAAATGTGCATCAGAGAAAAGACTGCAATCTATATCAGCAAATATGTTAATATCCCTACATGTTTTTGAAGCCTTGGCATAGAACATGTTAAAATATATATTATTTTGACAACGTTCCCCCAAAATCTTGAATTTTGGAAAGAGGAGTTATAGAAATTTTGCAAATATTTAAACCCCTAAGCCGGGACAGCCTGGTCAGTGGGGTGCCGGGCCCATGTCCAAGAGTTCGTGGGTTCGGTCCCTGCTGGTCGAAGACTCCCCGTGTAGTAAATGGTGACTGATGCACGTTAAATCTGTCGAGTCTCAAAGTCCTCCATGTTCCCATAACAAATCAATACCTCTGGGGGTACCGATTCAGGAGTTTCTTTGTCTTCTGGATTGGTTCAAAATTACAAGGCTACGGTGTTGAACATTAGTAGTCTCTTCTATGAACAAGTAGCTGTTGTGCTAGCAGAGTGGACAAAATTCAAGTCTTCTTTCGTTTCACTAACATTGACTCAGATGCTGAAGAATTTTAAAAGTGAAGAATGTTGAGCGAGATTTCCGAATATACTCCAGATAATAAAATTTTCAGCTTCCTGTGAGAAAGGATGATCTGCTCAGAAATTTTAAACAATTGACCCCTTACCATTAATAGAATTTGATGCTAAGCCTAAATGTAACAATGGTGTTTCAGTGGCGAAAGACAGCAGTATAGAAGTATGAAGTTTTAAAAGTAGGGGGAAATTTCTGATATTTTAATATTTTGGTATTTTTTATACTTCGATGACTTATAATAACAAGAGACTATTAAAACTTTTTTTAAATTAATATCAGTGTTTTTAACAATACGTTCCTCAGTTTTTCATTTTCTACATTCTTTTATGATTTGCGCAACAAAAAGTCCTTCATTTGCTGTAATAAATGAAAATTAGTAATTAGAACAAGGGGGAAATTTAAATATTTTGTTTTCAAATTTGTTTTTAAATTTTTAGTCACTTTTTATATTTTCTGCAGCACGACCCCGTAATTTTAAGAAATTGCTGCATCCTTGTCGCATAATATATGTTTATGCGCAGTTTACAGGGCTCTTATTATAAGTACACAATACTGTTTGTACCAAGCACGATACTTCTATTGATTTAAATTACAATAGTTTCTTTTTAATAGTTTTTCCCAAAGAACTGCATTACGATGTTTTATTATCTTCCTTTTTTTGTTTACTTGTATAATACTAATTATATTTCTTTAGCTTAAAGCGAATACAGCCAATATTAATGTTTCATGAGAAAGTTGTGCTTCCGTCTGTTGGAGATCATAACTTTAATCAGCGATGAAAACGAAAGTGAAAATTTAAAATAATTTTCTGGCAAATCTCGTATTATGAAAATCTAATTTTTATATTGAATTATTAGTTTCTTGGATTTAAAAAAAGATTTCCAACATTTTTAAGTAAGTTTTTTGAGTATTTAGTAACATATTTATCAAACATTCTACAGGAATGTTCTAAATTAAATAAAGCTTAAACTGAAAGAATATTTTTATAAAAGTTTCAGCTCATCAATAGCATACTTCAATGATTAAAACTTCCTTTCTTAGTAAAATACACAGGCATATTAACAGAAAAACATGTTAGTCATTGTTTCCTCTGCATTGAAAAAATGTTATTTTCCCAAAATATTGAAATGTGTTTGAGGAGAATTACTGAAGGACAACAGGAAATAGGAATGTTAAGTAGATAGGAAATATAGAACAGTACTTCAGACTTTATTATTGTCATTACATAAGAATGAAAATATTCTCCATTTCCGCATGAGAAAAAAATATAGGCTATTTTAATAGTTCTTTCATATCATAAAAACCTTTATGCTGTGTATTTTATTTTCAGACAGCTTTATTTTCAAACAGCTGACATCGTAAATCATGTCAGATTTTTTTCCAGTTCCCAGTGGATTTTTATTTTAAAAATCAAACCTCATTTAAAATTTATTCTTACGTTTAGAATTAGATTTCATTACTTTAAAGTCACTTCGCTGATAAGTCATGACACAAAATCTCTCTTACGGACATATTGATAAGATTTTTCCTATATTTCCTATAGTTCCTATATTTCCTGATATTTCCTGAGCATTTTCCTGATTTATCAGTTTATCAGTAAAACTGCATCTTCATTTTTAGCAGTTAGTCAGCAAACTTTTATAATTTTTTAAACAAAGAAAATGGACATATCTCAAAATGTGATCGTAAGAAAATGAACATAGCTTGAAATGCGCACTTAAGAGAATGGATATAGATTTGCACGTTTGTGAAAATGAGCATTGCTCAAAATTTGTGTCTAAGAAAAGAAATGCTCGTTTAAGAAAATGAAGTGCACTTTAAGAAAATGAAGTACACTTTAAGAAAATGAAATGCGTGTTTAAGAAAATGAACATAGCTCAAAATGCATGGTTTAAGAAATGGACACAGCTCAAAATGTGCATTTAAGGAAAATGGACATAGGTAAAATTATTTGTTTAAGAAAATGGAGATAAAAATTTGCGTTCATGAAAATGAAATGCACGTTTTAAAAATGTACATGTCTCTAAATGTGCGTTTGAGAAAATGGACGTAGCTCAAAATTTCCTTTAAGAAAATTAAATGCCCATTTAAGAAGATGGAGATAGCCCAAAATGCATGCTTAAAAAAAGAGATGTAGCTCTAAAAACTCGCTTAAAAAATGTGGATACAGCTCAAAAGGTGTAATTTAAAGCAGGGCTGTCGCCTCCTCGAAGAAGTTGGTATTAAAACTATTTTGTTACTTATAAAAAGTCTGTGGTTATCAACATTAATGAAATGTTATAATGCATGTACCATACCGCTTCGTTTAATGGGAAACAGCTGTAATTAAATCGTGGTAACCAGCGGTCACAGCAAGCTGGAAATAGAATGGATTTTACAACCTGTTTTTTCCCTTTTCCGGGCTACAAACAGCCCTATTACACACAATAAATTAAAAGAATAAATGAAAGTGAAGTTATAGGTGGTTTTTAGATACTTTTATTTCTTGAAAAATGGATTTTGACGAGTAGGTAGTCCTAAAACTCAAAATTGTAATAAAATGGTTGTAGAGTTATAAATGTAAAAGTTAAAGTTTCCTAATGAATCATTCAGATTAAAATCTTATGAAGGATTTAAAAACTGAACTGGATATTTTGGAGCTTTAAGGATTGTTTTGAAATAAGTGTTTTTTTTTAAATCCTTCCTGGTCCATTTTGTTGATATTCAATAGGAAATAAGATTCAGAGAATTTGGACACAAAAGGGCTAAATTCAATCTTAATTACCTAACTCTTTATTTATTAAAATTTAAATCATAAAATTATTTAAAAACGCACTATCTGAATAAATTTAATATCATTCATGTATATTATTCTTGTGAAACAGCTACGGCCGTGCACCCATGTAGCCAGTTTTTTTCTATATTATGTTTGTGCCGTCCCTATACTTATGATATCTCTTTGAGTTTTGTCAGACCCGGAGAATCAGGGCTTCCATAGGAGACTAAAAATGTAAAAAGTGGTAGAAACTCAATTTCTTTTTATTTATTTATAATCTCTTTAATCGATAAATCGTTATTACTAATTTGACTTACATTTTAAATTATTCATAAAGGAAAAACATTCCTTGCAATTGCTTCAAATGTAAACTAAAATGTATGCAATAAAAAGTTGCTAATTTTTGTCTCTTTTAATAAATCTTTGAAGCCTTAGTCACCTGGATGAAATCAGTCAAAGCCCACAAGGGCTGATACTCAGTAACTAGAGAAATTCTGATATTCAATTTTAATTTTAATATTCAAATATTCAATTTTAATTTTACTACCAGTGGTTAGAAAAAACACTCTCGGAAAAATTAAAAGTAGGCAGATATGAAAAAAATAATTTCTGAAAAAAGTTGAGGAGTAATAATTTAGCAAGTTTGAAAACTTCGGGAGGATATATGTGAAAACTACTTAATTCACCTCCTTAAATTTAATTAAAATTGAATTCTATTGAATTTCGGTTAGTATCATGAAACATTAAGCACGTTTTTGTTTCAAGATCTTAGCAGTCTTGTAAGACATAACAACGTTCGAAATGTATATTTTAAGGGGGGTTTTTTTGTATTTAAAATGCTGATGAATGTTAAAATATTTCACTTTTGTACTCCCAGTAGTTTAATATGCGGTTTGAAATAATATCTGAATAATAATGACGTTACCAATTATTAAAATATAAACATTTTAAGTTTTACAGTTGTCACTTTTGATGTCTTCTAACAGGTGACTTAGACCTCTCTCCCCCCGCGTAGCATCATACACATCCCATCCAGTAGTTGTGTCATGCTATACCTATTTAAAAACCAAGCAAGAATAGTAAAATATTTTCAGCATTTAGTTTGTAGTTATTTACCCTTCTTTTTTATTATTATTTTGGCGGGTCCGGAGCAGTTGGCATCTCTGTTAGTATTAAGTTGTCATAATTAACATTTATATCAATATTGAACCACTTTACTCCCTCTTTTTATTCTTTAACCGGTAAATTTCATCATTCTGCACTTAAAAATATTACTTCATTTAATCGCCTGGCTGTTTTGTTTCTCTCTAATAGATGGCGCTAAAATCATCCATTACATTAGAACATTTTTCATTCATTCATCAAGCAGACGTGAAAAGACGTGGGGAAAAGCCAATGCGGGTGTGCTTGGATGTTATTGTTTTGTAAACGTTTCTCTTGATGCTTTTTTTTTTAAAGTAATAATAAATTAGAGTTTGCAATCTGTAGAAGAATTAGGAGATAATGAAAAGTTTTAAATGAAAGTAATTTATTAACACCTTATAATCTAAAGGTTAATTTCCCTCTTTGAAAAGGTGCAACAGGTATGCCTTAAATTTCTATAATTTTCTTTTAAAAAATTTCTTTCTTTATACTTTGCAAAAACAACACAAATTTGCTCTTTATATTTGGTAGAATTATTAAAAAAATGAGCATATACAATTAATATTGAAAAGATTTTACTTGGATCTTGCTTACTGAATAAACCAAAAAATTTTAATTAAAAATTTTACTTAGATTTGAAATACTCTGGGCATAGTTTAATAAAATTTAAATGATATCAAGTAAAAAAAATCTATTGTACTACATTTAATTAAAAAATGTTCTTCCAAAAATATGAAAAAGCGATGTTCAAAAATTTTCGTTTTAGGTAAGTTTTTTGCTTATTAAGCAAATCAAACATTTATAATTAAGAATTATATTTAGATTTGAAATATTCTGAACATAGTCATAAAATTAAAATGATATCAAATACAAGAAAACTATTGTACTACATTTAATCAAAAAATGTCTATTCTTTTTTTTATTTTCTCACGTTTTCTTTTGTCGTTTATGAATGAGCTACATTTTAAAAATTTAGTTGTGGCAGTCTAGTCTTTATTATTTTTTGAAAAATTTCTTTAATTCTAGACTTTTTGTTGTTTCTGCTTTCGTAAAAATTGAATGGATAGGAAATAAAAATGAATTTTAAAAGCGATTGATACGAAACAGAGCATTTTGAAGAAAAACGCAGGGATAAGACAGAAAATTATATTTAACCAATAAGCTAGAGATAAAACAAAAATTTAAGTGTACTCAATGAGCAACATATTTGTGGATGATCTCCGTTGACAAATCGCGTCCCACTCCTCCATTAACTATTAAGAATTGTTTAAACTAAAATATAACTCTTAACTATTATTTAGCTCGTCATTTGTGCCAAACTTATAGCTCAGTTTGTTTCAACTTTTCTTGACCACTGCAAGAAAAGAATTTTTATCGGTTTCGTAACTATATACTTATTAGTATTTAATTAGTCCAGATAGTTTATGCAATTTATTTTTCAATACCTTTTTAAATAAAAATGATTAATCGGTGAAAATTGTATAAATACTTTTATTTAAATTGTTGTATTTTCTATTGCGGGAACAACTAATCCCAATCCTCTTCGCTTTTCGACACAAAATAACTAATTTCATAAAAATCTAAAGAAACTCATTAAAAGAAAAAATATTCCTATCTTTGACCCCTCATGTCACAGACTTCTCTTCTCTAAAGATTTGTTTTGCGTCTCTAAACATTTTTCAGTTATTTTATTCGCGAAAAAATATTTAAATTAATTATTTTCTGTCGTTAGAACAAATGTAATGAATTTCTGACATTGGCTGATAATTTAGTTTAATTAAATAGTCTTACAATATGGAATTCAGTTATCGCAGCATAATGGTTGGCGTGAGAAAAAATAATTAATGCTTAAGAATTTCTAAACTTGTTTAATTGAATTTCTGGACAGTACACAATTTTGTTTAAACAGCATTTGTCAAGTCCTTATAAAAATTAAAAAAGTAATGTCAATAATTTAATAAAGTGGTAGCAAATTTCATTTGATTAGCTTTCATTTTAAAATTAAAGATTCAAAATCCCAGTTCTAACAACAAGATATAGTTATTTCGAAATGTTATGACCATAGTGATTATTACTGTAAGGTGACCAACGCTCTCAAGAAAAAAAAAACTAAATATTTGGTTGCAAAATTTATAAAAGAGCATTCGAAAATTCCCCTATTATCTTTTTAAAATTTATTTTCTGTTAGAGAATCCCAGCAAAGGATCTCGGTCTAAGAATAATTGATAAAGTGGTTAATTTTCAAATATTCGTATCAAAATTTTACCATCTGTTTTATATTTCCTAGAGGAGGCTAATCAGTTTATATTACAGATCTATATTAAAATACATTTCATTTTGCTACTACTTTTTAAGTTTTTAAAATACCCTGTATATGAGGAAGGTTTTAGCACGCCCGACCCTCATCCACGGAAATACAAAATTTTCAGTAATTTATAAATTTAAATACTCATTTAAATTATAAACTTAATATAATTTGTATTTACATATGCGAAAGAAAAACTTTTAAAAACCCCATGCACAATTATTTATTGAAGCGTGTATATTTAGCAGTAAAACATTTGATAACTAAAAAGAATAATCATAAAATGCCTTGTTAATATGACGGTGATATTTATAATCTATTATTATAGAATTTCTTAGAATACTAATAATAATACTAAATAAACAAAAACAAAAATCAAGTTTTGCCTTAAACTCATTTCTTTGTCACAAATAGAACAAAATCAACGACATAATTATTGGAAGGTAATGCTACATCAGGCAAATAATAAAAAATAACTGACAACGGAATGGCGCAATAATTTTTATTTATTTTCTGCTGACAGTTTCACATGTCTGCATCAGCTTTATTTATGTAGTAACAGATCAGGTGATTTAGTCTTCTGTGATACGCTATGAGTGATGATTTGAATAGATATTTGTATTGCAGTTTAAAATTTTCACAGGTTGTAGTTTATTTTACAAAAACTTTTGATGTCAATTAAATGAAGCTTAACTTCCAAACTCAATTGATCCATCATACTTAAAATTTGAACCATTAATATTTGCTTCTTTCAACTGTTTTGTTTACTACGAAAGATCAAAATATTAACACATTAATTTATAATATCTACAATCAAAAATAATTATTAAAGGAAAGAATAAAAGCAAACGAAATGATGGAGCAGTTAAGTACTACTGTCACTACAGTCAAACTCACTTATAACGAACCCGATTTAACTATAACCTGGAAATAATAAAGAAATTTCAAATACTACTTTGGTACAATATTGAGTCCTTTGGAGCATAGCTCGCTTTAAACAAATGAATTCCGATTTTAGGGAGCAATATTTCCGTGATTCATAAAATTTCTACTTGATTAAAAATTTCTAAAATTTAACTAAAATTTCTACTTCTGAGGCTTAGTTAATCCCATCTTGGACTTGTTTCTTGGGCAATGAGTTATAGAAAAAGAAGAATGCAGCAAAGATAGAATAAGACAGTTCAAATCAAATAAACTAACTTCTTTTGAACCTTCAGAAGTTAAAAATAAATGAATAAAGTATGCAGTTTATTTGCCATTTAGTAAGTTTGTATGAATTTTTATGATATTTTCAATAAATCGTTTTTTACGAGCACTCAGTTTTAACGAGCAAATTGCGGTTCCTTCGCGCCATAAGCGAGTTCGATTGTATTAATAAAATAAAAATTACCTATAAATGATACGAAGAGAGGACTATTATCGGTGAGTTATTATCTATATCATTGTGCATATTTCATATATACTATTAATAAAATGTTTCTGAAAATATTATATTCTTCTTAGAATCTTATTCCCAGTAATCTATAATTGACGATCGTAATAAATAATAAGAAAATAAAATAAAATTTTGAATTCTGTGTTTTTAAATTGAACAAAAAAGAAGAAAAAATTTTTTTGTCAGACCTGAATCGGAAATAGTGAGACACATCTCTTTCGAAAGATATGAGGAATTTTCGGTGCTCATAGAGATATATTGCGAGAGTGATGTGTCTGTTAAGTTTTTAGGTTGGAGAAAAGTAACAAATTCATTATAGTTTACTTTTAAAACATAAATATAAAATTTTTTCGTATTATTTTATTCTTTTTATTTTCTTTTTTTTTAGTTTCATTTGTTTATTTAAGAAATTGATCCCAATTTTGATTGGCGACAAATTTTTCTAACAATCAGTAACTAAAACTTTTCGCTTGCTCCTTCATTAGCTATCCTTTCGTCGAACTTCTTTTGTCTCATTCATACAAACAAGAAACGCGGAGTACAGCTTCTGTTTGTCCACTTTTATTCTCCTAAAATTACTCCTTTACACTATTTTTCTTCAGACTTCTACTGAGATAAGTGGTCGATATAAAGGAATTCTCAACTTTTCACCAGTTTGCTTCAGATTTCTACTGAGATAGGTGGACAATACAGAAGAATTCTCAACTTTTCTTCAGACTTCTACTTCTAGACGATTCAAAAGAATTCCCAACTTTTCACCACTTGCTCCAGACTTCTAATGAGATAGGTGAACGATAAAAGAGAATTAACAACTTTTCACGTCGTTGCTTCATATTTTTATTGTTGAGATGGTTGAACGATTCAAAATAATTTGCAACTTTTCACCACTTTGCTTCAGACTTCTACTGATTTGGGTACGATAATTACCAAATTTTTAAAAATTATTTTCAAGGCGGTAGTGAAATGAAATTGAAAAATAAATGATAGGTAAAATTATTTTTATATTTTGCAACAGCTTAATGGCAAAATGGTATGATTATTATGTAATTTTTTATGTGTTTAATGTATAGTGTCGGTTAAAATCATTCTAAATCAAATTTACAAATCCAAGGATAAAAAAGCAAAAGGTTTACTATCACTTTAGACATAAAAATTAAATTTTCGAGGAAATCCGGAAAAATTGGTTGCTATGCGAATTATTTAAAGTATTACGTAAACTGTGTATCTGCTGTATTTTACGACAAAAGTTTAAAGAAGCAAAAAAAATTGCGAAGCAAAATATACGTAAACTACATGATATATTTTTCATTCTCAAAAGGCACGAACTAGAAGCAATTCACGTAATTTTTTTTTCATGTATAATTTATTTGTAAATTTTTTTAATTTGTCTTAAAACTTATTCAATCACCATATTATCGGCAAGAGTTATTGCACTAATTATGAATTATATAATTTAACGGGCATTTTCTATTTCCCAAAGTCTTTGTTATATATCGTTTTGTGATTATGACTTTTAAAACTGTTACTCTGTTAAAAATGAACCTATCTTCTACTTAAATAATTTAATGCAAAAATTTTTTTACATGTTATTCGCCTTCTTCTTCTAAAAATATCTAAATTATACCATATCTAGCTCAAAGACAATTTTGTTGTTCTTATAAGAGAATTAAATAATGATGTAATTTAGGCAAGATTAGATC